GTACTGAAACATGGACGTCGTCAGTATCTTCAGCTTTTGAAAGACGAACCAGGCGTTGCCAAGGTCGTCCTAAAAGCAGGCGGTAAGGGGCCTCTGGTACTACGTAGGCGTGAGCCCAGGGCTGGATGCCTTCTACATACGATTTCCAGCATCTCCATGCATCCAGCCATCTCCTGTATCCTCCATTAGCGGTCCTGCATGCGCATTCCGTAGTCTTGGTTGATGGGGGCGTTCGGTTTTTCGCCAGACGTCTTCTCGAATCACGACGATCCTCAGATCCTTCGTCCAGCACGCGAGTTCAGAGTGGGAGCCGTTGAGCGTTACGCGAATTTCGCGTAATGGATTTGCGTGTTCGATGTTCAAGGGAGGGGTGGTGGTTGTCGCCAAAAGAGTTTTGCTGTGGGGGATTGGGGAAAGGTGCTGGTACACGCTGGGGTACGGGAATGTTCAACTGCCTCCTTCCTTAAGTCGGGACTGATTGGCTAGAAGGTCGGATATGGTTAGCTGAGGGATGGGAGTACTGAGGATCGTCTCGTAGAGACGTTTCGCAGCGTCTGGTGAATTCGCCTTGGATTCATACCGGAAAGCTGGTTCCTTCTTGGGTTCGGCAGAGGTTGGTTGCGTTGGGTGAGTAGGGGCTGGAATGGAGACGGATCGTGCTAAGGAGGTGGGGGTGGTAGATACAGGCGCTGGAATGGAGACGGAACGTGTCGATGAGGTGGCTTCTGGTGCATTTGCGGCCTTCGACTTAGATCTAGTGATAGCGAGCGCTTCAGCGGATTGTTCGTCCTTGATTTCTTCTAGTGTTAAGATTACTGCGTGATTCTCGGCTACCGGTTCGCACTGTAGAAAGTACGATTCTGATATGAAGGCGGAGGAGGGGATTTCCGTAGGTGCAGGTTGCGATGGGGAATCACGGCGAGGGTTCTCGATGACAATGGAGTTTGATCCTGTGGCAGGGCTGACGGGGTGAGGCGAGGCGTATCGCGCATCGATAACTTGCTTGAAGGTCTGTTCTCCGTATCGTCTTATGCGTGAGTGGTCGGGATACGCGAAATATGGGCCATCACGAATAATCCTGCCTGCGCGTAAGTATTCTCCTGCTATGGAGCAAGTCCGCATTACATGAGATCCTCCGCAGAAGAAACACCTTGCGTTTTGCGCATAGTTCGTTGAGGGAGGAAGGGGAGGAAGGGGAAGATAGGGCAGAGTGCTTGACGGCGGAACAGGTGTACTGGCGAGCTGGCAGGACTTGGGTGGTGCCCATGCCTGTGCTGCTGCCAGCGCTAAGCAAACGAGCCGGGTGTAGCATCCTGAGTAGGCGACGTCGCCAATATCGAGGCCGTGCATCTTGCGCGCTAACGCTTCGACTTCGTCAATCGTGTTTTTGACTGGTGTCGGAGGGGTGAAAGCAAACCCGTTTGGTCTGAACTTCTCTTCTAACGTCTTTCCTCTCTTCTTCATCATCTGAGTCCCACGGGGCAGAGGCTTTGACCCTCGATGTACGTCCTTCTCGTATTGTACGAATTCTCGTGGCTATAGGTTCATTAAGGTCAGCATCAAAGGCGTCGTCTGAAAGACGAAACGTCCTGCTTTGAGTACCTCTTCGAAATCCGTGGCTTCTGTGCGTGAGTAGTTCGGGTCCTTGAGTTCGAGTCTTTCTATCGATTGCCCGTCGAGTGACAGCGGGCAGTCCTTGCCAGAAGTAACGATCCCTTTCGCGCGTAGATATTTTGCCGTTAGAAACGAGCCAATGAGCGACGGGGCGGAATTGTCGGTAATACTGCAAGAGCTCGGTTTCCGTGGATATATCGTTGTCTGCGTTGTTAATGACAACGCGCTCCAGGTCGCGAATCGAGTATCGCTGACCCTTGGCAGCACCTGAATACTGCGCTATAATGCTAGCCTTGAAGACGTCATAATCGCGGCTTTCGTATCCAGTTAGTGTCACCCAGAATCTCTTGGTCTCAATGTTGACGTAGCGTACGATCATCTTGCATTTGTCCGCGTTGCTGAGTGTACACGACGAGGATAGATCCTCGAAAAGCTCGAGAAATTCGAGTAGCTCAGAGGTTTCTCCATTAAAGGAGGGGGCCTTGCTTGATCCAGGTCCCGGCATGGCGCTGATGCCTTTAGCAGCTGACATGGTGACTGCTGGTTGGGGGGGTATAGGAGGGGGTGCAGCGGAAGGTGGGGGTCTTACAGGTTGCGGGTTTGCTGGTGCGGGAGCGTGAGGAGGAGGTGCGGTTGTGCGAGGTAGAAACTGAGGTTTGGGGATAGGATGTTCGGTTGTGGTAGCAAGAGTTGATGGTTCTATAGATTCAGAGGAAATTATAGGGAGTGTAGGCGTTTCCGGGTCGAACACGGCCGGTCTAAGGGTGAATGTTGGCTGATCAGTTATAACGGGAAAGGGGGATTTCACGCGTGGAGGGAGGTTTGTGGCGTCGTCGTCTGATAGGGATGATTCTGTTGGTCCGTCTGTCGAGTCTTGGAAGGGTCTAGTGCGTTGATCTAGTCTAAAGCGAGTTGGGGTTATAGCAAACGAGTTGGAAGGGGGTAGTGCTGTGGATGTTGAAGAAGTGGTGAGGGCGTTGTAGGTATTGGCACGGCTTCGACGTTTCTTGGTCGACATTTGCTTCGGGGGTGCCAGCGCAGATGGCTCGTTCTGCTGGAGGCGTAGCTGCGCGTTGGGATGATAGTATTTGGTTATGGTGATTGGGTATAGTGGTCAAAGACCAAGCTTCTAAGGGGCCGATCAGTAGATCGGAAATGGATCAATCGGATCAAACTTGGGTGCAAGGGGTTGCTCGAAAACAATTCCCCTCGCGGTGGGCTCCAAATATGTAAGGCTGACTTATAGTCCGAAGGGGAATTGGAACGAGACAAACGAGGCGAGTGGATTCTTAGTGCTTTTGCTGCGAGGGTCTTCTGTTGTGCGTGGAGCGGGAATTCAGCGTCTCTGATTCTACTGTAGTAGCGATTATACATGCGTGATTTATATACGTTTCGCGAAGCGATTGATTAAACCGAGGCCGGCGTGAGTAGCATGTGGAACTTGAAAATAACACGGGGAGACAAGGAAATGGTGAGATGCAAGCATATGGAGAGGTAGTGGAAGAGAGCAGAAAACGAATGTATCCACGTAACTCGGATGCGAAGAGTTGAGCTCTTCGCATCAGTGAGTCACGTGGCTGTGTTCGACTTTGTAACAAGTTCAAACGCCTTGCTTTGAAGATGTGACGGTGCGTAAAGGATATGATATCCTTACAAAACTTCACTATATCTTCAATTCGGGTGACTTCGAGAAACGAAGTAGGACCAACTCAGTTCACATCGCAGGAGCACTCGATATCTACCATGTAGTGCGTCGACGCCATGTGCACGCTCCACTCGAGCCCCTTTCATGTTTTACTCTGACTCGTGAGCACCCTTCATATCGTGGTGTATCGTTGTCCCTCCTTCCCACATCAATTTCTTCGTTATGGCGACCTCCTGCTCTTTCCACGGTATTGAGAATATTCCATTTCCTGTATTCTTCTAAAGTTCACACGGCTATAATCTCAAGGACTCGTGAATTCACTGATGCTCTCAGGCCTCTGCTACTAGTTCTTACAAGTTCAGCGCTCACTATACCATTTCTTCTCCGCGGGGTGTCAGTGCTTGAATTTCTATGTGCGTGCGTATTGCAATTCAAACATATCCACCTAGATTTTATACTCATGAAAGGCACAGAGTTGTCTTCGCCCAATTGCCACGGCGCTCTTTGGCTTCATCCTCTTTGTGTTCAAGTTCTTGACCAATGACAGTCCTCGTATAACTGATCATGATGTCATAGCCGACAGGGTGCAAAAGTGTCGAGCAGCCTTGCAGAGATGTCCCCCCGGTCATTCTAATCGATCAGCGTCTCTCTACAATCTTGCCAACAGCCTTCAAAACAGATTTAAGCAGCGGGGCGTCCCGTCTGACCTTGATGAGGCCATCGAGCTCCATCGGGCTGCACTACTCCTTCGTCCCCCCGGTCATCCTGATCGATCAGCGTGTCTCGACAATCTTGCCACCGGCCTTCAAACCAAATTCAAGGAGCGGGGCGTCCAGTCTGACCTTGATGAGGCCATCGAGCTCCATCGGGCTGCACTACTCCTTCGTCCCCCCGGTCGTCCTGATCGATCAGCGTCTCTCAACAATCTCGCCGCTGGCCTTCAAAACAGATTCGAGCAGCGGGGCGTCCCGTCTGACCTTGATGAGGCCATCGAGCTCCATCGGGCTGCACTACTCCTTCGTCCCCCCGGTCATTCTTATCGATCAACATCTCTCAACAATCTTGCCAACAGCCTTCAAAACAGATTCGAGCAGCGGGGTGTCCCGTCTGACCTTGATGAGGCCATCGAGCTCCATCGGGCTGCACTACTCCTTCGTCCCCCCGGTCATCCTGATCGATCAGCGTGTCTCGACAATCTTGCCACCGGCCTTCAAACCAAATTCAAGGAGCGGGGCGTCCAGTCTGACCTTGATGAGGCCATCGAGCTCCATCGGGCTGCACTACTCCTTCGTCCCCCCGGTCGTCCTGATCGATCAGCGTCTCTCAACAATCTCGCCGCTGGCCTTCAAAACAGATTCGAGCAGCGGGGCGTCCCGTCTGACCTTGATGAGGCCATCGAGCTCTGTCGGGCTGCACTACTCCTTCGTCCCCCCGGTCATCCTAATCGATCAGCGTGTCTCAACAATCTTGCCAACAGCCTTCAAAACAGATTCGAGCAGCGGGGCGTCCCGTCTGACCTTGATGAGGCCATCGAGCTCCATCGGGCTGCACTACTCCTTCGTCCCCCCGGTCATCCTGATCGATCAGCGTGTCTCAACAATCTTGCCAACAGCCTTCAAAACAGATTCGAGCAGCGGGGCGTCCCGTCTGACCTTGATGAGGCCATCGAGCTCCATCGGGCTGCACTACTCCTTCGTCCCCCCGGTCATTCTTATCGATCAACGTCTCTCAACAATCTTGCCCTGAGCCTTCAAAACAGATTCGAGCTGCGGGGTGTCCCGTCTGACCTTGATGAGGCCATCGAGCTCTATCGGGCTGCACTACTCCTTTTCCTCCCCGGTCATTCTGATCGATCAATGACTCTCAATAATCTTGCCCTGAGCCTTCGTAACAGATTCGAGCAGCGGGGCGTCCCGTCTGACCGTGATGAAGCATTTAAGCTGTATGTGCAACTCTCCTACCTATCTCATGCAGTCTCCCGTAGGGATCTTACTGCTGCCAAGTCATGGGCCACCTCTGCCGAAGAGACGAACCATGACTCTGCATTACTTGCCTATCAAACTGTGTTGAAATTCCTAGATCAGCATGTTACTATGTTGCCGTCTTCTCCAGATTTATTTGATGTCGTCAGGATGGCCACAGCTTCACTTGCCATGGACGCTTTCTCGTGCAGTGTTCGTCATGGTGCACTGACGACTGCTATGGAACTGGTGGAGCAAGGCCGTGCCGTATTCTGGACCCAGTTGGCACGCTTACGCTCACCGCTCGATGAACTTTCCCTGTCCGGTGACACCGGCGCAGCCTTGGAGAATGAGTTCAAGCAGCTTAGCTTTGGCCTTCGTAGCGCGCTTGATCGGTCTACTGAAGAACAGTCCCCACAAATCCGACAACTGACCATGCAATGGAATGATGTCGTCTCCCGCATCCGCAAGCTGCCTGACTTTTCTCGGTTTCTCCTGCCTCCCCTTTTCTCCAACCTACAGAAGGCTGCTGAAGAAGGCCCTGTCATCATCGTCAATGCAAGCCAATATGGCTGTGACGCCTTGATTGTCTTCAGTGCACAAGATCCTGTCCACGTTCGACTCGATATCCCGCAGACTGAAGTCTCCGAGTTGTCTTCGGAATTTCAGTCCCTCGCAGAACAATTTGGCTCTTCTGATCGTCAAAACAAACTTGTCAGCATCCTCCGCAAGCTTTGGGATTGTGTTGTTGATCCCGTGGTCCGAGCTCTTAGGGCGTCTGAAATTCACCATGGCTCGCGTATCTGGTGGTGCCCCACTGCTGAGTTCACGCTTCTTCCTCTACATGCAGCAGGACCGTACGAGAAGAACAAAAACAACTTATCTGACATTTATATCTCCTCTTACACCCCCACTTTGGCGACACTCATCCGGGCGAGACAGCGGGTTTCTCAAGAGGTGTCCACACAACATTTTGTTGCCATCGGTCAAGCGAATCCGGACAGAGGGAAGAAACTCTGTCATGTCGCTCCTGAGTTAGCCATCGTCGCTCGGCGTCTCATGCCCCGTCGTTTCCTTCACATCACTCGAGGATAACGACGCAACAATCCAGGGTGCACTTGATGCACTAAATCATAATCAGTGGCTTCATCTAGCTTGCCATGGAATGCCACATCGGACGCAATCGTTCGACTCTTCCTTCGCAATGCGCGATGGGCCGTTGATGATCAAGGAAATCATCCGGTCCAACTGGCAGAACCTGGAGTTTGCATTCTTATCGGCTTGCCACACAACCGTGGGCCATGAAAAGAGTCCCGACGAGGCGATACATCTCGCTGCGGCGATGCAATTCTCTGGATTTCGCAGTGTGATAGGTTCCATGTGGTCTGTCGACGATGAGGTTGCACGACAGGTTGTGTCCGTTTTTTACGACAAACTGGTCGATGGCTCAGGGAGATTGGACTGCACACGGGCTGCGGTAGCGTTGCACAAGGCTGTGAAATCGTTGCGCAAGAAGATTCCACTAGAACAACAGATCGTGTTTGTCCACATAGGTCTCTAGTTTGATTGATTCGTCATGTTATCGCATTCTATGTTATCCTGATTGCTTTCATTACCCTGTTGTCCCACCTAGATCCCAGTTATCCAAATTATGTCTGCACGATACTCTGTTTTTTTTTCCGTTGTGTACAAGTACAATGTTAGCCACAATGAAACCGAAATAGTGAAAACACCAACGAGATTCCCAGGTCCTAAGCCAAACATAACACCTCGACCCACGATCCCACGACTCAAGCATCTTTCACCATCTTCCCTATGCAATCCATCCCCTCGTAAAGGTGTATTAATAAATAGACGTTGGACGGTTGGTTACAGTACATGTGCATTCCAATAATGAGCAATAATAATATATAGCGTCTAAGCGGTTCCCTGAACCTCGACATCCCGCAGAGCAGTATGTACATCATCATGAAGAATCCCAAAACTTCTTATCCATCTGTTCACTAAGGGCCACGCCGATCTGGTGGACGAGTTTGGTAGCTTGGAACAGTTCATGCGCTGGCATCTCAGAATCTCCACTAGCGACCGCGGCGTACACGTCACGCAATGCATCCAGATGACTAGAGCCAGTGTTTGAACGTTTCAATGGCGTGGGATACTGAGCGACGTGTTGACTTGCTTCTTGTGATTTAGAGCGTTGCTGCATCCCCGTCGGTACTGCTCGCGTCACCAGGCTTTCCCGGACTTGAACAATATTCAGCGGCTTAAAGATCTTGAGATGAAGATAACTACCTTCTTGCAAAATACTGCTACTCTCAAGTAGAGAGCTTTCAGGAACTTTGACAAGGGAATCATCGACATCCAATTCTGTGATCATGTGTTAGTGCGGGTATGTGGGTGTATGATGATGGCCAACCTGAAGTAATAATTTCAGTGCAAGGAATCTCCCAGCTGTCGTAATCATCAGAACCATCAGATGCAACCGAGAGTGTCTGAGCTGAGCGCGGTGGTTCATTGAATTGGAACGTCTCAGCTGAACTTCCTGCTGACAGCTGAAAACTCCGACTCTGCTCCGCGGCAACAACCTGACGCAAAGTAGGGAGCACAACGCTATCAAGGACCATCCTCTTGCCCTGTTCGGCAGGAGCCGAGTATAGTCGAGTAATGGGAACTTGGGACATGACTCTACTGATAGGTTCTGATATAAAGCGGGACGGGCAAGGTTTTTGCATGCCCGAGATCGTTCGGCGTCGTTTTTGTGGCGTGGTATCTAACAAAGGCATGTTAAACGTATAAACGGGTCAAAGGAATTCTAAAGACCTTGGGATTCGTGACTTCTTTTTGATCCTAGGCCAGCTTGATGCGTGGTATCTGACAAAGGCACACGTTAAACGTATCAAGGAAGCAAGAGGGTTCTAAAGACCTTGTGGTTCGTGTCTTCTTTTTGATCCTTGGCCAGCTTGTTGCGTGGACCGTGTCAGTCGATAAGAGCGTGATGAAGATGGCTGTTCGTTCGATGGGATTACCCTACCCTGGCGGGGACCAGGGCCATTCGATGCAATAATTTCATCAGCGCTGTTTAAGTTGTTCCGCGGGCTGTGAACTTGAGACGATGCGGGATCACACAGGAGTACCGTAGATGCACTGTGAGAAGGTGACACAGATACACTCCGTGGAGTCGTGTTGCCAAAGGTGTGTTCCACGCAATGTATGTCATCGAACGGAGCAGAGGAAAATGGTTCTGCGGGAGGATAATTCTCCCTGATAGGGGAAGAGGGAAAGTCAACGCTTGTCTAGTTAGATGGTCAGCGACTGACTACCAAGATGACTAGGAAAGCGTACCGTGGACTGTGAGTCCGATGGGAACCCAGCCAATAAGTCACCCCCGAACACTGTAGTGAATACCTTCAACACTGACATCACCCCTTCAGGAATGTCCGAAGAGAATTGATGTTGCGCATGATATGTAGCCCTCCAGAACCTTTCAAATGCAAGCGGCGCGAGGGCTGGTGCAATTATGCGCGAAAACCCAGCAGCCAAAAAGTATTCCACTGAATTCAGAAAGTCGAGGCTGAGAGGATGTCGTTCCAGGACAGCGAGCGTGTCCGAATATAAGGGCATGATCTATACAAAGTGAGCAAGTCATTTGACAAACAGAAACTCAACAGACCACAGAATTGAACTCATGCTCCGTTAACACCTCCTCTTTGTCTTCGATCCATAGTTGCAGTCCTGCCCGAAGTAACTCAATGATACGCAACACATGATCTGACGAGGAAACCACGATGGTTGTTTGGATGCTGTGAAGAAGTTGCAAAGAGCCGTTCATCAACTCCGCACTAGTTTTATAAGTACTCTGCAAAACAGAGTTGACGACGCTCAATAATGAATCTGGAGGACACAAGCTTGCATCAGGGATGAAACAAGACAAGAGGTGCGACAGAGGGATTTGCAAAAACAGCACGCTATATAGCAACTAAGTTAAGCGATTCTCTATCCCATGGTTGGTGCTTACCGATCCACACACGCCACTGGTAATACAGCCTGGGCGATAGCGTCGACGACAGTCGATGAAGCTGCAGAATCTTGACCTGCACACGTGATGGTCTTCTGTAGCAATGAGTTCCATACGCCTAACTCCACATCAGACATAGTCCACGACCTTAAAGAATTGTTAATGAGATCTCGAGAGACGACAATGCAAGTATCATACCCCAAAGGAACGACGAGAAGTTTCACTATGTCACGCCAACAGGATATTTCGGACTGTGATACAAGTGACTGTGCCACAAGTAACCACAATTGTCGTGTGATTGTTTCTGTCATCTGCGAAGAAGTCAGAGCAAAAAGTTCTTGGGTCCACAAAGGCATGGCAGCGACCACGAGGTCAGCGCAGAGCTTGCTCCACTGATCCCGCACGCTCTCATTACTGAGACAGAAATCATGCTTCAACAAATTCGTCAGAATGATCTTCGCAGCAGTAGACAAGGATTGTGAAGCGAAGACGTTTTTCATCACAGACCATAGCTGTGTGATGGCCGCCAGTGCACGAACTTGAGCCATAACTGATAACATAGAATCTGTTTCCTCGGGATTCTCTGGGGTCTCTGGAATAAAGCCGACGACGACGAGCGCCGCTTCTTCCGCGAAATCTGCAGAAGTAGTGAGGTGATGGAATCCTTGGGTCAGGTGTGACTCTACTAAGAGTAAAGACTGCCAGATGTGAATCAAATTGGGCTGCAGAGTAATATTCAGTCAACGACAATCGGCATGCATGGAAATACGAACGGGCAAGCATCTTTCGTATGAAATCCGTGACTGAGCCAGTTGTGCCCACGTGGAGCGCAGAATTGTTCCATGGAAAATAATCTCTGCCTCGGAGAGGTGCCGCACCTCTGTGGCTAAAGGGTGATGGATAGAACGCAGTATAGATTTCAATCGATCCCAGCTGGCAGTAATTAAGCTGCCGTCAAACAACGGCGTGGGTAACCTCGGTCGACTCGCAGTCATGCCAAGGGTGGACTGCGCGTGAGCTCCCACTCCACCCATCAGGCTGTGAAGAAGCGAAAGACTATCCGAAGAGGTGCGTTTATCGGAATTGCATGACATCTCGTGCACGAGTGTGAGGGCTTTGGGTACCGCGTCAAAGGACGTGTTCTGCTCAGATAAGGACAATGAATCCGCGGTTGACGTATTCATGAGCACTGTAACAAGCGCCACTCCTAGGCCACCCCCAGGCTCCCGATCAAGGAGGTGGAAGATAGCTTCTTTGGTGCGCACGTCTTCATCAGGTATCCTCGCAAATACGATCACAATGCATAAAAAGAGGTGTGGAACCAACGCCCGAACCACCGATCTCCGATGTGCAAGGGCCAGTCCAGTGAGCCGCGTGACAAATTTGAATACGCCGAAGTGAGAAAATAAACAATGATCGGAGAGGATGATGAGGGAAGCAATCATCGACAAAAACCAAACGGGTCCCTCAGCAAGTTCGGGTTCCTCCTCCACAGACATGGCTGCCTGGGCAATGCGTTGAAGTTCCGGGATCTGCGATGAAGTTGTTCTGGCACATTGTTTGTCGAGGAAGTCCAGAACGAAGTCTGACACAGCTTTGCGATGATCAGGGGAGATGTCAAGGGAGTTGTCCAGTAAATTTAGAGCTATTCTCCCCAGAGCCAGCGCAGCTTGAAGACGGACGGCAGAAGAATTGCACAGCAAATGCGAGAGGACCGAAGGCAGCAGCTGAATTGCATAAATGAAGAACGTTGTTGGATAGAATTCCAACAGGTGGCATATGCCCTACGCATTGTCAATGAAATTCATATCCAAAAGTCGCTTTCAAACCTTAAGGCCGTCCTCTGCATGCTGAGCGAATGGCTGTATATTAGGTTGAATGTGCAATGCACTTCGAAGGACGGAAACTATATCTGATGCTCGAGGTGATAACGAACTTTGCGGCAATCGCTGAGAGCGCAAGATCCACAACGCAATAGAAAATATTTTCGCGCTGTTCAGAATAGGCAGTCGCCGAGAGAGTGTAATGTCAAGAATTTCGGCTAAAAGACTCGAGATATCGGGGCCTAGTAAACGTAAACTGATGTAAAAATATAGTCTCGCATGCACAGCAGGACTCACGTACCAGAAAACAACGAATACAGATGATGGAATCTGAAAACGACAGAAAGGGCGCAAAGGGCCTGCTGGCAAAGGGCAGACGAATCTCCCGCATGTTTGACTACATCGGCATTTGATTGTCGGGGCACTGAGGGTGTGGATTCTCCGGGAGTAAAAATTCGAGGTAGTACAAATGGATCAATATGAGCAAGGGATATGTCGCGCCGTAAAGCCTGGCTCAATGCATGTGTCTTCATGCGTAAGAACTCCAAGGCAGGTAGTGATGCAGAACTCTGCTGAAGTTTTTGAGCTTCAGCCCTGATTCTATTGGAAAAGGTACTATATGCGTCCAGTAAGTCGTGGTTGGAGAGAAGGGAATTAGGTTCCAAGGAGTTTACGATGCATTGTACAGGTGATTTCAGATATGTTGGGTCGTGCAAGGGGGTCGTATGGCCCGGGGTGACTCGTGTCAGTTCTTCGGTCATGGTGCAACAGTGTAAGCTCCTATATCCACAAGCACTGAAATAGGGGAAGGTAGAACAATGATCATGGTTAAGCTGGACGCAAAGTTTGACGCCACGGTTCTCGATCGGAAAAGGCAAGAATTAGCCAGTGACTGCAGGTGTGCGGCCCCAGAGAAAAGTTTGTCTTTTGCAAAGCTAAAGGGAACGCGCGGATACTGGATACTGACCGACAGTCGCCAAGTTGCTGGCAGCAGCCCAGTCCCTAGTCGTCCGACTCGTACAACAGTGAGTGTGATTATTAATCATTATGAAACACGGTGTGACATGTCACGTGATATACACGTGATGTGTCATCTATCGTAACCATTGGATGATCGCAGTCGTGGTAAAATTTTATTGGCATCTCAACTTGAAGCGCTATCGGGAGACACCTGGTTGTACCAGCGAGCCCTTGATTTCGGTTATCCCACGACGCCAGAAGATCAGATTGTCATCCTGGCTTCCCGCCAGCGATCAAGACAGACACCGGTGTTTCAAGTTACACTTGTACTCGTCGCTTGAAACCCAACAAGGGGAAAGAAGGGGAATCGCTGTTGGTGCATTGCTTTCGCCTCCGACGCTTTTTGGAAATGCTTGCCAACTAGTGCGCTTTCGGAGGAAAAATATAAACCACTGAATGAGGAGTTGAAGAACGATGACCCGCCTCGCTGGTATTCAGCTGCTTGAAACAAAACACCGGTGACCTTTCCACATTGCCAATGCAAGCAACTAATGTTTTAATCTCTTAGGGAAATCACAGTCTCGTACTGATGGTAAATGAGATCTATACTATATGTAAGTTTGATGTTGGTTTGATGTAACTTATTATATCAGCGCTGGCTGTCTGATGTTGGACAGCTGATATCCGACATTGATATCAGAATCTGTCCACGATCTCACCGCGCATGAAGTTTGCCAGCGTGCAGTGCCAAAGGTGCGTGGTTTTGCATGAAGCATGCATAAAATCGTTTATTGACATTCGGCAACAACTTTAGACCTTGCTTGCAGCGGCGGTGCCATAAAATCTAAGATTCACTTGGCGAGATCTTTTTCTGGTTCTCAGCCATACTGGTGTAGAAGGACCTGATCAAACTCGGACCCGCTATTGCCAACACAACACTGTACAACGAGGTCTAAAATCACCATCCCTTCCCACAACATGCTGACAATGTCACTGGGGGGCGGATTTCTATTAGTGGTCTCCTGCTGTTGAGATGCGTGCAAACGATTCCGGGTATTCGGAATTTTGGACATTGGAATCCTCATTTTGTAACCGTGCCCTGAATACTGTTGTTGAAAGCAAACTCCTTGCTGTGTATTTCCCTATCGTCAACGGCCAGGTCTTGATCACTGTTCCTGAGGACACGATGACTCGCGACAACGCTATCGTTGTCTGTAAGTATTGCTTGTCATTTGGTTGAGTGCCTTCCTTTCATGCATTTCTAGTGTTTGGTGACTCTGGAAGCACTTCTCCCGAGTTAATCATCGTCTGAGCTTGTGCCTCAAGTACGGTCGAACTCGCCTCCCAGGATGGACATACATAAACTTGAAAAGCGAAGATGGATATGGACTTGCACTTTACTTCATTGACTTCGTCACGAACTTGTAACAATAGCAGAACGCAAAGGGCGGGCGAACCTCCTCCATGCTTCCAATTCAGAAGTTAATTAGAGAGAGGGTGGTAAATACCTATGCCAGTGGTAGTAAATAGACATAAACGATATAAGCAGTTTAAAGAAATCTTGCGAAGGCGAGAGCTGAGTCACGTGCGATACACGTGACCATTATAAGCAGCGCGTCAGCTTGTTAGTCCGCGGTCTTCTGCATAGCGCGGCGAAGCAGGATTCGATGAGTGATCCCATCAATGATCAGAAGAATCGGAAAGCCGAACTACGTTGTGTTGGTATTCGCTGGATGAAGTGTAATCCCGGTATCCGGCACCCGACATTGATCACGTTTTGATATCCGAGTCTGTTTCATGGTCTCACAGGTTACAGCGAGATTTCGAATCAAGTGTGCCAGCCAGCGTGGAACGACTATTTTCCCTCTACTTATTTGGCCTGCCTACGGGAGAATCAACGCTATGGCTCAGCCGCTAGTAGCCGCCACCGTTCCGCACCGCTATTTGGAAGGAAAGAAGCTCAGGGCTTCTTCGCTGTACTGGCAAGGGTGCAAATTTTGCGTGAAGTACTTTGAAGAACTACCGATCCCTCCTTAGAATTACTGTCAAACCCGGGCACCCTGCTTGTAGCAGTCTTGTTACATCCGGCTTCTTAGTGAGATCTTCCTTACGTCTTCAACCATATGTATGTTTCATGATAGGCCCCACACGGCCGGTGGCTACATCACAAACAGAGCCAAGCCTCTCGGCTCATATAAATACTCTCTCTCGACTTCATTTTTCACCACTCAACCGTTCCGTCTTCCATATCGTCACGAAGCCAAAACCAGGCCAACCGCCCGCCCAGCACATATCACTCCTTTTCACGACTTCAATCAAAATAGAATCCAAAATGCTCAGCACCATGACCTTGTTCGCTATCTTTTCTGCCCTATTGTTGGCATTTGCCACCGCTGCACCCGTCCAACCCGTTGAGCTGCTTGCCTGGAGCCCCACCATCCTCTGCCCCACTCGTTTCACAATGTGGCCCCAAGGTTCCACGCAAACCGTGACCTGGGCGACTAACAACATCCCTGATGAGAAAAAGAATTCTACTGGTCTCCTGCTATTTGGATTCATGGCAAACGATTCCGAGAACTTGGACATTCGTATGTTCATTTCGTAGTCATGTCCTGAATGATGTTGAAAAGTAACTCAGAGCATCCCCTCGCTGTGGAATTCCCCATCACCGATGGTATGGTCACGATCACTGTTCCCGAGAACGCGACGGTTCGCAATAATGCTATCGTTGTCTGTAAGTATCGCTTATCATTTGGTTGGGAACATCATTTTACATGCGTTTGTTTCTAGTGTTTGGTGACTCTGGAAATGCTTCTCCACAGTTCGCCATCGTCTAGGCTTGTGCCTCGAGCTTTAAGCTTTAGCCCGGTCGGACTCAGCTCCCAGGATGGACATAGACATGGACTTGATATGAATACGGACTTTGGCATAACTTCATTTATTTCGTTACGGACTTGATGCCCTACGCTTGATTCTGCCGAAGCAGAGTCAGCTTTCTTTCTTTCATCAACACACAGAGCTTGTGTTGCTTCAGTAATCGTTTTATGGACTTGATTAGTTACTTACATCGTGCTTTGGTTCGCGAATCGTATTTCAGTGCACGACTAGTCTTCACGACCATTTGATTTACCACCAGCAGGAAAAGAAATCTGACGTGGATACGTGGATCATAAAAGGCCTAAATATAAGGTATGGACGACATAGGTACCAACTTGGTATTTTAGCGATGGGGACTCAGTTCTTCTTGGTCTTTGTAACTGCCTGCGCGCGGCGCAGTGAGCTAGCAATGTTTCCATAGGAATCCCACATCAGCCAGAGTGGGATGACAACCCAGCTGGGATAAACCATCAGAATTGACAACGAAAAAACATGCGTTTACACTCACATGACGTTCATGAACTGTCAAGGTGAAGATACCACATCAGTTGAGACAACTGTTAATCCATAATACGGAACGGAGCATGCTTACTACAAGATAAACCCAGAGGTAGAGCGGGTTAGAAGTATCCAAACTCGGGCTTCCCGTCAACCATTCCGGACAGAACGTCATCCATCTGGAAACAGGGTCACTAACTTCACGGTCACTCGCAGTAACACACATACCCTCCATACAGCTCAGCAGTGCTCAGCACAATGATCCAATAGTGACGGGCAGGGTCATCCTTGACAATTTGCCTTATGATGTAACAGCACATAGGTGCCGCACCTAGGACTGTCAAAATCTCTAGGGAAACAACGGTAGGGTCAGAAACACCCCATCGCGCATCCGCACGGGTATACTCCTTCCCTGGATAAGCGTCCATCTGGTTTAACCTTATATCGAAGACCGGCGTCAAGCTTTAGATCACTTACACAGTTCAGCAAATGGTCCCACGCTGGAGTTCACGGTCCTGCCAAAGGTCGAGAGGTATAGGAATGATCCCTCAAAAGAGAAATGAATCATCGCATCAAATGCCTGTCGATATTGTCAGTTAAGGTCGGATGGGCAAGTGGAGTTACAAACCAGCCAGATGAAGGTAAACGAATCTTGCCAGCGCGCGTTTTTCGGCAGTAAAACCTTCGCGCCAGTGGTGGCAATGAAGGCTATGGCAGCCACCCCAGCTAAAGAATACGCTGAGGTTGCGGTGAATATTTCCGGGGCATTGGACGTCATGGTGTATAGTGATGTTGTGAGGGAGCGCAATGGCGAACTTCTCCCACGTTTACTTTCCACTGTACTTTTATTTAGCAGACACGATCATCGTCGTCACGCGCTCACGTTTCTGATTGCGTCCAGCAACACATCACACTAATTATAAATCTTGGTAGTACTGTCCAACAGACGACGATGGTGTCCTACTCCCTTTCAGAAAACGCGTACCTTAAGATCTTCTTTCATGCGGCTAAACATCCTCACCTGCCTGTGAACGGCGTTCTGCTTGGTAGACGAACCTCGGACGTGGTTGTGATAGAGGATGTTATACCACTACTCCATCACTGGACAAGCCTTAGTCCTATGATGGAGATTGGACTTGATTTAGTACGTCACAGTGGTTCTATCACAACGCAACTTCCGTCGTGATACTAACGGACAGTAACCCTTTCAGGCGAAAGGACATGCTGAAGCACAAGAGATGACTCTAGTGGGGTACTATCAAGCGAGCGAGAGACTAGACGAGACCGCTCTTGCGCCTGTCGGCGAGCGGGTTGCACAAAAAATTCGTGATCAATTTACCGATGCAGTAGCATTTGTTGTGAGTAGAGAGATGAACCACAGTGGGAAACTATCTAATTCTCGTTTCAAGATCGACGGCGATAAGTTAGGAACAGGAGAACCAGCTTTACTCGTATGTTCAACCCATTATCATGAGCTCATAGCCGTCTGACTCGCAACAGCCCTATCTACCACAGCCTTCCACGTCATTCTGGCGGCCCTCCATAGCGCAAAGTCCCGCATTCACAACGGGATCAAATTTCTCGTTAGCCAAAGCTGATTCACCCTCGCGCGCAATTGCCCTCGTTCGCGACCATAATCTTCACGAGAAATTCGGTGACTTTGACGACCATCTGGAGGATGTAACGATAGATTGGTTGCGGAACAGCGCTTGTAGAGTAGAGAGCTCTGAAACATGAACGGATCTCCCAGTGAACCATTTCATGTTGGATGTATTACGCACGTGGCTAATTCCCGCAATGGGTAAGAACTGGGGTAAAGCTCTTATCATCTTCTACGGTATATCAGAAGAATCACGAACATCACCATTGTTATCGACTACCATGACGATTGCGACTGCTTTTAAAGGTACTCTGGTTCATTGCCCTTCGTTGGGGCAACTTGAAGTTCTTGAAGATCATGTTTTACGTGAGGATTTCATGTTCCATCGTTCGATCCTCGAGGCATGCTAATCCATCTGCGCATACCTCAGTCGTGGACCACCAAGGTTTCATAACTTATGTAGGACCTGCTGACTCCAAAGCCTCTGAGGAATTTCTGGCAAAAATCGACGTACCTATCACAACCATACCATCAGGAGGTTTTTTGCTTCCGACGTTCTGCGATCTGCATCTCCATGCAGCCCAGTTTCTGTTCCAGGGAACTGGTCTCCATCTTCCTCTGATGCAGTGGCTAAATGAGTATGGGTTCAAGTCTGAAGAAAGCTTGGACAGCCAACCAGAACTGGCAAAGACAGTTTATGCACGTCTCGCAGAACGCCTAAGAGACGCTGGAACTGGCGCCGTTATGTTATTCGGGACGATTAACAACACAGCGAAGTAAGCACGAACTTTACAGGAACATTATGTCGCAAACGGTTATGCTGATTTGAAAGAACTCTAGTCTAATCCTTGCAGAGGCCATGCAGACCATCGGTATACGAGCCCTTGTGGGGAAATTGTCAATGGATATCTCGTCCCGACCCTCCTACGTGGAATCCTCTGTTCTATCTTCATTGCGGTCTGCCGAGGAATTCATCGACGACTGTCGTAACCTGGTTAAATCTCATGAACCACACAAACGTCTCGTTGAACCTGTGATCACACCGCGGTTTGTTCCAACGTGCTCGGACGCGCTTTTACAAGGGCTTGGAAAACTCGCTCGTGACAAAGGAGTACGAATACAAAGTCACCTGGCGGAGGCTCACGAAGAAGTGCAATGGGTTTTGAGCGAACGGCACAAGGACGATATCGACGTTTTTGACGATGTGAGTGATTCACAGTCTCAACGGACACTGGGCTGATAGCGTTCAATTTTTAGTTCGGCTTGCTCACAGAGAAAACTGTCCAAGCCCACTGTACATTCTTGGATACGGACATGCTGTCGCGTATGGCTGGCAGTTGTTCCGCAGTGGCACATTGTCCTCTCTCGAATTCATATTTTTCAGAAAAGCCGTTCCCGCTCCGTGAAGCACTGGACCTCGGCGTACCTGTCGGTCTTGGCTCGGATATCGCTGGTGGATATAGCATAGATATCATGAACAGCATGCGACAGGCCGTGGTTGTCTCCAGGATCAGAGACGGCGCAAGAAAACTGAGCGATGATGAACGGTCTCTCGCAGTCGATTGGAAAGATGCATTGTATTTAGCTACGAGGGGAGGGGCCATTGCACTTGGCCTTTCATGTGGAGTCTTCCAAGCTGGCGCTCCTTTTGATGCTCAATGCAGTGAGTTAGACGACTTTTGCAAGAAATAACGCTTAAACGAAATGGTGTTGCAGTCGAACTATATAAAGAAAGCGACAAGGGCGTGGGTGCGCTCGATTTCTTTGAGCCGCAATCAGGCATAACATTGGGTTTACTGGAGAAGTGGTGGTGCATCGGAGACGAACGGAATAGGCATGGCATTTGGATACAGGGACAGAGGTTGGATGGGAAGAATACTCCGGATCACACGTAACTCCTCGGTGCACAGGTATAGATGTTCTGAACTTCTTGGTTGCAATTGCAAACTGACGATACCGTGCAATATCCAGTCAGATTGAACTCGTTCAGTCTTCCATACGTTGCGTATGTTGTAAGCCTATAGTTGATGTGCGTCGGTCATTTCCCCAGAATAAATGTTTGGTTTGTCCAGAGTCTTCCGAAATGCGACCCTTTCCTGTGGACGATGATGGCGTGAGCCAGCGTAATCAGCTTTTCCCGAGGATAAGACCCCTTTTAAACTGATTCAATCTCTCGCTATACTGATTGTACTGTGCTTGTGACACGAAACACTGCATCTCCACGATCAACACTCAGAAGGCTAACCTGATGGCAGTATGTCTATTGTGTGACAATAATTGAACCGGCACTGACCTCCTCGTATCTATAGATATCAAATTCTGCTTCTGAGGTGCGATCTCACAGCGGTTGTGAATGTTTGTATGACTTGCTGAATATCAATGCAAGTGACGCGTTGAGCGCCCAAAATCCCAGGGTCCCTCCTGGCGCATATCCCCATGCATCGCACTTCAAGAATCGAGGCTGATCTTCAGTTTGTAGATCAATACGTGCGTCACGTAGCTAGCATGCGTAATGTTCGCTTTACCATTCACGTGCATTTCAGAGGGGAAATATGCCGGTTCTTTTCAGGAGGGTAGCTGCCACTTCAATCATCTGCACCCTGCTCACGCACCCTCAGGCTATTCAGTCTTCTGAGACGTGCTCTATTCATATGTGGAACGCCAAACACTCTGAGACGGAGCGTCACGGATCGTGATTCTTCTGCCTCAGAGATGCTTTTATTTTCCGCTGTTGTTCCGAGTCAGACTGAAAGCGATCGCCGGCTTCGACCTCACTAATTGAAATACTCGCTGACGATGGTGTGTTGGCCTGGTGTTGAAGACTTGATGTAAGGGCTCTGATCCATCTGGTGAGAAAACATGGGAGTTGAGAGTGAGTCCTGACCTTCCCGTCCACGATCTTTTTGGTTAGCGTGACGCGTTCGTTGATGTACTTCAGCGCGTCTTTAGCAGAGGACAGACTGGATAATTTCTCCGAAGATCACACTCAAGGACGCTGCACGCGCTATTTCTCAGAAATTTTCTGAGTATTCGATTTAACTGTAAGTAGTCTATCAATACCATCAAGCTGCTACAGATAATACTCGATAAGAGCGCATTAATTGCAATGTACTTCAGCGCACCGTTGAATCATAGCGCGTTTTGGGCACAGGATAGACTTTGACAACTCCAGAAAACTTCATAAACGCCAGTCCGACTCCCCCTTAGACTCATCTGTCTCCTCCTGGGACTTGTCCATCAGCCAGTCAGACACTGCTCTTTGAAATCGGAGCCATTAAAACCTTGAGATGCCCGTTGACCTCATCCCACAGCTTCCGGAAGCGCATCCCGGCATCCCCATTGTGTTGCTGCATAATTCGGTGGACGCAAGGGAGCGTGGAGAAGATGATGCGGGCGACAGCTTCAGCATCCGCTATCTCAGAATGAGTCACGTCTAATGTTTGTAGGGTGGTATGTTGAAATGACTCGTCTTTAGGATCAATGTCGATGTTCACGGCATCCATCAATATGCCTAGCTTATGCAAGTGGGGACATAGACGGAGTGCTGCAAATAATCCACGAAATGTAATGGCAGGTGGCATGGCCGGGCCCATTAACAGCAAAATGTGGATGTTTCGCCAACTTGAGATGGCTTCCAAAAGACGGTCGTTGTCAAGGTGGATGCAGAAATGAAGTTGGAGATGGAGGAATCGGAGCTGCGTGAAAGAAAGGAAATATGGAATTACTGTCAAAGAGTTGTTTGAGGACTCTTGAAGTCCTGGGCCAAAGGAGAGTATGGAAACGTGTTCAAGGGTCTGCGTTGCTTTGCACTGGGACAGTGCACGAAAGAGTTGTTCAGCCTCTGCCCAAGGCAAAACATCAACAGCCATCCGAAATTGTTTTAGGGAGGGGAATTCTGAGTGTTGCATGACTGAGATAACGTATGCTGTCGTTCCTACATCGAAAAAAAGATTCGTGACGTTGATGAAAGGTGCGAGATTAACCATAGTTCGGTCAAATGGCAAAGTGGGGGTTCTGTGTGGTGGTCCACGAACATACACTTTTAGAAGGCTAGGGAGGTTGGAGAGGTCTTTCCATGTTGCCCAGTCAAACGGTGGACAGGACAAAGTCACAAGTCGCTTGCATAACCGAATACTGTCAAACAGCAGGGCCAGCTCTTCTGCTGTGCTGTCAGCCGCGTCCGTGATGCGTAAGTCCTCCAAAGCAGGACAATGGGTGGCGATAGATTTCAAATCTGGGACATGTATTAGGAAACAACGGCGCAGCGTAGGGGACAGAAAGAGATATAAATATTTATTTTGAGAATGATGGTAAGCCGTAACGACTAATGACAGCAGACCTGGGAACACGCATGTCTCGAGGGGAAGGACTGAGTAAAGGTGGACATGCTCGCATGACGTGATCATTGAGCGCACACGGGCAGCGTGACGCAAAAATTGACGGGCCTCGGCCTCAGATAATGGTCCAACAGAGTGGGACCAGTCCCGGATGTGCTATTCGGAAGCTCGGTAAGCAAATGAACGGAAAGAAGTATGAGTAGTCTGGACTAACCCTTGAAACCCTACCGTGACAATATATCAGTTGATGTAGCCTCGGTACACAACCTAGCATTGGTGTCACCCCATCCAGCGTAGCCCAAAGCAAATCCATTGCGGGCTCGTGGAAAGTTTTGCATGTCCTGGCAAGCGCACTAAGGGATGACTTCCTGGCAGGGTCTGGATTTTTATCCAGATGCCTGAAAACATCCAAGAGGACTTCGGTAACCAAGAAAGCCTGATGCATTAGATGTACGTCGGATCGTGGTTGATGGGATACATACTAGTCTTTGTGAGTTGCGTGTATATACTAGTAGGCTAAATATACATGGGCTATGCAGACTGGTGTCGTGACCCATATGTGCGGAATATCTATCATTGTCATGATGCCGGGTGCCAATGTCAACAATACCCTAAGTCTGTTGATAGAGCTCTGACGATGATCCCACTGAAAGGGGGCAAGATAGAAAGCTGATTACAAGACTGCGATGGTAGGATAAACGAGGTCGAAAACAAGGAACAGAGCTATCGACGGATGCGTCATAACACAAGTTGAAGGTCCGCTAGTCTCGGAAACAGTCGGACCGTCCTTTTCATCACAGCCAACCAGGTGCCCCCAATTATTTTTAATGAACTTGGCCACCCAATGACTAGCTAGCCGAATTTCGATGCAGTGATAGACCCTGTTGCACAACAATCTCTTGGCCAAGATTTTGTTTCTTCACAATAACCGTATCAGTCCTTAATTTTCGCAGCGTGCCCTTGTAAAAAACCTTCAGGTGAGTCAATGCAAGTCTCTTAGAACTAACTCACATCCTCCTCTGGGATCGGGAATTCTCGTTCTGTCCTCCACCAGCCCTCTGGAGTTTCTCAGGTCCTTTACCGGGATGCATCCGTGCTTTTCGATGATTCCCTCTGTTCCCTCGTGATATATCTGGGGAATCTCTGCTCCAGAATAACTGGCAGTGCCACGATGTCACCCACGAATCAGGACATCAACTCGAGAACGAGACAGATCGATGAGCTTTGCAATCTCGGCTGTCCTTTCTCGGCTGTCTTCTCATCTCATCCATGCTCTGACACGGATGTATCTGCTGACGCTCAATCTGAAGGCTCTCCGCTTCAGGCAGAAAGCGGACACCATAATCAGGGGCTTATATGGGGCGGGAGTGTGTCCTTCATGAACTCAGCAAGTGACCCCGACCACGGCTGTAGAAATAATTGAACTAAACCGCCGATGCCCATTGGTCTAGGTTCGCAGCTCACCGCGCTTTGCAGGCTTCGGCCATCCTTATGACAGGATGCTGTCCTGAGTCATGCCCCTCGTACCATGTTACGCTTTGTATCAAAATCGAACAAATCAGTGAGTCAGTGACCACCGTGTTTGATACAGATACGGGGATGATATTATCTACGTGATACACAATTGGTTACGTCTCGTACCATTTCTCGAGCTCGTTCTCTAGTACCTTGCTGCTAGCATCACATAGTTGATGGAGAAAGTTGATGATTTTTCTATGGAAAGTACATACATGGTATACCAGCACCGTGACGAATGTAGGAAAATGCAGCAAGCAATGTGCAGAATAGTTTGGTGCAACAACAGCTGGGCAGACCGAGGAAGGTAAAAAGTCAAAAATTGTGATGCATACATATGCACTTGCGTTCCAAATGAGAGAGAGAGATAAGTGCGATGTCCGAGGGTATGATAAGGTACTTGATAATACATGTAAGTAAATGCTGTGCAAACTCATGAGCGAATTGTTTCACAATATAAAAAACGGACAATTGAACTTACATATCAGATGATCTTGACAGTCATCACAAGGCCGATCGTTTGACATAAGTTCGTTATTCAATCGTCGTAGACATTAGCGAACGCGTCGATATCTCCGATACAGGAGATGTGGTCATTGCCCAGATGACGCTTGAGCGCATCCCGCCGACTGAACTCTTTCCCACATCCTCCAACCATTTGTTTGCCGTTATAGATGTAGGGAGCCGCGTCGTGCGGAACATTATATATTGTAGCCGATTCAACGGGTATACCACAGCAGACCCACTGTGCAGGTCTCTCGAGACGGGTATGCGTGAGGATATGTCGTTTAAGGTCAGGAGTACGATGGTTGCGCTGGATCCACTTGCAATAGGGACACGCCCAAGGGTTAGATTTACTCGCAAAGCTGGGAGCAGTGCCAGGGGCTGCTTGCGCGTTTCGGGGAAGGGGGGCAGGGCGAGCTCGTTTTGCGGGAGGTGATATGTATTGGCTCATGGTATAAGTGGAAGCATGGGAAGGTATACTGGAATTGCGCGTAGATCGACGACGTTTTTTTCGGATTACGCGAAGATGACGGGACATATTCGTCGTCCGTCTCCTCTGAATCGCTCTGACCCTCGGCGTCTTCGTCCGAATCATGTAGCGCGACAGGGTTGCGCTTGATGAAGGAACGAGCGGACCGCGTAATAAATGGCAAGGAGTTGTTCACTGCAGGGAACATGGGCTGCGGAGCTGGTTGTGGGACAAAGGAAGAGGGGGGAGTGGGATCCATTGTAAGTGCGGCTTGAGGTTCTGCGTTGCACCCAAAGATGAGCGGAGGATTAAACCCGGCGTCGACAGGAGGGATATAAGGAAGATCCGCGACTGGATCGAGATTGTGGTCTAAACTGTGAACGAGCATAAGATGGACGACTCATTGCGACATGGACTTCACAAAACATACAAGTCTGAGGGTGAATATTGGATAGGGTCATAAGACTGAAAGAGAATCCCATCTTGGTTATCAATGAGCTCGATCTCTGAGTCCGAATCAGAGTCAGAGTCGGATTCGCCTTGGGATTGATCATGAAAGTCCAAGGAAGTTATTGAATTTTGAGGTGAAGAAGAGGCTGAAGATGAACCAGATGAAATGACTGAAGGTGGACCTGGGACAGATGGGACGAAGAGTGCTGGTTTGTCTTCTGTGTCGAATTCGGCGGTAACTTCGGCAAGCCAAGCCATATGATCCTCCCCGTCTTGAGCGCGAAGTTTCTCGTAGAGAGTAGCCATAGACTGACGACGGTAGATAGTGGACGTCATTGCGAAGTCAATGAGCAGGGGTTGTGGTAAGGTAGACCTTGCACTGGACGTTGACTTGGACCTGTTATATAGATTTCTTTCTTTCATGTCTCAGCTTCACTGCCGAACCTCGTTTTGTTCTTTCAAGTAACTCCGACCATCTAACCCTCGATGTATGTCACATCGAGGCTGCCTTGCTCCAGGGATTGGCCGAATATAGACCCCTAGTGCCCACCCCTCGGTTCTCGGAACAGAACAAAAGGGACCTCAAAATTTGACGCTCGGCTAGATCAAGATAAGATAGTTCAAGCACGGTGGGAATGTGATGACTCGGGGTAGTACGCCCTGGTTACCACGTTGTTTCCTCACAATCGTCGTTGAGAGTATAACAAAGGGCACAGCCCCGATTTTGATTCCGGCGATTGAACAGATGTCATGCGCACTCATGCAGATAGCAAGTGCAATAGGATGTAGCACAGTCAACCTGCAGGCAGAATTCTTGTATCCTGCGCATTGCCTGCGCAGCAAGAAGACCGTAGATCATCGATCAGAAAACGTCAAAACCTATTTCGGCTTGACTTCGAACTCGTGCTCTGCAACGTGCTCACGGCGCCTTTGACTTCCAGTATGCCTCGTGGGAAATTGTCTGGACCAACAAAGGGCGCCTAAAAGTAACAAGACTTTATCCGAAATTTGGGTAGATAGCTCTAACGACTGACAGTAATTTGAACGCGATTTGAACAAAGGTCGTCGATTAATTCAGAATATGCGTGTAATGAAGAACACTCGAGGGCGAAATTACGCTGGAGTACGGTACAGAATTACCGATCTCTCCGCGAGCGAATGCGCTTTCCGAATTGCACAGCGGGACCTCGACTGATCAACAATACCATCAGACAAATTAGGATTTGTTTGGTTGGAAGCTGTACGTACCCTCGAATTTTCTTCTTGGGTCTCTCCTCATGGGCAAACCCTTCTATTGGTTGGTTCTGCCTGAACTTTTCCATGGACCAAAGGATATACCTAGATTGCTTTATGATGCACTGGTAAGGAACAACATAGGTAAGGAGTTACGGACCTCCGGTCTTGGATGCTTAACCCAGCATTCTTCATATCCCATCCTGATGTACGCCAGAACGCGTCCCAGCTGTCTATGGATAATTTGGTCTCAGATGAACGACCAATAGCTTTAAGGAAGTCTTGTGGCGTAGATATCTTGCCTGACGCTAAGCTGGTAAGTATAACAAGTGAAAGCAGGTGTTTGACATTCAGACCTCTTGGACTTGGAATATCGGGCCTCCGAGAAACATTGCATGTTACTGTTGTAGTCACTGTTCTGCTCTGAACATTTTTAATAGAAGGGAAGACTGGGTGAGACAACGGAGCCTTGGTCAACGAAACCCTGAACATTGAGGTAGCGGAGAAACGAAAACAGTACTACTGGTGGTTTATCCCGAGGTCGTCCTGAAAAGGAAAATTTTCATGGAAGCAGTCGATCAACGTCGAACAAGACAATTGCAACCAAGACGAGAGAACAAAAGAGAATTTATGTTTTGATACTACAACCAACTACAACTTGCCTACAGTCTCCTATGGCTCGGTCGGATGAATAATTTTAGTGTGCAACATGTTCCCAAGGCATTCTATAACAAATCTGCGGAGATAGCAAGACATAGGGTCTTTCGGTTCAAAAGCTGCCCAAGCGTCGCACAATGCACACCGAACTGTCGGCTTCGGGAAAAAAGTTATGCCCGCATCATGTTCCTAGAATACTGGGGCGCGCGCTACATTTTGACAAATTACAAGCGATGTTGTACTAATCAACTTCTGGAACGATGGGGTGCACCTGCGGCTGCTTTTCCAAATATGCAGTATGCTGCAACAAAAAGTTGTGTTGCTTGCCATCACCCTGGATGGTATCAGGTCTCAGTAATCTGACACACCATTGCACTGATGTGACTCACGATGATTGTGGAGGGGAAGCCGAGGTCGAAAGGGACGATGCTCTCCAAATACTTCACCTGCTCGGGTGTTAGCGAAATCGCCAGAGACTCTACGTTGGCCTCCAAGTGCTCCACTTTTCGCCCACCAATAATCGGGAACACATAGGGCGTCTTATGCATAAGATATGCAATGGCCACTGCTGTGATGTGCTTCGTACCAACTTCTTTCGCGACCTTCTCTAACGCTGTGCTCATGGCCCTTTCCATCTCATTGCGTTCCCAAACGGTACTCGTGAACATGCGGCCTTTCTCTCCCGTCTGCCGGCGGCGATCCTCTTCCTCGTCGGTTCGAAGTTTTCCGCCGGCAAGGACATTCCAAGGGGCAAGCGCAAGACCTGCATGGTGAGCGTGAGTTGAGGCACCACATAGTGAAGAGCACGGTTGATCTACCTTCAGAGCGGGCCATTGGTATGATATCCCGTTCAAAGTCTCTGCTCATGACGTTCCAAGCACCTTGGTATATCACGAACGGTGTTTTTCCATGGTCGCGAGCATACTGGTTCGCTTTGGACACGACCCAAGCAGGCGTGTCCGAGATGCCCTGCCAACGATACATGTTAGCGAACGTTGGTGTCAGCATAGAAATGGGGACGCTCACGAGATACAACACTTTTCCTTGTTGCACTAGCACATGCAGACCGTTCATCACCTCTTCGACAGAGGTGTCCCAGTCCCACCAGTGCAGGTACAGAATGTCGATGTATGAAGTCCTCAGGTTCTTCAAGCTGGCCTCAACACTGACGTGCATTGACTTGACGTTATTGCCGGTAAATAATACCTTCTGGCGGATGGCGCCGTTGCCTCCCTGGTAATTGGTCGTGTACTTGAATATGGATCAGCATGGAACAATATTCATTGAATTTCAAGGCTACCTTTGTAGCGATCACGAGCTGGTCACGGATGCCCCGTTCCTCTGCCCACTCTCCGATGATTTCTTCAGAGCTTTGATCTTGGCTTAGAGGTTGTGATGTATATCAGCGACGACGACGACGAATTGAAGAAGACACAATACACACTAGTTATTAGCAGTGTCGATGAAATTTCCCCCAGCCTCGTAGAAGGCGTCGAGGAGCTTGTATGATGATGTCCTGTCCATACTACCCATCCCGTGCTTCTCCCACTTGTCACCGATGCTCATGGCACCGAGCTGCAAGGGCGAGACGTGGACACTTGCATGAGGGGATAATGCACGATACCGCGCTAGCCTAGACGATGGCTTTGGGAGGGGTGCCCAGAACGAGGTCCTTTCAATAGACATGATTGTAGAGTTGATTGAGGTATCTGATGTTGTAAACTGCAGTTTGTCTGAAGGCTGGCAGCATTTTATATATGCTTTTCAGCCTGGCACCTCGTCAGCACCATCATGCGATCAATGTGATGCCTGTCAGCACCCCTGTGTGATAACTGCGATGCCAGAGAACCGCGTCAGTGTTCTGAGTAATATGCCATGGGTATGCCGAGCAAAGTGTTCTGAGTAATATGCCAGTTGTGCCGGGCAAAGACGCCAGCCGCGTAATACCATAGTGTGAGCTAAGACAAGCTTAAGGTTATAACGACATACACGCGGCCATCACACGGCTAACCCCACTCCGGGGCCTATATCGAGTCATATGTACTCATACAACTGTGTATGTAAGACAAGCCTACACGCGCTGCAGTAATACAAAGAGGTCAGAACCAAGGTGTCATGTTTCTCATGGATCAGATTAATGAAGATTTCTAACTTCGTATTCAACCGAGGAACATTCGACGCGAGTAAATAAATGGGTATCGTCTAACAAGTACGTCCATCCTAGCGGTCAAAAGACCGGGGCATCCCTCAGGAAAAGTTGTCCTTCTTCTTTCTTCACCCATCGAGTAACTGCGTTCGCAGCGTTGATCACTGCAGCCTTGGGTAACCGCGGCGATAAGACCACATACAGCTCGAAAGGTTGCGTTATCTGAAGCCACGAGATCAGACCCAACGGTGTTGAGCAGCTGAACACTTACCCAGCCCATGATTATTTCCTTCTCGGTACGAATGTATTGCAGCTTGAGGTTCCCTGTTTGCCCAGATTTTGCATGTATCGCGTCATGTACGATCTGGTACAATGTGACAATTCTATTTTTCTGTGATTGAGTATGTTACAAACGAGGAATGTTAGGACCAATTACCTTCGCTTCGCATCGAGGGTATCATAAGGCTCCTCAAAAGCCGGTAGGGTGATCTGAACATGCGACCTCGACTTATAAACAAAGTGACGCAACCCAGGTATCCCCAGCTGGGAAGCAAAGTAGCTTGTTTTCCCGGAGTCGACAGCTCTAGCCAACGCATTGAGGGATCCATCATCATTCAATTTCTGTGGTCAATGTCAATGTCAACGACATGAATGTGCTCGTAAGGTAAGCTATTTGGCACACCTGAGTGACAACGTCGCACCATGCTCGTACAGTCTCGAACTCACCCGCACCGCTGATGCACACCAGTCCGACGCCAGAATCTTCTATGAGCCTAGCTGTGTGTTGCGACGTGATACCTTGGCTGCTTTCGGCAACATGGCTGGCGCCAGGGGTCTCTGCAACACTTTCATTGTTCTCTCGTGTTGTCCTCTGATAAGATTTCTGGTCTGAATCAGGGCGATGTAGAAATGTGATGTATGCGTTAACAAAACCAGCAGGGTTGAACTTCGGTAGACAAACTGGAATCCATGATGCAGATGCGGGCGAGTTGATGATAGATGGGGAATAAACGGTATTGACGAGAATGTGTATATCTGTAACAAGATGAGGGTCAGACGTCAGAATGAATAAAGGGCACGTGCCGGAAGGGTGTATTGAGTGCTTTTTAGGTCGCACCAATGTTATGACCTGACCCCGTGCAACCAAAATGATGTAGAGGGTATCCTGGAACAAATTCCCATTAGCACTTCGATCTTTCTCGAGTAGCAGAAGTTCTGACCTTCATCTTTGATGTTGGCACCAGTGCTTCGGCAACACGCGCTCGCAAGCTTGGGTCCAACTGTAGACAGTTCAAGGAAGAAGTTGCCATTGCAAGGTCGAGTTCCATTCGACCTAACAACGAAAACAAAAAAGGTTCTGCACCTGTTTTTCGGGCACAATCAAAAAAACTTAAAGGAACATTAGAGATGAATTATCGTACCGTCTAACAACCTGCGCAAGTCAAAGTTCGTGCGACGCTCGAAAATTCGTCGCAGTTGGGATGCCGTGACGATGCTCAGTATTTGTAGATGCAGATACTCGAGGTGTGAGCGAGTCTTTCTTGTTCATAATTAATCGACTGACGAGTGAAATATTCGTAACGCGAAGCCGCTACTCACGACGGACTCTGGCTCACCCCACGATGATGCGCAGACATAATACAAGGGGGACCGAAGCAAGAAGGTTATCCGCAACTTTCCAGCATTTATACAACGTAGCTTATCACCATCGTCGAGGAAGACCGACAAAAGCGCTTGAACTATACCCATGATAGAGGATAAATTCTCGACGTCCTCCCCATCAGGGCGACTAACGGGTGATGACCGTTATCATTGAACCTCACTTAGTGGGCCGGTAGCCTCACCTAGTGAATACAGGCTTCCCGGCGTCCGTGAGTACAAAGTACTCTCGAGGGCTATATCCTTCAATAGCTACGCCGAATTTGAGCCACATGGATATATCTCATAATATTACTCACTTGTGTCAGGAGACACGGAACTAATTTCTAGAAATTCATCAGTCTTTCGCCTTGCGTCTGCAACAAACCTCAGTGCCAGTATGCCCTAATCAAGACGAAAATGACCTGATTTCTCCCTTTGAACACTCAAAGTCCGCCGTAGGTGATCCCGCAGGTTCTTCCTGGATTCTTCGTCAGCTACATCATCTATCTGGCCGACCGCGGTGGTTTCTTCGCTGTGGGTAGTGTCGACCTCTGGGTCCACGTCATGGACAAGAATACCGTCATTCAAATCAAGATTCGTTACCGACGATGCTGAACTTTCAAGACCCGGCATGGCTACGGATAAGTTGCCTGTGCTGAATTGGTGATCTTTGAGATTTGAAAGTGATGGAGGGGAATGTAGTACTGGTGGGATGACCAAATTATGAGCAGGAGACGACGGGGTTGTTTGAGAACGTGTTGAGGTCATGACGGTCCATAGGCAAAACTGACTTATTACTGCTTGCGCTCGCCGCTTAATGATCAGCGCAACTGCATGTGACTTTGTCAAAGACTCAAAGCGCCTCTTATCTCGGTTGCACTAAATTCTAATCGCTACCACATAACATATTCCTTTCAACCAACTAGGGCTCGAGAGCATGACTAGTCTCGGGCCGTAGTCAGACCAAGTGTTGAGCAAATTTCACTCATTTTGAGAACGAAAAAGTCTTAAAGATGCAAAGGTCAATTTCAAACAACTTCTTGGTTTAGATGTGGTACAACAATGTGCTACTTGTCCGCCAGGGTTCATGGGTGGGTCAGTCATTTTGCCGTCCACCGCACGTGTCCTTGTCTTTACGACCAACTGCCAGCTGGCAATGTCGTCTTCCTAACGTATTCCCCAGGTATCTGAATTACAATGAGGGACATGCCCTGTCACAAGATCCCAGGAAAATCATATATAGATGATACTGCCAGCGTTTGCTACAGCTGTCTAGTGACTGTTCCAGATTTCGCCAGAAACCTCACACAGCTCCGCAATCATGTCTAATAAACCTTTGACCGAATTCTGGCCACTTGTGCCAAAGCCATCATCCAGGCTAGCGCGGTATCGTGTATTGTCTCCTCTTGCTGGCATCCATGTCTCTCCCTTGCAGCTCGGTGGCATGAGCATCGGCGACCAGTGGGAGAAGTATGGTGTTGGTGGTATGGACAAGTCATCCTCTTTGAAGCTCCTCGATGCATTCTACGAGGCTGGAGGAAATTTCATCGATACCGCTAACAGCTAGTGCGTATCATTTTGCACGTCGCCATCGTAGCTCACAGGTCTCGCAACCCGCCAGCCAAGATCAGCGCTCGGAAGGAATCATTGGAGAGTGGGCAGAGCAACGGGGCATCCGTGACCAACTCGTGATCGCTACAAAGGCAACTTTAAACTGGTGAATGTATATTCGAAACTGATACTTATGTGTTCAAGTACACAACCAGTTACCAACTCGGTAACGACACCATTCGCCAGAAGGTGTCATATACTGGCAACAATGTCAAGTCGATGCACATCAGCGTTGAGGCCAGCTTGAAGAAGCTGAGGACTTCTTACATCGACATTCTATACGTACACTGGTGGGACTGGGACACTTCCGTAGAAGAGGTGATGAACGGTCTGCATGTGCTTGTGCAACAAGGGAAAGTGTTGTATCTCGTGAGAGTCCTCGTTTTTACGCCGAGTCTGACATTCGTTCACATGTATTACTGCAGGGTATTTCGGACGCCCCTGCCTGGGTCGTGTCCAAAGCGAATCAGTACGCTCGGGACCATGGAAAGTCACCGTTTGTGATATACCAGGGTCTCTGGAACGTCATGCTTCGGGACCTTGAAAGGGATATCCTACCAATGGCGCGCTCCGAAGGTAGATCAACCGTGATCTTCACCTTTCTTGTGCCTCAACTCACATTCGTCCATCCAGGTCTTGCGCTTGCCCCCTGGTATGTCCTTGCTGGCGGAAAATTTCGAACCGACGAGGAAGAGGAACGCCGCCGGCAGACGGGAGAGAAAGGCCGCATGGGGACGAATAATCCCAATTGGGAACGCAATGAGAATGAGAAGAAAATGAGCGCAGCGCTAGAGAGGGTCGCGAGAGAAGTTAATGCGACGCACATCACAGCAGTGGCCATTGCATATATTATGCAGAAGGCGCCCTATGTGTTCCCGATTATCGGTGGGCGAAAAGTGGAGCAATTGAAGGCAAATCTGGAGTCTCTGGAGATTCGGCTCTCACCTGGGCAGGTAAAGCATTTGGAGAGCACCTTTCCTTTCGATCACGGCTTCCCTTACACCATGATTGTGAGTTATCTGCGCAGTGTCGTGCGTCAGCTTATACTGAGAGATTGCACTTAGGGTGATGGCACGCAATATAATCGTATGTTGCAGCACGTTGCGTATCTAGAAAAGCAACCGCTGGCACAGCCTATTGTTCCAGGTATTGATTAGTTTGGTACATCCTGTGTTTTGTGTGCATTTCAAGGCGCATTCCTGGGCAGGCTGTCCTGTATTATATTCAATTGATTCGCCGCAATGTATGTGCCAGTGTACAACCAGTGTGAGCACGTCGACTCACTACGGTTCCCATAATGGACATAATTACTGTCTGCGATACTGAAGTGCAGTCGGACGACAGTCTGGCCCTCCTACACACAACTAAGAAATATAACATTGGGCAGGCACTGATCACGGTCAATGATATTGTGTTCAATTGGCTGGCTCAGAATATTCATGACATTCGTCCCTTCTTGACCGTAAGGCCGACATGGCCATGGACAAGCTGCCTGTGCTGAATTCATGAAACAGTAATCTTTGAGTTTTGAAAGTGATGGGAGTGTAGAGTGGTACTGGTAAGATGACTAAATGAGGGGGAGACCACAACGTTGTCTGAGAATGGCTGAGGTCATGACGGTCCAGCAAAACAAAGGCTCTGAATTTCTACACACCCATACACTCAAAATAAACACATCCGAGCGAGGCCACGCCGCTTACCAGTAAGCGCACAAAAGCTTGAGCCATCCACCATCATATGCATCAAGGACCTTCCAGCAGAATGTTTCGGTCGAATAATGCGGAACCATTCATTACAATACACCGTCCACAGCCAGCCACAGCCTATGCCCTACCCTTGCTCGAAGCAATGACAAGTTTGATCCAAGTCCGAATCAGTCCAGCGAGCCGCAGTGCTGATGTTATTACTTACTTGAATTGCCAACCAAGGAACATGTTCCAAAATTCAAATTTGTCCAAGCAGAGCAGTGAGGTGACTGACTGCCAGCTGGCAATGCTTCCTGACGCTTTCCCCAGGTATATGAATCAAAACGAGGGTACCGTGTCACAAGATGCCAGGCTGCCACAAGCCTATATAAATGCTGCTGGCAGCCTTCAGGCAAACTGCAGTTTAATACCATCAGTCACTTCGTTCGACTCTGCACTTGACTCTGCAATCATGTCTAATGAAAGGACCACGTTCTGGCCACTTGTGCCAAAGCCATCATCCAGGCTAGCGCGGTACCGTGTATTGTCTCCTCTTGCTGGCGTCCATGTCTCGCCCTTGCAGCTCGGTGGCATGAGCATCGGTGACGAGTGGGAGAAGAACCACATGGGTAGTATGAACAAGACATCCTCTTTGAAGCTCCTCGACGCATTCTACGAAGCTGGGGGAAATTTCATTGACACCGCTAATCACTAGTGCGTGCCATTTCTGTCATGTCGTCATCGTAGTTGACAAGTCTCGCAACCTGCTAGCCAAAGTGGGCGCTCTGAAGAAATCATCGGGGAGTGGGCAGAGGAACGGGGCATCCGTGACCAGCTCGTGATCGCTACCAAGGTAACTTTGAGATACAACACATGTAGGTTCGATACTAATACTTACTTGTTCAAGTACACGACCAGTCACCTGGACGGCAACGACGCCATTCGCCAGAAGGTGGCATATGTCGGCAACAACATCAAGTCGATGCACATCAGCGTCGAGGCCAGCTTAAAGAAGCTGAGAACTTCATATATCGATATCTTGTACGTACATTGGTGGGACTGGGACACTTCCGTAGAAGAGGTGATGAATGGTCTGCATGTGCTTGTGCAACAAGGGAAAGTGTTGTATCTTGTGAGCGTCCCCATTTCTATGCTGACATCGACATTCGCTAACATGTATCGCCGGCAGGGTATCTCGGACACTCCTGCTTGGGTCGTGTCCAAAGCGAACCAGTATGCTCGGGACCATGGAAAGTCACCGTTCGTGATATACCAGGGTGCTTGGAACGTCATGCTTCGGGACCTTGAAAGGGATATCATACCAATGGCCCGCTCCGAAGGTAGATCGACCGTATTCTTCTCTCTCTGATGCCTCAATTCACGTTCGCCCGTCCAGGCCTTGCGCTCGCCCCTTGGAACGTCCTTGCCGGCGGAAAAGTTCGAACCGACGAGGAAGAGGAACGCCGCCGGCAGACGGGAGAGAAAGGCCGCATGATGATGAATCCCAAATGGGAACGCAACGAGAAGGAGAAGGCCATGAGCGCAGCGCTAGAGAAGGTCGCGAAAGAAGTTGGCACGAAGCACATCACAGCAGTGGCCATTGCATATATTATGCAGAAGGCACCATATGTGTTCCCGATTATTGGTGGGCGAAAAGTGGAGCAGTTGGAGGCCAACCTGGAGTCTCTGGCGATTTCGCTCACAGCTGAGCAGGTAAAGTATTTGGAGAGCATCGTTCCTTTCGATCACGGCTTCCCTTACACCATGATTGTGAGTCATCTGTGCAGTGTCGTGCGTCAGCTTATACTGAGAGATTGCACTTAGGGTGATGGCACGCAATATAATCGTATGTTGCAGCATGTTGCATATCTAGAAAAACAACCGCTGGCACAGGCTATAATTCCAGATGCTGATTAGCTTGGTACAGCCTGTAATTTGTGTGCATGTAATTTTCAAGGACAACTTGACCTACCATATACTACGACCAAGAAACAACCAGAGTAAGCATCGGGCAGACACAACAGTAATTCATGACACAACCTTCGACGCATCATCAGCTCTTGGTTGCGAAGCTTGAGCTGACAGTAACCATCATTTTGTTCGAGCGCAGGCACACGCCAAGCAATACATTGCATTACTACTTAGCAATAAGGGCGGTAATGTCATTAATTAAGCGTATTGGCACAGCTAGCTATAGAACTGCCATGGCTTTATGACTCGAACACAATGTTAGCCCCAACCTGGACGGACGGTCACAATCAGTACGCTGACGAGAGAGTTATATAGAGGGCGCACCTTGTGAGTTGGGCCGGTGGGGTTGATTTCGTTCAAGCGTTGAGTGTCCAGGGCAAGACCGAAGGAAGCCTTAACACCAGGACGGAGGGCCTGTGTGTACCCTGCCAATGTTGTCAGAGAAATGTCATCGGTAGACCAGCAGGGACTTACCGAGGGCGAGAACACCGGAGTTGTTGATCTTCGCCTTGACGAAAGCAGCCGAATCAAGGTACCTACACGTAATAAGTTCAACGAAGTTCCCAGCCAGCCATGTGGTCCTGAACTCACGCCTTAGTGCCCACCTCAAGTGCAACACCTGAAGTCGTTGCCTTGGAGTCGTAGACAGCCTTAGCACCAGCCTCGACGTCAGCGCTGACACGGTGGTAGTAGCTCGCAGTGAAAGTTTTGAGGTTGTTGAGACCGTGAACTGTCACAGCGTACTCGGGAGCGTTGTAACCGATGGCAGCGGCATACCGAGTGATCTTACCCTCGGTGACGTTGTATGCGGTCTCAGCACCGAACAAGAAACCGTCGCGACCGAAGACGGTGTCAGTGGTGAAGGTGGGGCCCTAACATTAACTTGGTATTAGACAGAGAACCAAGGAATGAAACATCACCGAACCTTGAACACATCGAATGCGCCGCGGGTGTGGACGCCAGACTGCTTGTAGACCACGTTAAGCAAGGCTGACTTTTGGCCCTTGTCGGGAGTCAATGACGTAGCGATATCAAGCTTGAGGCCTTTGGCAAGGTAGTTCTCGAGCTCAAGCTGAGATTTGAGCGCGTTTGAAGTGGTCCATGTCTCGGTGAAAACGAGGCCGTTCTTCTTATCAACATACTTGGCCTCAATGTCCCCAGCGATGGCACCAGTTTTCGAGTCCCGGCTTCCACCGGCTTTGAACGCGACATTTGATGGCGTTTTGGTCTTGACCTCCAGAGACGTTCCGTGGAAAGGATAGTCCTTTCCCAACAAGTCATTAGACGACTTTCCGAGGTCCTATATTCAAATGCTAAGTTCTAGAACATTGGCGGCGGCCGCGACATGCGTCATACCTTCCATGAAGGGGGAACTGGTTGAGGGAGAGACATGATGCGGACGCGAATTAAGACTGAAGGAAAAGGGAGAAAGGCGGAACTGGCTTTTTGGGCGGAACGAGCCGTGAGAAAATATCAGCCCAGCGGCTTCTGAATCGGCTGCGAGCCGAATTATTACCCAAGTACACTGCATGTAAGTGCTACGTTGCGCTCATCATGTCCTCTGACTCTGGAGACGTAACTCCGGTTGCATCAAGTCAATCTTCTGGTTCACGCAGACCCGTCTATAGGGTTGAATCAACTGGTAACTTTTGGCAAGATGCGCGAGAAGCTTTCAAGGTGCGCCTTTCCATTTATTAAATTTTATGCGGCTGAACACTTGGCGAAGCTAGCGCATATCAATAGCTGATGACTTTCAACGTCTTGGTGAGATGCCGTGTGCTCGAAACAGTCTTATGAGTGGTATCGCCAGTGGTGTTGGAGTAGGAGTCATCCGTATCATGAGTGCTGGTGCGTTGTCTGCTGGATTTACACTGGCTGTCATCGACATCATTTGTTCAGGGATTCTCGTCGGATCACATTGGGCAGTGGGGACTTTCATGCTTGTTTCCTTGGGCACGTGGTACGTTCTTCGAACAATTCACACCAAATATATCCACCGATCGACTTGCAAAGGACTGTCTGCCAGAGGAATATCGAAGTAGAGCGACGTAAGTTCCAAAAAGTGGTCGAAGAAATGCCGAAACGCTTTATCAAGCAGAAAGACAAGGCGGCAGACGAAAGCGAGGCGAGCTGACAGGCATACAGGGCAGCGCTTGTCCTTTTCGAACAGATTTCCTATCATCAACACAGGACCCCAGCTGGTTCTACCAAATGATATCTCTCCAGTTTTCCACCAACTCTGGATCGCCCTTGAAGTATCCGATTGGTGATGGGTTCTAAGCCAATTGAAATCAACGATGCAACGTTACCTTGTACGACTGCCCGAATTGGAGGAAACCCCCTTGAAGCACATACACAGTGTGATTCGCGTCATGCAAGGCGTTGCGGGTTTCTTCGTAAATCTGCTTTGTTCTCAAATTTTATGACGTGACCGCTTCGAGGAAGGAACGTACTCTGGCCGCCTTTGGCCCGCTGTCGAAGGTGATGAGTGTAGGCGGTAAATATTGGGCAGATCAACCATACCGCTCCTGGCTCAGTGCACAATGGAAGATCAAAATCGGTACATCCTTGGTCTGCTCGATAAGGTCGTCAACCTCCGACAGGAACTTTTGAGATGGGTAATTTCGAGAGCCTTTGATATTTCCTCCCTTCCAATCTTCATCTCTGACGTCTATGATAAGGTAATCTATGTTACGTTGGGTCAACGATGCCCCTGATCTTATAGTTGAAAGTAAAGACACCTTTGTCTGGGACTTGAGCGCTTTTGATAAGCTTCGCAAGCTCCTGCGAAGATTTATTATTGAGTTATAAGAATTAAGCTTAAAGTCAAGTTAGATAGTTGTAACCCGGCCTTACACTTCCTGTTATGCCTTGCACCATCGTTGTGCCGGGACTCGGGAGTCTGGCGTGAGAGTAGGGAATGAAAATAATAAAATTGAAAGTTGAGATGATTGTGTCTAAATAATGCGTAAGCAGCGGTCAACTTGACTGGCAAAATGTAAGGATGCCGCTCGTTGCGGCACGTCGTGCGGTGGTGTACATGCACGTGCGTCCGTCTTGGTAATTTCTATTTCTTTCTAGATACCACGACGAGAGACGTATGTGGGTATTGATACGTGCCCTCCTCCTTGTTGATCCAGACTTTACCATCTCCTCGCTCAAGAATTACTTTGATGTCCTCCACTACCTTGGCCTTTTCATCTGGAGGGAGCACAGAAATGTAACTCCAACTCAGTGCTCGCTCCGTAACAATTTGATCAGTAGCAAGAGCACGATATGCCCATTTGTTCTCTTCGTGAGAATGAAATACGGAGGTATACTCAGGTGTATTAGAGAACGCTCGCCTCAGGAGATTGAAGTGAAATTGAGGCGTGCTTTTCTGATGGACCTTCCTGCGATCATAGAGCTGTGCAACCCAGCCTGCAGCCTCCCTGCAACACTGTAAGAATTGATACAAAATGAAAATAACAGAAGCCGAACCTATCTTCAAGATTCCATATCATCACAACTGCTCCGTCCTTGTTCAAGATACGAGCGAACTCGGCCAATGCCTTTCCGTGGTCGAGGCACCAATGGAATGCCTATGCGATCCAGGGATGAACATACATGCCTACCTGGTTAACCCTTAGCACTACTCACCTCTGCGATAATGACAATGTCAGCCCATCCATCTTCCACGCCGGTGTTATCAAATGTTCCTTTGGTGATAGCAGCGCAGTCGTCCTTGACAGATTTCATCCAAAAATCACGCATGTCGTCACTAGGTTCGACCGCTCTCAGCGCGCCAATGCTCGTGGCCCACTCTGGGTGAGTTAACAAAGCACGGGTGAAAATTCCCGTTCCCGCCCCAATTCTGAAAGCCAACTGGAGGGAGGAACTAGAAGGAGTTTGTGTAACTCACTCGACGACGTGCAACGGTGCTGTGGTCTTGGGTATCTGGCGGATGTATGAAAGAGATTCAGTTAAGTACGAGGGGCGAACCCTAGGTGCAACCGATCCATGAGATTAACGCATGCGGACCACGCAAATAGTCCACTGACCGATCATATAGTTCGGTTGTCCCAGTCCCGAAGCCTGATTGTGCGATAGGATGCACAGTCGTCTCCATCGTATAGTAGAACCTTGAACTACACGTAGAAGTTGCAAATAGAATCGCTGAGCTTGGAGAGAGTAGTACGGGGCCTTACTAAGTGGTCATATAGCGGGGACATTATATTTATGGCTATTCGCCTTCGGAGACCCGTACGATCTAAATTGTGTGAGACAACAGGGCGAAATTTCTGTACAGTCCGAGTAGTTAATGCGATGCCATAGAATTCACTCGTAGACCTGCCAAACATTCAAGTTATCAAGTGGATTCAACAAGTTGCAACTGACCCTGTAGTCGCCTGAGCCATGATGACGAAAGTCAATACATCCATTGCAACAGAGAGAGTCACAGTTTCGAGACTTCGCTTGCGAGGAGTATGCCAGGACGATCTGGGAAATAGGAGGAATTAGGTTGGATAGATCTTGGAATCCGAATTCCGGGGAAACGACTTTATTGCAAGCCGGCGTTCAACGCTCAACAACGTTGAGATGGGTTGTCTACGAAGTTCTGACAGTGGGGGCAAGCCAGGGTATGTCGGCAACAATACAGCAGGAACGGCTGTTTTCCGAACTCTAATGGGTCTGCTTACTGAGCTTTTTTGCAACACAATTGGGTATGTGACGAAGGTTGTCAGTAAAACAGATTCTAATACTTCAAATTGATCTTCACAAACAGAGCATCGTGCAGACGTGATTTGGATAAATGGGATCTAGGTGGGACAACAGGGTAATGAAAGCAATCAGGATAACATAGAATGCGATAACACGACGAAGCAATCAAGCTAGACACCTATGTGGACAAACACGATCTGTTGTTCTAGTGGAATCTTCTTGCGCAACGATTTCACAGCCTTGTGCAACGCTACCGCAGCCCGTGTGCAGTCCAATCTCCCTGAACCATCGACCAGTTTGTCGTAAAAAACGGACACAACCTGTCGTGCAACCTCATCGTCGACAGACCACATGGAACCTATCACACTGCGAAATCCAGAGAATTGCATCGCCGCAGCGAGATGTATCGCCTCGTCAGGACTCTTCTCATGGCCCACGGTTGTGTGGCAAGCCGATAAGAATGCAAACTCCAGGTTCTGCCAGTTGGACCGGATGATTTCCTTGATCATCAACGGCCCATCGCGCATTGCGAAGGAAGAGTCGAACGGTTGCGTCCGATGTGGCATTCCATGGCAAGCTAGGTGGAGCCACTGATTATGATTTAGTGCATCAAGTGCACCCTGGACTGTTGCGTCGTTATCCTCGAGTGATGTGAAGGAGACGACGGGCCCGAGATGCCGAGCGACGATGGCTAACTCAGGAGCGACATGACGGAGTTCCTTCCCTCTGTCCGGATTCGCTTGACCGATAGCAACAAAATGTTGTGTGGACACCTCTTGAGAAACTCGCTGTCTCGCCCGAATGAGCGTCGCCAAAGTGGGGGTGTAAGAGGAGATATAAATGTCAGATAAGTTGTTTTTGTTCTTCTCGTACGGTCCTGCTGCATGTAGAGGAAGAAGCGTGAACTCAGCAGTGGGGCACCACCAGATACGCGAGCCATGGTGAATTTTAGATGCCCTAAGCGCTCGGACCACGGGATCAACAACACAATCCCAAAGCTTGCGGAGGATGCTGACAAGTTTGTTTTGACGATCAGAAGAACCAAATTGCTCCGCGAGGGACTGAAATTCCGAAGACAACTCGGAGACTTCAGTCTGCGGGATATCGAGTGGAACGTGGACAGGATCTTGTGCACTGAAGACAATCAAGGCGTCACAGCCATATTGGCTTGCATTGACGATGATGACAGGGCCTTCTTCAGCAGCCTTCTGTAGGTTGGAGAAAAGGGGAGGCAGGAGAAACCGAGAAAAGTCAGGCAGCATGCGGATGCGGGAGACGACACCATTCCATTGCATGGTCAGTTGTCGGATTTGTGGGGACTGTTCTTCAGTAGACCGATCAAGCGCGCTACGAAGGCCAAAGCTCAGCTGCTTGAACTCATTCTCCAAGGCTGCGCCGGTGTCACCGGACAGGGAAAGTTCATCAAGCGGTGAGCGTAAGCGTGCCAACTGGGTCCAGAATACGGCACGGCCTTGCTCCACCAGTTCCATAGCAGTTGTCAGTGCACCATGACGAACACTGCACGAGAAAGCGTCCATGGCAAGTGAAGCTGTGGCCATCCTGACGACATCAAATAGATCTGGAGAAGACGGCAACATAGTAACATGATGATCTAGGAATTTCAACGCAGTTTGATAGGCAAGTAATGCAGAGTCATGGTTCGTCTCTTCGGCAGAGGTGGCCCATGACTTGGCAGCAGTAAGATCCCTACGGGAGACTGCATGAGATAGGTAGGAGAGTTGCACATACAGCTTAAATGCTTCATCACGGTCAGACTGGACGCCCCGCTGCTCGAATCTGTTACGAAGGCTCAGGGCAAGATTATTGAGAGTCATTGATCGATCAGAATGACCGGGGGGGGAAAGGAGTAGTGCAGCCCGATAGAGCTCGATGGCCTCATCAAGGTCAGACTGGACGCCCCGCTGCTCAAATCTGTTTATAAGGCTGTTGGCAAAATTGAAGAGAGATGCTGATCGATAAGAATGACCGGGGGGACGAAGGAGTAGTGCAGCCCGATGGAGCTCGATGGCCTCATCAAGGTCAGACGGGACGCCCCGCTGCTCGAATTTGGTTTGAAGGCCGGTGGCAAGATTGTCGAGAGACGCTGATCGATCAGGATGACCGGGGGGACGAAGGAGTAGTGCAGCTCGATGGAGCTCGATGGCTTCATCAAGGTCAGACTGGACGCCCCGCTGCTTAAATCTGTTTTGAAGGCTGTTGGCAAGATTGTTGAGACACGCTGATCGATCAGGATGACCGGGGGGACGAAGGAGTAGTGCAGCCCGACAGAGCTCGATGGCCTCATCAAGGTCAGACGGGACGCCCCGCTGCTTGAACCTGTTTTGAAGGCCGGTGGCGAGATTGAAGAGAGACGCTGATCGATCAGGATGACCGGGGGGACGAAGGAGTAGTGCAGCCCGATGGAGCTCGATGGCCTCATCAAGGTCAGACTGGACGCCCCTCTGCTCGAACCTGTTTTCAAGGCTGTTGGCAAGATTGTTGAGAGAATGTGATTGATAAGAATGACCGGGGGGATGAAGACGTAGTGCAGCCCGATGGAGCTCGATGGCCTCATCAAGGTCAGACTGGACGCCCCGCTGCTTGAATTTGGTTTGAAGGCTGTTGGCAAGATTGTTGAGAGATGTTGATCGATAAGAATGACCGGGGGGACGAAGGAGTAGTGCAGCCTGATGGAGCTCGATGGCCTCATCAAGGTCAGACTGGACGCCCCGCTGCTTGAATTTGGTTTGAAGGCCGGTGGCAAGATTGTCGAGAGACGCTGATCGATTAGGATGACCGGGGGGACGAAGGAGTAGTGCAGCCCGATAGAGCTCGATGGCCTCATCAAGGTCAGACTGGACGCCCCGCTGCTCGAATCTGTTTATAAGGCTGTTGGCAAGATTGCTGAGAGACGTTGATCGATCAGAATGACCGGGGGGATGAAGGAGTAGTGCAGCCTGATGGAGCTCGATGGCCTCATCAAGGTCGGACGGGACGCCCCGCTGCTCGAATCTGTTTGAAGGCTGTTGGCAAGATTGTTGAGAGACGCCGATCGATTAGAATGACCGGAGGGATGAAGGAGTAGTGCAGCCCGATAGAGCGCGATGGCCTCATCAAGGTCAGACTGGACGCCCCGCTCCTTGAATTTGGTTTGAAGGCCGAAAGCAAGATTGTTGAGAGTTGCTGATCGATCAGAATGACCGGGGAGATGAAGGAGTAGTGCAGCCTGATGGAGCTCGATGGCCTCATCAAGGTCAGACTGGACGCCCCGCTGCTTAAATCTGTTTTGAAGGCTGTTGGCAAGATTGTTGAGAGACGTTGATCGATCAAAATGACCGGGGGGACATCTCTGCAAGGCCGCTCGACACTTTTGCACCCTGTCGGCTATGATATCATGATCAGTTACACGAGGACTGTCATTGGTCAAGAACTTGAACACAGGGAGAATGAAGCCGAAGAACGCCGTGGCAATTGGGCGAAGACAACTCTGTGCCTTTCATGAGTATAAAATCTAGGTGGATATGTTTGAATTGCAATACGCACGCACATAGAAATTCGAGCACTGACACACCGCGGAGAAGAAATGGTATAGTGAGCGCTGAACTTGTATATGTAGTAAAATAGCAGTGAGGGCCCGAGGCCTGAGATCTGAGAGGCCATCAGTGAATTCACGAGTTCTTGAGATTATAGCCGTGTGAACTTTTATAGAAGAATACAGGAAATGGAATATTGATATTAACAAGCAATCCGCTCGCCTGCGGACGACGGTCTCATCACCTGCAATTGCGGTAATCATGCGAGCATTGATGAAACAAACGCCATCAGTTCTGCCACCGAAAGTGAAACTGGATAACAAATCGGTCCATTCCCCAGAACTGATCTTCTCAACAGTATAGGGATTTGAAAGCCAACAATACCGTGGAAGGAGCAGCAGGACGCCATGGAGAACTGGGAGGGAAAACGCAGCAGGGCGTGAAAGGGGCTCGATTGCAGCACGAAGCCTGAGCGGAGTACAACATTCACGGTCTCTTTCTCTTCATTGCTGGGTGACCACAACGTCCGAATGTTGTGACGATTTCGCACTCTTGAAAGAGCAGTGTACAATTAACCATGTGCAAAAGTGTCTCTGCGCAGGTCTAGCACCGCGAATTGGAGTGACACTGTGTGAGACCTTGCGAGCCATTGAAGGTGGTTGCATATGCAGGTCGCAACGGACATTGTTTCCTTTTCACGGTCCAATTTGAGCGTGCGGGATTAAAGGCGAAAGTAATGCGAGGAAGGCAATGAATTTCTCCTGTGTTTGGTATCTGTACTTCGACGAAGCGTCGATGCAGAGCGGTGATTCGTACGCGTGCATTCCGAACCAACCCCCAATGCTGACAATACTATCTAGTACTGTGGAAAGAGCAGGAGGTCTCCATAACGAAGAAATTGATGTGGGAAGGAGGGACGACGATGCACCACGATATGAAGGGTGCTCGAGCTCATGAGTCAGAGTAAAACATCATGCGGTGCGCAGGTGATCGATTGTTCTGAGTTATATGCAACTCGACAGGTTCTACTTCTTTCTAGACACCACCACGAGAGTCGTATACGGGTATTGATATGTACCTTCCTCCTTGTTGATCCAGACTTTACCATCTCCTCGCTCAAGGATCACTTTAATGTCCTCCACTATCTTGGCCTTTTCATCTGGAGGGAGCACAGAAATGTAACTCCAGCTCAGTGTCCGCTCCGTAATAATTTGCTCATTACCAAGAGCATAGTACGCCCATTCCCTCTCTTCCAGAGGATGGAACAGGGAAGTATATTCAGCTTTAGAGAAAGACTCCCTCAAGAGATTGAGGCGGAATTGAGGCGTGCCTTTCTCGTGGACCTCCCTTCGATCACGGAGCTGTGCAACCCAGCCTGCGGCCCCCCTGTAGCACTGTAAGAATAATCGATACAAAAGAAAAGAACGGAAGCCGAACCTATCCTCAAGGTTCCATATCAATACAACTGCCCCGTCTTTGTTCAAGATACGAGCGAACTCGGCCAATGCCTTTCCATGGTCGAGGCACCAATGGAATGCCTGTGCAATCAAGGGATGAATATCCGCACCTACCTGATTCCAGCATTACTCGCCTGTGCAATGATAATGAGGTCTGCCCACCCATCTTCTACGCCGGTGCTATCGAATGTTCCTTCGACAATAGTCGCGCGATTGTCCTTCACAGTCTTCGTCCAAAAACCACGCATGCCGTCACTAGGTTCGACCGCTCTCAGCGCGCCAATGCTCGTGGCCCACTCGGGGTGAGTTAACAAAGCACGGGTGAAAATTCCCGTCCCCGCCCCAATTCTGAAAGCCAACTGAAGGGAGGTTGTAAAATAAGCTCATGAAACTTACTCGACGATGTTCAACGGTGCAGTGCTCTTGGGCAACTGGCGAATGTACGAAAGCGACTCAGATAGGTATGAGGGGCGAATCCTAGATGAACACAGTGCAATCGAAACAATCAATGCATGCAGACCACGCGAATACTCCACTGACCGGTCATATAGTTCATTCGTACCAGTCCCAAAGCCTGTCTGTGAGATGGTATGCACATTCGTCGTCATTGTGCGGGGTGTGAGTGAGCCTCAAACCAGACGTGGAAGATGCAAAACAATTCGCTGAGCTTGGAAAGATAGTGGCTACACCAAGCCTTGGTCAGGATAGCGGGGGCGCTATTTATGGCTCTTCGCCTTCGGAGACCCGTATCATCTAAAGTGAGATAGCACGATGGCTCCAAAATCTCTATGCAGCCGGATCCTGAAAGTCTGGCCAATAGCCTCAGACTCATTCGTCTGAAACTGCCGCATGATATCAAGTCACTCACCCTCGTGATCAGCCGGTATGATGAAAGCATCTTGACACTTCCATTGTAAGGAAAGTTACTAACCATTCCTCAAGCGTCCTTCGCCTGCCAGTGCGTCGTGCGAGGGATATTTTGTTGGTGACAAAACTTGAACGGACGATCTGGAAATTAGTTCAAACAGATCTCGACTTTCGTTCTGAATTTAGGAGCATGGGCGCAAGCCGGTATTGGACATTGAGATGGGCTGTCTAGAATGGCACGATTAAGTTCTGAATCTGATGGACGATATCACCATCTAGTCCATGCGTTTCGCATAATGGCACTGCGTGACGCGTCTGCTACAGACTGTCGCTACTAGGTTCGGCTCGCTCGATCGCTCGAGATAGTCTTCAGAATGAGAGGGTCGACGAACGAAGCCTGGGCCGAGCTCTCACTCGGACTGGGACGGGTAGTATTATCCAGAGCGAGGCGAGGGAAGAGGAAGTCTTTTCGACACGCTCGGTTCACGTTTCGGCGTTGAGGGTAAGTTGAGTATTTCGAGAATCGGAAAGCCAAGCTCTTGTGAATATACCAACTTCTTCAGACGACAGGAAAAGAAAAGGATACCGAGCTCTATGTAGCTGAGATGATGATACCGCAGCCCGCGGTCAGTGTCAGCCGAGTGTGTTTTTGCAGCACAACTTGGGCAATGCCGGGTATACGTACTAATTGATGAAGGCAGTAAGCAAGAATAAGTAACAGTACAACAGATTCTAATAGTTTTTTGCAACACCCAAGAAAATGCCCAATACATACTACTTAAATACACAACGCAGCGAGGATCATACAGTTTACGATTTGCGTTTCCCTTTCTTCTTGTTCGCGTTAGTGGTCCCCTTAAGACTACGGGTAGGAGATGGAGTAGTAGGCGTTCGTCCCCTTGCCACAATACGTTGGCCCTGATTTTTTTCCTCGTAGAATCGGGCAGACTTCCGGCGCTCAATCTTTCTCGCGTCCTTCCTGGAACATATAGGACTCGTGGACCGCCGTCTATCATCCTCTACCACACCACTACCACGGCCCGTGAGTGTGCTTTCATCGTCCTGCTCATCATCGCCCAGCTTAAAAGAGAGCGGTGCTTCAGACGCCCCTTGCAGTCCCCAGGAATGGTCAAAACCTGGTGGGTACGCACCCCACGGACCTGCCGGTGGCGGAGGCATATGAGGTGAACCGTATGTCAACATCGTGGCGGACAAAGCATATGACAATTGCTGCATCGCCTGGTAGAGAAGAAGTTGTGGTGGTTGTGTGGGATCGACGGAGGGGGTAGCAAAAGGGTAGACTTGAGTCTGCGGCGTACGAGACGCGAAACGGGTGCTTGCTGTAGTTGAAGGAGTATCAGGTACTACGGACCAGACAGTCAGTAAATGATTATGCAGATTGCGAAAGTGGCTACATTACCTAAAGTACTTTCGGATGATGTGCAACGTTGCGAAGATGGTGAAGATCTTCGTAGTGAAGAGGATGGTGAAGGTTTTCGTAGTGGAAATGATGGCAGAGGTTTTGATCGCAGTGGAGAGGATGTCAACAATTTTCGTTGCGATGAAGATGGGAAAGACGTTCGCAATGGAGAGGATGGAGAGGATGTTCGTTGCGATGAAGATGGGAAATATGTTCGCAGAGGAGAGGATGGCGATGATGTTCGTTGCGATGAAGATGGGAAAGATGTTCGCAGTGGGGAGGATGGCGAAGGTGTTCGTTGCGATGAAGATGGAGATGGAGAAGATTTTCGTTGTGAAGAAAACGGAGAAGAGTTTCGCTTTCGTTTTCCAGCTCGCGGGGGTCGCTCGAGGAGAGCAGCAAACTCCTCGTCAGAATCAGCGAACTCGAGGATTTTCTGCTCACCTTCCGCAGCATCCTCTTCAGATTCATTGCGGACGATGTGGTACACGGCACTAGCCTCGTCGTGCTCCCATATGCTAAGTTCATCTTCAGACTCGTCTTCTGCGACGGCTGCATGCCCTGATTCAACGGTTTCTGGCTGCTCGTCATCACCCTCCGATTCGTATAAGGCTTCTCGTAGCGCAGCTAGTTCTTCCATAGACATATCATCTTCGCTGTCCTCATCCCCCAACTGTTCTCTTCGTCTCTGTTCAGCTTCCAAAAAGTCATTGAGATCGTCAGCGTCTGTTGTTGCTGAAAGAGGTGGCACTGCACGAAGCAGCTCAGAAGTTGATGCCATGGTACCGTCTGTTCCAGAGGCGCGCCGGACGGGTAGAGTGTCCAATTCATCGAGGTCATCATCCTGGTCCTGCGCGCCGTGCTCCTGCTCCTGATCCTGATCTTGATCATCCTGACTATCATCGGGAGTGAAATGGCCAAAATCATAGTCCTTTCCGTTCTTAAGTACTCCTCTGTCATTGATAATAGTGCCGCTGTAGAGGTCGACTATATCATCTTCATCGAGACGTTTGTTATAGCGTTCGGCGAGCTGAGCCCAGACATTAAGAACGCGATGTGTAGATTTGGATAAACGAGGACGTTTCGTAGGTCGGTGATCTGGAGGGCCAAGAGAAGGGGAGGCATGAGGTGCCATGACAAGCTTAGGGCCTTTGGGTTACCTTGTTGTTTACCAAGTCTATACCAACAAACAGTCAAGGCCCCGTGACCTGATTGTCACTCCGACTTAACTCCGACGCTAACACGGCTGGACAGGCTCGAATCTTGATGACCACCAACTCGGATCATTGAATGACGGTTTACAATTCGAGGTTCGTAAGGTGCTGACAATAGCTACAACACGTCGGGCGCATTCATGGTTGACGGCACTAGGACAACTGATATTTCTGTTCCATCGATCTATTGCTTCACACTATGCAAAGACATCCTGGAGCCAAGTCTCATAGTCATACTCGGGTTCTCCGACCTCGTTGTTTGTCGACGGTATCACCTCACTCAAGTAGTCGACTGCACTTACGGGCAACTGAGCCAAGCGCATATCGAGTTCAGTCACAAAAGGCTGTAGGAAGGAATTTTCATCAGCGCACAAACTACTAATTAAAAGTCACGTACTTTGTTACCCGCGATTCCACGGAATGATTCACGCAGTTGCTCCGGTGACGTTTGGTCCTCAGTGATGTCAACCTTTTGCATGTTGTCTGTAAGAATTGCAGTAATATCGAAGGAAAATCATCTCACCAAGAGATTGATGAAGGCTTCAAAAGTGACCGCGCCGTAGTCTTGTAGTAGCTGGTCGTAAATATAAGTCATGTCTTCATCCTAATCGTTCAGTAGTTTGGTGAGCAGCGCATCTACGAAGTTTACGATGCACTCACTGAGTACACAAGGCCCTGGCTAGCAAGAGCTGCGCTCGTCTCTGTCAAGCTCAACGTGTTTGTCTCGTCGCGGTCGAAATACCGGAAGGTGCTCTCAAATTGCTCCAGTTGTGCGGGAGTGAGGTTGGTCATATTTCGGGAGACAATCTGCGCTGCATTAGTCAAGTAGGATGTACTCAATGAGATGCGGACCTGATTGTCAATAAAAGATATCTTCTTCGCAAGGCTCTGTGTCACAAGTCCTAGTTCAAACTCAAGGTCTTGACACGTGAACACGGTGTAGTCGTTTTCTTCTACATTTGCTACGACGCAGTCTTGCTCTGCCTTTGCCACGCGCGTCAGGGCTTCAGATAACGTCGGCAGCCGGGTTTGAATTTCTTTGACCTGGTCTTGCTGTGTCTATTTTATCACACGTAAGACGTTGTCTCTTTTGCAAGTTGGGTACATACCTCTAGCGGCCCCGCAACACCCGAGAGTTCCAACGATATGGCGTGCAGACGTTGCGAGAAATCATTAGCCAGATCCGCGAATTCTTTCCGCAGGGATTCTTTGATCCTAGGCTAGCCATTGAACATCGAGAGCGAGCAACATAAAGCGTATGACTGACTGTCGTATTTGTGCATTGATTGCCCGTGACCTTTTCGCCTCAGAATGAAGCAGGTCATTCCATGCATCGTCGAGGTCCTAGAACTCAAAGTATACGATCAGGTATAAGATTGAAACACCGCGTCTCGAATACCCACCGAGAGCGCGAGACCGGGAGGGGGAATGTATTCTCTTAGCCCATAAGTTCGAAGCTTCGTTTGTATGTTACCAAGGAGTGTAGTGACGTCTTGTCGCTCCATGACCCATGTGCGTTTGGTTGTGTGTTTGTAAGTCGTAAAAGTGGCAGATTGTTCCTTCGCATCCGTGTATGTGCCGGTGAAATGGCTAGTAGACCATTTTTTCTGAACCTCAGAAAGTGCACGTAGGAGCTATGGGGGACAAAAAGGCGTGAGCTATGAAAATTAAGGTATGGATAGACGCACAGCGCGAGCTCGACGCTCATAATCATTTTTGCTCGTCCAAACGGATTGCATCAGTTCAGCAAATTTTTCGACACGTCGGGAAACAGTTTCGGCTTGATCTAACCAGGCGATTAGTTTGCATATGATATGACATCAATTTTGGCTTCTAACGTACCCATCGTTGAGAAGGCGTGGAAATAACTTGCAATATAGGTCATAACACTACGTTCATCTGGGCGGGTTGAATCGCACAGGTCCTCCACCTCGAGGAGTTGCTGCATAGGCCAAATAAGCACCTCCGCAAGCGTTACCTAATGTGAGCTTACGGGGACACCAAGATGGTCTGCAGCCACTTGGAATGCCAGGCGAGTATTACCATGTCGATCGGACTGAACAACAGTCAGTTACGATATTTACGGATGCCCCTACTGTTACATGCCTTATCAAGTCTGTCATAGTCCAGAAGCTCGGGGCGATGGCAATGGATTAATGCACATCTGGAAGAGTGAGTCAAAGTAGGATTGTAGCCTGAGAATGTACTAACAGCGCGAGCCCATCCGACCAACTTATGGAGAAGTCTTGTACATCGACTTCTTTGTACGGCTCAGTTTTGCGTTGAGCCCAAAGCAGCAAGCCTTCCTTCGCTGAAAGGCCTTCCTCACTGAAACAGCATTGAATGAAGCATCTTCTTGTACGAGTTGCCTTACCTGATGTCTGCGATGGTGAAACGCAAGACCAAGGTCCAGATCATGCCCAAAATTAGTTTCAAGTTGCCGTCGATGATGTCTAGAGTCCGACATGTTGACATAGTTCATTCCGATCGAACTGTGCAACATGCCTTCTGGGCCAATATTTGTTAACTTGATACCGCGTTGTCGTATGAATTCCAGTGCTTTATTGACATTCTCCGCCTTCTGGACGCGCATTCGCGGGTTCTTATTGTATCTTCCGAGGGACGTATCACCTGTACAACACACGAGCTATCCGCACCATACAAAATTGGAATGACATACAATCTTACCCATTATTTCCTGTGCAATAACAGGACATAAACCATGATCGCTCAAGTTAGAGGACATTTGTTCCTCTTACCATGAGCTGGATTAAGCGCACACCGTCCGAAAGGTCTTGGACGAGCGAGTGCATGGGCGGGTAACCATTTGCTTCAAGTTTGGTGTTAAGCCTGGATGGCAACTTGAGCTACTCCGCCAACGGCAGTGTACAATCAAGTAGCTCACCACTTGCAGAAGGTTCTTTCTTGAGTCGAATCCATTGCAGTTGAGACTGGACACCTAGGTCACTGAATAATGCGGCCACAGGCTGATTGAGGAATCACGAGTAGCACTTGAAACTTAGATAGGTCACATTGCCAGCTGATCTTACACTTTACCTCGACGTGAAGGTGTGCTCCTGGAGATGCTTGCTGGAGAACTAGTAAGGTGGCGAGATGATAGTCAAGGCTAGTATCGCTTATAAGGAAAACGCGCTCGGACGCGATGATTTGTCATTGAACGCGTCGAGGCTACTCTCAACCTCCATCCACCATCATCTTTTGCTGATACCTTCTGTTGTTCGCTATGGCGACGATACAGTTCGACAAAATTTATTATGGCCTCTCATCGGAAGTTGGGAGTAAGGAGACTTTCATCGGTACAACACTCTATACTGACGCCTGCTAGAATTTCGGGTGGCAGCAAGTGGAATGGCCTGGAAGGGCGAAGAGAATGATACAGTAACCGCCATACCGTCTGCAGAAGTCAAATGGGCCCAATGGTATCGCGTTGCACGGAACTTCCAGCTACGAGTAGGGTTGAAGGACAGACGGCGAGAAACTTTTGATGGTTTCTTGCGGGAGGTTGGTACAGGCTTTTAGCGATGAAATGCTGTTAAGGAGTCTCGCAGGATCACGATAAGCTCGCAGGGCTACTGAAACAGCACTTTGCGGTGACCCTGGAAGTCAAAGATGTCACATTCAAGGGCTGGAACTGGGGTGTAACTGACATCCAAGGTGTGGCATACTTGAATCTTCTTTATTTTATCTCAAATATCCGCTCCAGGGCAAGATCTAGCGTTCCTCGTATCGAATAAGACGGCTTTCGAGCTCCCTCTGAGCCAAGTAGCGAACTCCAACATCGCCGGTCGCACCGAAGTCTCGCTAGAATTTGCCCCATCAACACCATCTGGGAAGAAGCCTTCTCGCAGCGCTCCAGACGAGATGGTGGAGATTCGCTTCTATGTCCCTGGTACGCAAGCTCGTGCTCGAGGGTCGGACGCTGGATCGCAGAAATCTGATGACGAGGAGGGAGAGGGAGAGGAAATGAGTGCAGCACAGGCATTCCATGACGCCATCAAAGATAAAGCAGACATTGGTCAGGTTTCTGGAGACTTGGTCCTGAGTTTCGAAGAAGTTCTCGTTTTGACACCTCGTGGACGATACGACGTTGACATGTTCCTCGACTTCTTGCGTCTTCGTGGCAAGACATACGACTACAAAATTTTATATTCCAGCATTGCACGATTATTCCTCCTACCCAAAGACGATCAACACGTACTCTTTATCGTAAGTCATTTCTACTTGATTTCACCTTGGACTAAAAGTATTATAGCTGGGATTGAGCACGCCCATTCGGCAAGGACAGACAAGATATTCTTATCTTGTCATGCAATTTGCCCGGGAAGAGGAGACCACAGCAGAGCTCAATATGTCAGAGTAAGCCAACCATCGATGCCTCAACATGATCATGCCTCATATATGCGATTCAGGGAAGATATCGAGAAGTATGACAGACTGAAAAAGAACTACGAAGATCCCACCTTTGAGGTTGTCTCGGGTGTTTTCCGTGCTCTATCAAAGAAAAAGATCATCAGCCTAGGGTCATTCAAAAGGTGAGCAACTCACCCCTGGCGTTTAGACTTTGCTGACATCTGTCTTAGTCGCGATGGTCACCCAGGCATCAAAGCCAACCTCAAGGCAGTGCAAGGCGATTTGTTCATGCTGGAGAAATACATCTTCTTCGTTTCTAAACAACCGACTCTCATCGAAATATCCGACATTCATCAGTGTGTCTTCTCTCGGGTTGGTGCAAGCATGGGCGCCACTGCGGCTCGCACATTTGATCTGAAGATTGTGACCAAGAGTGGCCCAGAGTACACATTCACGTCGATCAACAAAGAGGAGCACGAACCAGTCGAGGCTTACCTCAAAGACAAGAAGGTGAAGTTGAAGAACGAGATGGTGCCCGATGTCGACATGCTGGCCGCTGGCGTTGACTCATCTGACGAGGAAATGCAGAGTGTTGCCAGTAGCGGAGACGAAATGCCCAAGCCGAGGTTGGGTGGTGATGATGAGGATAGCGAAGAAGGTGCGAATTTTCCTTTATGGCATGTGTTGACTCTTACCCTGGTGTTGTAGATGAAGACTTCCAGGCCTCGTCCACGGATGAAGGTTCTCCGAGTGAAAGCGACCCGGATGATGACGACGGTGTTACTGCCTCTGATGCTAGCGGAGATCGCGAGCTGGCGAATGCTGCGAAAGGAAAGAAGAAATTGACCAAGAAGAAGGCGAAGGGGAAGGCAGCTGACGGTGAGGCGGGTGATAAGGAAGACAAACCCAAGAAGAAGGCCAAGGCAGCCGGTAGTGATGCAGGGGATGATGAAGATAAACCCAAGAAGAAGAAGGCTAAGGCCAAGGCAGCTGGAAGTGATGCAGGCGATGACGAAGATAAACCCAAGAAAACAGCGCCCAAACCTAAGCCGAAACCCAAAGCCAAGAAACAAGACGATGATGCCATGGATGTCGACGGGGACGAGGAGCCGAAACCCAAGCCGAAACCAAAACCCAAACCAAAACTCAAAGCTTCCGGTCTTAAAGAAGGTGAGGAGGACGAACCCGTCAAGAAGAAACCCAAGGTATCTTCGGATTGAAACTCTCATGTACTTTTACTTGTTCCTTATTACTCTTCTCCTTGCTAATCATCAATCATGATTTCAACATTGTATACATTTGTTTTGAATCCGACTACATAGGTAGTTACAGCTTGCATATGCAATATGCAATGACACGAACAGTAGATGTGGGGTATATTCAGTTCACAAGGCACATCATGACATGACATCTCCTTTACGTTTGGCCAGGAGAGATCCAGGTTCGAATGTGACGCTGGCGGTAGCTGATGCACTGAAGGGAGGTGAGACATTAACGAGAGGCTGACTAGGGCGTGTAGAGATGGACTGTTTTCTTGTTTGAGACCGAGATAGGGTGTTAGAGATCGAGGCGGAATCCACCGGTTTTGCGAATAGGACATGTCGCTCCTGGAAAAGAACGTAGGACTAGAGGGCAATGAGCAACAGGTTTGAGGGACCGGGTATAAAACCTTACTCGCGCCACAAGGATGGCTTCCATCCATCTCTCGCCGTCCTTTTGGTTGCATGACAAAATATGAACATAGTCCGACATATTCTCAAATAGTGAAATGTTGTCAGTAGATTTGATGGCAAACACAAACGGTTTAGGAGACTTGTGTTTTCTGGTGATGTAATACGCGTCAAAACTGGAGAGTGAGCACAGGAAAGTCTCATCCTTTCCCTGCAACAAGCTTTGAGTCAGATATGAGAGGCCAAAAAGGATAGCGTACTGTGTCGCGCTTGGACAACCACAGGCTGTGCTCTCGCAATTCCATCCAACGTTTGCTCCACTTGCCCTTCTTGCTCTCATATTCGACATACCCGCGGTTGGTAGGGGAGCTTGTAGGTATGTTCTAGGCCGCTAGTCAGTAAGTTTCGGGTGGTAACGAACGAGAAACGTACCGAGCGGCTCAAGAAGGGTGCCAAGTAGGTGCGTTTGACCACAAATGCATTTAGAAGTTTGTCTTTGTTCCAAGAAGCAGTGACATCTGATAGTAGCTCATAACTTCGGATAGGGCGTTCTGTAATTGCATAAGTTGCTTTATGACCGCAGAAAGTTATGAAACTTTCATACCCATGCCAAAGTCATTCGCGAGCTCGAACAACATCCAGACTGCCGTATTATCCAACGATCCTTGACTTGCAATCAAGGCAATGACATCACCAGCATTGGTATTTGGGGTAATCTCCACCGTGTTGAACCTTTGCATATCTCCAATGAAGACCCGTTGCTGGGTGACCTGTACTTTTATCGCAGGCAAAGGCTGAGACCGTGAGTGTATCAGCTCGACGGGAGGGCGTTGGAGAACACGCTGCTCGACGTCCTGGTCTACAGAGACGCGAGGAATAGGTGGTGCTGGTCTTCTGATATCCTCGCTTGGACGAGCGGACCTTAATAGCGATTCTGAGCCATTGCGACTCTCAAAACCATCTCTGGAAGGACGAGTGACAGACTTGTCCCGGCGCAAAAGCGATTCTGAGCCATTGCGACTCTCGAAACCATCTCTGGATGGACGAGTGACAGACTTGTCACGGCGCAAAAGCGATTCTGAGCCATTGCGACTCTCAAAACCATCTCTGGATGGACGAGTGACAGACTTGTCCCGGCGCAAAAGCGATTCTGAGCCATTGTGACTCTCAAAACCATCTCTGGATGGACGAGTGACAGACTTGTCTCGGCGCAAAGGCGGGTCTTCTGGTCTGCGCGAAGCAACCGTCGGTCTACGTCCGGGGCGTTGCGATAAGGATGATTCTAGACGTGGCTGAGTTGTATCCACAGTTCGTCCCTCTGGACGGTGGAAAGATCGCATGGATCTCAATTGCCGTTCTTGTGGCGCTTTGTCGGTGGTATAAGCTGGAACGTGTTGGAGGAACGCCGTCTCGTCTACGGCTTGCGGACGGAGAATCCGTGGGCCAGAACCAGAAATGGGTGCTCTTGATAATAGTGATGCAGAAGCAGTCCCATTATAGGAAGGTGGCGCGGTCGACGGAGGTGTTGCCATTTGAAGGTTTGCTAGTTTCATCGCCAGGTCATCAACGGGGAAAGGTTCGATGGGAGCTGGCCTGCCACGAACCCTCTCGCCTCTTGAAGGAGCAAGCGAGGGCGTGACGGACGCAGAACGTTGTCGACCATGTATGACAGTAGGAGGAAGGGCAGGAACAGGAGGTCGTTCGGACGCCATTACTGCGCGAGTGCTCTTCGCACGCTCCATCTTCCGTTGGTGGCGCTCGTCACGCAGTTGCCTTCGAATAGACTTTTGGGCTGTGAGTGCCGTCGGCATGCTTTGAGCGAGTGGCACATCATCATCAGAACCTGAAACCATCCTTGAGCGGACGGAACGTGTACGAGATGGAGGCCGAGAAGAGTGTCCATTCGAGGTTCCATCCACGCTATAGTAAACAGTACCGTTGTCTCCCTCATCTGAAGATGAGCTGTAATCCGAATCACTCCATTTTGGTGAACGTGTGCTTGGTCTACGCCCTCTGTCCCCGTCATCCCCGCCACCCCCATGACCGGACCCTCCAGAACCACGGTTTCCAGAATGACCCCCCTCCTCTCTTCCTCCATATCTACGGTCCTGTCTGTCCTCATCACGGCCTCGCTCTGGAGGCGGTCCACGTTGTTCAGGTGTGTCATCGCCGTCGCGCGGAGCATCTTCAAGTCTTGGTGAGGAATGTAGCTTGTGGTTTTGAGACGGGTCGTGCAGGACACCAGGCATAGTGTGAAAAGTCCGTGCAAGATCCGAAGATGTTTCAGGAGAGTAAAGAGAGGTGTATGGTGTGGGTGTGATCTCTGGGTAAGGGGCTCCAGCTTTAACCTTTGAAGGTAAGTCCCAGTCTGAATCCGAATAATCAGAGTGCGGTTGTGTGTAGTAGTCGAAATCAGAGTGATAGCTAAGAGGATAATTTTCATCTATGCCATGTTCTTCGTGGGCGAAAGACATTTCCGAACCCTGAACGTGGCTAACAGAAATGCTATTTTGGTCGGTCGACGATTTGGACCACGGGGAGGTCAATATGGATGAGGAACGTGAGAGCGCAGATGAAGAAGGCTCAGACCCTGTAAATGAAAGCGACGGAAGGGAATCGATGTCGGCATCATCAAGCTGTACCGATACTGGTCTCCTCTTGATGAAATGAGAGCTAGTCTCGGATTCATCCGAATCTGTGGGTATTTTCTCTGACATTGATGAACATGCTGGTGAAGGGGTGCCTTCTAAATTGGGAATGAAGTCTTGCATAGTATCCAAAGGCTCTGGAGCCTGCGGAACAGTAACTGCAGGCCGCGGCTGGGAGGGCCCCGCTATTGGTTCCGCAGAAGTACCAGGTGTGGCAGAAGATTTTATATCCCATGGTTCATGCGGTAATCGAGCGCCAGGGGTTCCCTTACGAGGCTTGTGGTAATCATTAATGCGAGCACTTGATCGTCATCAACGCCACAAAACACGTACTTTGCGTGGGATACCAATGTTCATTTGAGCTAGTGTGTACAAAGAGGGTAATGACGGTCTAGGAGAGAATGCCGGCCTTGTGTGGGCGGGACGGACTTGTCCGTGACCGGATGACTTCGGACGTTTAGGTGTATGGTGTTGAAGGTATGCTTGCGATGGAAGCAGTACAGTAGATGATCTGGGAGGATGCGATGCAACAGAAGGATTGGAATATGCACTCGGACATTCTGAAGATGAAATCACGGAAGAGGACGAGTGCAAGTTGGCAAAGGGATCCTCGTCCAGTAAGGGGGATGACGCAGCAGGGATAGGGATGTTTGAAACTTTCTCAAAAGTAGCATCATTGGTGAGTGTGACGGCTGAGAGGGAACGAGTTCGTGACGCGCTACTTGAAGGAGAAGTGGATGTTTGGAAAAACGGTGGAGTAAGTAATGACTGTAGTGATGGTCGTTTCGTAGGAAACTTGACGAGAAGCAGGCTGATCTTCTTCGAAGATGGAGACGGTTTGGGCTCAGACGAGAGAGGGTCCAAATAGTCTTCCATCAATGAGGCAGACAAATCTGGAGAGAAGGCAAAGGGTTCGTGGTTCTGAGTCTGGGAATGTAGGTGAGCACTTTTCTTTTGCCATACCGCGGAGGAACTATAAAGACGAATTCCATGACAGAACTGGTTGCTAGCGGGAGCACGTGATCGGTGAGCTCTAACATCGTTTAGATCAACAATCATGGACACAACGTGTCAAGTTGTCAACGGGCTGCGCCGCGATCTGACAAACACCTTCAAAGACCGCCCGCAGTCGCAGTCCTAATACAACTGGAGGAAATTCTTTTGGCGTAAAAGAACTATACATACCCGAAGTGACTCCTCTGAATCCGCCGCAAAGCATGGAGTGTCCTTTGCAATTATTCCTGTTGCCTCGTTTTCCCATTGACAGTTTATCGCCCAGCTAAAACAAGTTTCAGCGGCAGTAGGCACTAAGCGCGACAGGTCATCCCTAATCGCAGCATGAGGCGTCTCGTTTTGGGAGCCTGTGAAAGTGTTGTGAAAATCAGTGACGGTGGGAAACGTGGACAAGAGCATTTTGTCCTCGGATCAAAAAGAAAATGAGCTAGGGGAGATTAGCGTTTTCGTCGCTGGAGATAATACAAGAAGATAGGACAGGACAAAGATGCTAAGAGGGCGTAAGAGAGTGGTGGAAGTTGACGGTGGATTCAGAGTTTGAGGACGGTCAAGTTGAACAAGGGTGAGTATTATGTAAGGCACTTCTTCCCGATCATCGACGGAAGTACTGCAGCTCGGCGTTTGACACCCATTTCTACATATGCCTCAAGAGCTACCTGGATTGTACTGGGACGAAGAAAAACAACGCTACTTTCCTCTAACTTCGAGATCTCGGAGGCCCCAAGTCGCGGGCCCCACTGGTAGCACTTCACATCCGCCGACCCACTGGCAGCCGCATTCAGCATCTCAGGCCACGGGGGAATCGCAGAACTGGAAAAGGCATAGAATTCGTTCTCTCTTGCGCGCCAGTGAAGATGCCAGATCCAGCCTCCGTACCTCTCATACAAACAAGTTGATGCAGTACGTCTCCTTCCGGTATAGGTCTCAGGCTCACCATACCAGACTAAAATGGCTATTACTCGCGAATCCCGTCGTGGCGCACAGCCAGATATCGTGCTCCCAAGTAGTGCAGACATCCCATGTCGCATCCTCATCCATCCTATCACACACACACTGCGCTATCACTGCCTTTCAGGTACGTTCATCATCATCAATCTTTTTGCAGTCATATTCATGATGGCCGGGTTCGTGGTAAGGCCGTATCCTACGATAACAGTCTTCACAGTTTCGCAGGGGACACAGGAGGATGGTTTTACTCGTCAGTAATTGGTCAAGGCGAATCAGCCACAGGGTACCACACCTCACACGGCTGGCGCCCAGAGTTCAGTCTCTCCTCAGAGGCAAGCACTTGATTGCTCACCGTGAAAAAATGTTTCACATGCCTCGTTCGTCAGATCTCTTCTATATGTATATCTGGTTCCCGCTGCATGTCAGTATCACTTTACCTCTGTGTCCGTTCATCCACTAATTCATGTGATCTAGCGCAACATCTTTTGGTCCAGAGAGCAAAATATTACACTTTCCCCTCGACTCGGACTCAGAAGAGTAATAATTCATTACCCGCTTCATCTATCATAACTCATTTTCTTCGCGCGGTGCAGCATTCGTGTGACTCGTGTGAACAATCGGTCTGTTCGCGACATATGGACAGCTGATCTTCAAGGTACTCGTTTGGTTCTGGGTATGTTCGATGTATGCCTACCGTCTTCCAATGCTTAAATATTTTCAGGCACCAACGATCAGGCCGTTGTCATCGATGACGCTGCCGACAGAGCGACTGTCTGTTTTTTGAAAACGAGTAGTGACGTATTTGCCGTTGCTCAAGATAATGTACGCTGCAGCCCGTCACGGTACCTTGATTGTCCTAATTGTTTTGACAGAATATTATTTATACAGGGTCCCGCGCTGGCATTGTCCGACGCTTTGATAGCCGTATAGCTAGTACAAAGGGCGATTGTATTTTTAATGACCCGGATACGACCCAGAATAATTCAGTGACGAACCTCAAGATTTTTTATGACTGGCAACTTCTCACGAGTAACATCGACGGAGGCGTGAGTCCATTTAAACATAGGTCCTTAATCAAATTGTACTGACCCTAACATCAGCTGGCTATGTTTGACCTCCGTTTCCCTGTCAATCGGACACCTATAATGTCGTTTACAGGCAATATCAATTCCTACACCACAAAGACTGTAAGACCACACGATGGTTTCGATTCTCCGCGTTCATATGACATTGCACAGCCTATTGCTACTGATCCCCACAATCAATTTCTCTTCGCGGCTGGCCAAGACCGCCGCATTCGCCTATGGTCTCTCCGTACAGGAGGCCCACCGCTTGTTTCACCTGACAGCGTGTTTCAGAAGCCGTTTGAAGATCCAATCCGGGCGCTTCAAGTTGTTGAGGAAGAAGTGGGTGTTTTGGGCTTGTGGGCGACATCGGGTGCAGCCCTCCACAAGTACAACCTAGGTCAAAGGATGGAAGAAAAGTCCCAGGCGATGCAACACTGATTACAAATGCCAGCCTATGAACTTTTTCTTGTTCACAAGTATCCTCTGCTTTTGCAGGTAGGTCCAGGTAAGAGGGTTCATTGTGAACGGACTAGTCAATGGATTACTAACTTAAAATACCGCCGTTTGTAAACAGTACAAAAAAAAGGCGAGTGTACTGAGTGGATTACTACTAGTCGAGTACGAAGACTTCCTGCGGAACCTGTCAAGGGACTCGAACGAACTATTTCTCTACAAACCCGCCCGTTAGGCCCCGTCGTGCTGCAAGGACATAAATTACGGAGATGACTAGATGACCATGGAGCGTACCTTGGGCGCAGCCTCAACGACTGGGGCGTGCGCTTGCATGGAGTGCAAGAGGGATAAGCTTGCGGAAAAAAAACACAGGCATCGCAATTGGTGAATGCAGTTGCATGGCGGAAGGAGCGAAATCCGGAGACAGTGCAGTATTGATGCTCGAAGGATTGTGTATCGGGGATGACATATCGATTGGTGGAAGCTCCGGCGTTTTGGCAGCATCGCCGATGGTGTCGGAAGGTGTCGGAAGGAAGAACTTTGAAAAGTCTGGGTATCGGTTATGAAGTGGGTCCCTGGAGTATCGCCGCTTTCTTGTATTCTGCGGCAATGTGCTTTCCTCCTCCAAGGACGAGTAGGAACTTGAGTTGGATCTAGTCGCCAAAGCAGGCCGCACGTCTGGAGTATAGCTGAGAGAACGGGGATCGACTGAATGCGGGAGAGCGTCATTTGGCGCCAGCGTCCGCATCGAGTAACCCTTGTCCGATTGTCTGTTGACCGAAACGAGAAGCGATTCTAATGTCGGAGGAGTATCTGATGTTCCCTGGGACACGACGGGATGGGAAGAAGCGGGACCTTGAGACCTTGAAGTGTCAGAGTGGATCGGAGTGTCGGGTTTTGGCCGATCCAGCTTTATTATATGCATTAGCGGTCCCCCAGGGTGCATCGGAGCACGAGACCCCCTGTTTTTTCTCATAAACCAGTTCCTGATCCACGCCTCATCCCTGTAATACTTATATGTTCGCTGGGAGGGTAGGTGAGATTGAAATTGAACCTACAGGCCGGTTTCCACAGCTAGTTTATGTCTTTGAGAAGCTGATGGCCGAGCCTCCTCTGCGTGCATGTTCTTTAGGATATCTACTTGCCATTGTTTTGCGCGGACAGCCGTTTTTTTGATCATGGTGGCGAGGGTGGTACAATTCCTAGTGAGAAAATATAAAGCAAGAACTTGAATGGGGCTATCAAAGAGCGTTTGGAGGCCAGCTTCCAGCGAGAGAGCAGGACGGAGAGCTCAACGGAGAGCGCGATGAGACACGTGACTATAATTTAATTATTTCCCACGGACATCGCGGGCTTAGGCTTAGGCACCTACTCGGATTGCGAGTGGACTCAGTGGAGCAACCAAGTTGAGAAGATAATTGTATTCAGGCGTTCCTCCAGGACACTTGTCCTTCCGCTCTTTTGCCCCTCATGGCACAGGCCATCTCATCCGGTCGTCGGTCAAGCTTGGACTCTCTAGATCTGTCAGGCTCACCGATAACTTCGCCAACGTCTCCATATTCACCATCTGACAGTATATCTGTCCTTGATTCGTCTTCAGCACTCGTGCTCCTTTCCAACCAAGATGACCAGGACTCTTTTGACTTCAGTAGCGATGAAGAACATGAGGAATGTGACTCTCAGCTGGAGACTGCGAAGCTTGCCATACCTCCTCTTCAGGCACCCACAATCTTTTTGTACCTTCTGGCACCATACCTCAGGCTCGGTGCAATTCTTGTGCCAAACGGTATCACCTCGCTGAAATTTAGCCTTGTAAACCTCTTTGTTGCCGCAGCGTTATCAGTCTTCTCTCGCAACCTATGGTTCCTTCTGGCAAGGTACCTCCGGAAGAATACCGCGGAGGACATTTTCTTTGAGGTGATTGCCAAAGGTATTAGTAGGGCTAAGCGCAGACGACGTGAAAGGATTCGACGGCTGCTTCTCTGTGTCACTGGGTCGTTGAGAATCCTGATGGCATCTATGTATTTACGCGGTCAGTCGCATACAGCCACGTCGCCGTCTTCCGTGTCTGACTTCAACTAAAAGCTTCTGTGGACTCCATCTATCCACTTCTACTCGAGGCGCTTCCTGTACAAACCCGACTAATCGCCACTTTGGTATTGGGCCTGCTCGTATTCGCTGTATCTCTTCCCAAATCTCTAGCAGCCAAGCAAGTGATTTGTACAACATGGTTGTCGATGATCTTGTACACTGCATGGTTAGTCGCTGCGCTGTATAATCACACGACTGGCACCGTGATGCCAAGCCCCACTCTGGTGCAACATAGCGTACTCTGGAATGGCACTAGTAAGTCTATGGTGATGTTTCGTTGTTCGCCACCAATTATTAACTATATGCCGTAGCATCTATTGCGTTCTCGTTCGCAACTTCGTTAACGGTTCCATTATCCGCTTCTCTAGCTGGGCGACCTTCTACCCCGTCAAACAAACAGGGCAGAGGAACATATTTCCAGATGCTGAGCATCTTATCGACAGTCTTAGCGGCCCTCCTTATACTGCCATCAATTTTGATGGCCTCCTCACCCAATGTGCCAGTATGTTTTTTCGTTCTTTGAAATTTGGTGTAGCTAACGTCAAGATAAGGGAGCACTCAGTGATACACGTAATATCATAGTCCACGTACTCGGAGCATCTTCTCTCTTGTTGTCCATCCCTCCCGTGTTGGTTTCTATTCCTCCTCTACCGGTCCCGCCGGCCGTACGGAGAGCTTGTAAATTGGACCTCAGCAAGGCCACTCTCATATTCGTTGTTGTATTGCTCAGCTTATCCCCTCCATCAATGGCGACATTCCTTAATGACCTCACTCTATTGTTGGCCCTCGCTGGAACCTATTTCCTTCCAGGTACGTGCGCTGAGCGGGTTCTCTCTCAGCGCGGTTATTCTTTCTTATGTTGTTCTGCAGCCTGGGCACACATCACGATTCATTATTTCCGGCGGCCTATATCTATTGTGATACCTCACTCGGTCCCGAATACACCACATGCTATACATACGCCTTCTCCGCCACCCAGTCCAGACGCTCTTCTCCAGCGCAAAGAATGGCTACTCCAGCGAAGGCGACTTGGAAGACGAGTGTTATGGGATGTCGGCGTTTGGTTGTTGCTGATACCCATCAGCCTATTTGGAATGGTTTGGGCGGGTGGCCGACTGGTCGGAAAATGGTAGTTTTCGGAGCAGCGTACGGTCCCGCAGAATAGCCTTTGCGTGTCTTCAGAATCAAGCGTTATTCCAAATATTACGCATGTCAAACTACTGCGCATTCCCCATTCCCCACGCCTGGACAATTAATGATCATTTGGAATAGATCATATGCTGCGTGATCTTGTGTTCACCCGTAAGTTCGGTTTGTATTTAGAATAAAAAAGCCGGCCGCACAATCAGACCAGTATCTACAATTGCACGTGTCCCAATTATCATTGGGGCAATGGGAGATTCGATGTTTCATGTCATGGTAGGCCTTTACTAGGTCACCTTCGCAGAAGCCGAAGCAAGTTAAATACGTTATCGTCAACGATCATGTGCTATCGTCACGGAGGTTTCATTCAAGCACTCTCCATCCCTACAGACGGCTTTCCCCTTTGTCCTGGGCAGGCCCGAAGGTGGCGATCTTTGACCTGGGCGTTGCTGAAATTAAGCAAAATCAGCGGCGATCTGTGCCCCTCCAGACGGACCTACGGTTTATTCATAATGCTTTCGCCGCCTTGGAAAACTAGTGTGTCATAGATGAATGCACCACATAACATCCCGATGACTGGACCAAGCACAATACACCATAGCCAATACTGATTGCGGTACGTGAACACTGACGAGAGATTCAAGCCATCATCGCATCTGCATCAAGGGTAACTTCGACTTACCAGCGCTTCCATAGCCTGCGGCTGCCGTGAAGAATCTCGGCCCTAAATCTCGAGCAGGATTCAGGGAATAGCTCGTGTTCATACCGAGAGAGGCCCCAATGCCAAGCACCACAATGAATAGGGCAAGAGGAACGAGACCCTGTGGGGGCGGTCCATTATTCTTGTCAGTGACGCAGAGTATACCAATAATCAATATCGCAGAGCCCAAGAACTGTTCCAGAAGTGAGTCAGCATTCCTTAAGGAAAAATCGAAGGGTCCATTCTTGCCTCGGAGAAGAAGCACGAGACAGGGGTCAGGAAGCCCGCCTGCGAAATTATCAGTGAAATTTGATGTCACTAAACAAAGATCGCACGGCATATGTAGCAAGAAGATCCCCTGAACCGCTGATAGTTCGGATGCCGGGCCCGCCTTCTACTATGTCTATTGCATGGAAGTAGTTGGCATAGACAACACCGGCACCACAAAACCCGCCCAATAGCTGGGCAAAGATGTAGACTGGCACCTTTTCCCAAGGGAACCCCCGGAAAACTGCCAGAGTAAACGTGACCTGCGGAACTACTACTCAGGAGATAATACATGACGAGCGGAAGTTTAATTTACCGCAGGGTTTATGTGTCCTCCAGATATACCTCCTGCGATCCACACCCCAAGTGCGACCCCTGAGGGTATTGTCAGAAATATATTTTGTAAGTCTGAGTGACAAGATCAATGTATCAACCCACCTGCAGCCCAGCCGAAGTTGAGCGAAAGGAAATCCTGCCAGTGTGCGAGCACCGTGAATGGTAAGTACAAAACACTGGCAGCATCCACTTACCCCTCTTGGGACCGCTTCAACGTTCGGGTTCATTGACAGAAACACTTGACAATTGACACCGGTACCGAAGATCACGAAGATCATCGTGCCTAGAAACTCGGCGGCTGGTTCACGGATGGCATACCTGGACAGTGTAATGAGGAAGCTCATAAATCATCGAGATATATTCTGTACCTGAATCTCGACCACCTGTTAGGAAACGTCGTGCAGTGATTGCAGTTGGCAAGGTTGACTTTGTTAACTGAAGGAGTGCCTTTTTGCTCGTCGTAAGAGCTGACACGTTCTACATGTGCTTCTTCCAACTTCTCGAGAATTTCCGACATGAATGATTTGCAGGGGATACGGGTCAGAGAGACCAGCACCTGAAGAATCATATTTATACGTCAGGGAGTGGCGCCGCACTCCAGCTAGAAATCTATTCTGAGACAACGAAGCAGGATGGCTCCCGTAGCCCGACCTATACGAAGGAATACAGATGTACCCTTTTTACTAAGCATAGTGAAACCGTCCGACTTGGGTAATAAGTCTTGATGATGAAGATCCGGGGAGGCAGCCACATGTGAGGTCTCATGATTTTGGCTTTGAGAAGAAACCTGCATCGTAATTGGAACAAATGCTCAATTGCGTGGCTCTCGGCGCAAGCATGACGATGATCAGAACTTCTACTAACGGGTGCCCGCGAGGAAGTGGATCCATTCGATGATCGGTGAACCCGTCTTGCGCGTGAACTGGGCCTAGAAGGTCACCACCCCCCATACAGTTCAGGGCGCTGAAAGCCCCCACTCGGCCCGTTCAAAAATGGAATCATGATATCGAGAATATATTGCCGGAGTCGTATCTCTTTGTAAGCTCCTTGTACAGATGATTGCGTATGGGCAGGAGCTAATACATACCAATCAGTAAGTATTACATTTGAAGGATGAGCCTGCGATTCAACGTACATCAAACGGTCAACTCGTGCAATGGCACGTGGACATTAAAAGACTAAGAACAAAAGTGACCATGATGACCAGCATCACGATATCACATGAGCAGATTGGCGAGGTATACAGCTTAGAAAAGACTCTCCGCCTTGAATCCAGTGGTCGGTTGAAAGCTAAGGCAAGATATCAGCATGTGACCACAATGCCACAATTCTTCAATAGACGGTAGGCTCGTGACCAGCCTGGCGTAGAGACTACTAAGGTCGCTGCTTACTACAAAAGCGAAACATCCGATGCCAAAAAAGCTCACGGTGCACCACACGACAATTGACAGAGAAGTACACCGCAAAAGTCCTCCTCTTGCGAGTCGGGGAAGTCGACATCTCAAATTGGCGTGATAATCACGGCCAGACTGGTTACGAGTCTACATGAATAACTTATTAACGGACTTCTAGAACAAAAACTTGCTGTTCTTCAGAGGATAACAACTTAAACTCACCAGCACCAACTTGAAGCGCGATCCTAAACAAGTTTTTTGATGCTAGCCGCCAGGCATCCAAAGGCAGCGGCCCGTGGATTTTTTGGGTTGCCACCATTACGACTCGGATTTTTTATTTTATTCAGGATGTGTCGAATCGGAAATGAAATGGTTACGTGTCTATGCATTGAAGCTTGAAGACAAGGTTTGCCGCCTGGGATAACGTGAATGACTATCTTCCTTCGCCTATGAAGGTCTAGGGGAGACTAACTGGAAGAAGCAATTGGCGCCAAGAGTCTATCTGATTTACACGCTCGAGACTCGAGAGCAGAATTTATGTCACATGTACAGGGGGTTATTCGGCTCGAAACAATGCCTCATAACCAACTTGAGTTGAGGCTCCAGTGAGTCCGGCGGGCCTCGGCAGCTCATTCTATGTTGGACGGTGATTTGTGTCCGACTGCAGCGGTGCGTCGAGCGATGGGCACGAAAAGACCGAGTCGTGGCATTAAGTACGAAGCAGGGCTCGATCAAAACCTTGAACTCAAAAATTTACGGCGATTGCCAGTGTCGCTTAACGCTTAGGCTTTAGGTCTTAATCCTCGTCCTACGTAAAGTCTGCGTAATATCTGCCTTGTATCTACGGACTTGTTACTTAGAATATAGAATAAACACTGGTCCATAATGAGTCAACGAACTTTAAAGAACGTTATGTGCATCGGCAACGAGTCGGAGTACGCCCACAGTTGCCGCTACGATCAAGAGCATGCGTAATTCATCATTTTGCAAACATATAGCAACACAGTTCCGCAGAGTTGTGTAGGGTACGAGGTCATCAAGATCTCAGAAAAAAAAATACATGTCCGAGCTACGAGCGTCATTCAATCATCATCATCATCCATCAAACCGTTTCAGAAGCCCCATTAAGTTTGGTTCGGTGACCGCATGAGTGTAGGTGATGCCTTTCAGCCTCTTCCGTCCTATAAAATAAGCGGGTTAACATTTACACCATACACAAACGGTAAAACGCACGGCTTGTTCGTTATACTTTCGGAACCCCTGTACAGCATGGCATCGTAGAAGAATGCAGCCACAATCATACCAAAGATCGGGCCAAGGATAGGGCACCAGAGCCAATACTGGTTCCTGAAGTTGAAGACTTCACTACCATATCCAACCATGGCGGTAAGGATACGGGGACCCAGATCACGAGCAGGGTTAAGGGCTGCTCCAGTATTCATGCCAAGAGCCGAACTGATGCCAAGGAGTACGAAAAATATTCCAACAGGAACAACACCAGGAGGCGCAGGGCCATTTTTTTTATCCGTGAACATGAAAATTCCGGTGATGAGCATGGCAGACCCTACAAACTACATCGGGTTATCAGCAATCGAATGCTGTAATTTATGGACAGGCTTACCTCAGCGAAGAAGGCGGAGACTGAAGTGAGGTAATCGGCCTAGATACACCTTGAGTCGGAGGCAATCATGTCAACAGAAGGTCTAAACTTACTGCGTAGGTCCCAAAAAGGTTACCAGTTACTGCAACTGTACGAATATCGGAACCCCCTTCGACGATGCTGATCGCATGGAAGTAAGTGGCATAGACTACACCTGCTCCGCATAAGGCTCCCAGGAGTTGCGCAAGCAGGTACAAGGGAACTTTCTTCCAGGGGAACCCGCGGACAGTAGCAAACGCTATGGTGACCTTACTGGTAGTCAGCACGAATATACAAAAATATTGAGGGTGCACTCACTGCAGGGTTCAAATGACCACCTGAGTAGTTGCCAGAGATCCATACACCAAGGGCCAGTCCTGACCACCATGTCAGGAAGATGTTGATACACAAAAATACAAGGTCACTCACCGATGGCCCAAGAGAGGTTGGACGTGACAGCGTCCTTTACACAAGCACAAGTGAGCTTTCAGTCCATCCATCACTTTCGATGCCTTGAACTTACCCCCGCTGGGCTTGCAGATACCTTTGTATTGGAGGAAAGATTCGCCTGGCAATTCCCACCACACCCAAGCAAGCATAGAATGAAGGCACCCATGAACTCGGCCGCAGGTGCGCTGATATGCTCTCTGCAACAGGTCCAATCAGTTATTGCCAATATTATCGAGAGCAGGTACTACCTGATTTTTGACCACCGATTGGGGTACTGAGAGCACTGGCCACAGTCAGCGAAGTCAACGACACGCATGGCAGAGACATCGTTGGGTCGAGTTGCATAGGAGGAGTTCGACGTCTCGGAGCGACGTTGTATAGGCTTTTCCATGATATCCGTCATCTTATACAGAGAAAAAGGAAGAACTGAGTGCTAAAGCTCCTGTGGAAGAGTAAGTTCTGGCAGCTGCCTATTATATAGCCCCCCGTTGTTATCGTCTATGATGAATATCACGTACATGGCCCATCCGGGACTCCGGACGTGAGCGTAATGGATAGACCTGCCTGCGGAAAGGATCATGTATGCTTATTAGTTTTGTTTAATACATGCTCGTACCTATTAGCCAATCGGAACGCATGGATTAGCTTAAAACGCGTCAATTAATTCTCGTTCTAGTGCAATCGCGTGTACTTTGTGTCGATGAAACTGTAAGGAAAATTCATTCAGACCGCACTATACCATGCAGGGAGATGAACCAACAGGGTCTGCTATTCTTAATACATTCTGTGAGTGTCACGGCCGCCGGCTCCTTTGCATCGACTGAACCAATTCGAAGTGAAATCAAATCGAGCCGGTCTAAGTTGGTCCATCAGTTCAAGTCCATTTGATTTTGTAAAGCACCTCATGATGATCACATCAAACGTCGAAAAGGAAAGACTCGAACGCGCCCAGGTCACGTTGCAGTAACTTCTTCGAGAGGTCCTTATCGGTCGAAATAAGTTCGAACGAGACGATCACGTACAAGCGGGAACGGAAAACTCCTGGACAGAAGTCTCCGCCGCATTGGGGTTTGTCACTGTCAGTGAATCTGGTTGTCCGTGAATTTCGAATGACAAGGTCCGATGAAAGCATATACAACCAAAACATCCCAAATGGTTGCGAAGTGGGCAAGCATACCACACACATCATACCGCTCCTGGACGACCCTGACAAGACAAGATAGCGATGCATTCTGCATCGGGTACGATATCCGCTGTCCGACTCAGGGGATTGCAGAATCTAACAACAACAGCTGCGTAATAATTCCACAACGTGAAAGATGAAAAATTGATATAGCATAAAATAGAGCCGACAGTGGTAATCAGACTTGTGCATTTGCCGACTTCAAGACATTAAGACTCACGAACGCTACGACAGTTACCGAACACAGTTTAATCAAATATTGTCGTGTTAGGTATCCGAGGTTGACGAGGTAAAGCACGTAACGCAAGACGTATCTTCCAAGTAGAAAGTTATTTTTTCTGTGCGAATCTGTGGTAGATCTGCAGTCAGCGTCCAGAAATGGAATCTGACAAAAACGATGGTGAGATTGTGGGGACGCGTGACAGTGGGAAATGCCACAGCGGCGCAAGTATCTGACAGCGGAACGAACCGTCCATGCGTATAGAAGCCGCAGAGACTTTGCACGACAGTCATTTGGCTTCATATTGATCTTCCGAGCGTCGAGCGGTGATAGTGTGATTACGTGGGAGGTACCCTGCACTATCCTCGCCATACAGCGTGGACTGCTCGGGAAAAAAAAAACAAAGGGAGAATTCGAAGTAATTACATACCCCGCTTGAACGTCGCCATAAGAACAACTTTTGACTCAGGACGCCAAGGATTTTAATGGCGCTTTCAGTGCGTGTATTACTTCGTGTGGCGTTATGGCAATCATCTAGATGTAGAGTTAGCCACGCAAATATCCGACATTGTCGTCAATTACCTCCCGAGTTATTTCCTCTCCTCCGACCTCCCACCCGCTTTCGGCAATTGGCAATACTACGTTGTTCATATGTCTGATGCAAAGGTCGCCAATGCCCAATCTTTCACCAGTATATTTTCGCCATCGGATGAGGGTGTCGAAAAGCTTTGAAGCATGGCGAAGTAAACGCCGACGGGCGGCAATGGCATCCGGATCAAAAACGGGGCGGTTTAAAGCAATAAAGGGAGCCAACATGGACTCCCAGGTTGATACAGAGCGTTCAAAAACGGAGTTAACTGATTTCAATATCATCTAGATAATCGTGTTAGAAAAGCAATTCGTCCGCGATAATCATGTAAGTTTTTAGTCACCTGAAACTTGTGGTTGTCGTGTCCAATAGAGGCCTCCACTTGCTCTGCCAGGTTTATCATATTGCGGGTATCCAATGCGGAATAGGAGTCAAGCGCGCCTGCTTCAACTACCTTGCAGATGATGGGCACGAGTGCCGTGGAAATCATCGCAGAAACCAAGTCATTGGTCGGACCTGTATCCGGCTCTAGATCATCGTCCTTATCTCCACAGTACTCGTGTAGTGAAGTACACCACGAAAATTCATCTAGGGTGTGTGAAGTCTGGAATTGATGGTAAATCAATGTCTCATGGCATAGAAGAATCAACACACCTCGAGGGGGTTCCATCCGAGAAGCTCTAATCGCACCCAGAACTCCCAAGCACCGACGAGTCCAAGCCCACCCCATGCACCAGTATAGCTATCACCAAAGCGTCTACGCCATTCGCCAAACCATTTGGCTAATCCCAAACTGGGATCCCTGAACTCAGCTGCACGCACATCAGATAATAAGGCATGTCCATCACTGGCTATTCTTTCCATAGCACTTTGATAATCTATGGCGTCCGATGGGGGTAAAGAGGAGTCTGTCGAGTAACCCTCTTCCTGGTCCGGTTGCGTTCTGATGGCCCTGGTTTCACGTTCACGTTCACGGCGAACTCGACGGGCTATCCGTGCGGCCTGTCGCTCACGTCGTACAGCAACGGGGTTTGCTCGAGGTAGCACTCGCCCTAGGTCATCTACTTCTTCAGAGTAATCTGCGGTTGCCGGAAGCGAGCCAAAAATCAAAGATAGATCATCTTGATCGTCTGTTTGGCGTCGCTGAGTGATCATTTCAGACCGTTCTTTGAGCACTGAAATATATTCATCCTCAAGCTTCTCCAGTTTTGGAAACTAGATATGGGTGAGATTTTGCTTGGTGAGATCAGGGTGATACCAACCTTCTCATCGAGAAATGTCGCCACACTTTCCACCCATTCCTTGAATGCAGCGAACCATGACCTTTTTGCTTCAGCTTTGGCAATCATTTCGCGTAGCTCTACTTCGCGGGCATCCAGTTGTTCTCGTTCATCGATCAATGACGCTGCTGCCTTAACATTTGTTGCATGCGACGTGGTCATCGCGGTCAATGACTGAGACAGGCGGTCCATCGCCGGTCCAAGAGAGGGTATCGCACTTGATGTAGGAACTCATTAAAGGCTCCAGTTAGTCAACGAGGACTCCAAGAGGACGTATATCTTACTTGCAGCAGGCTTGTAGACCTGTTTCACGGGAGATACCTCGCGAGAAGTAGGGAATGGACCGCCTCTCCGCAACTGTTCCCTTTCCCATTCCATGGTTTCCTCATCTTCCTCATCGCTGTCCTCACAATGTTAGCCAAAATTCTCAGCTCAATACTAATACATACGCATCTGCGATCATCTCTTGCATAGCACCCTTGCGCTTCGAAGCTTCAAGTTTTTTCGACTTCTTGCCAAGCGCGATGCGCTCTTGAGCGCTGGTATACTCGGCATACTCTGTTCTTTGTGAAGTCGATGCAATAAAAAAACTGAGGGATGACATACCGTCGTCCCCTTCTCCAAGTTCGTCCTCTTCGCGCATCAATCGACTTTCTGGATGTGGACCCTGCGGTACGGTATCACGTTTCGTGACAGAAAGAGATATAAAATCATCTTCTGTACCGTGAGTCCGCAAGCGTTCCCGTTTTTGTTTAGCGGATGATATTGATGATTCAGAAGGAATCACTGTTTCAAGATCGACTGCACGTCATTAGGCAGTGAACTAGGCACTTGAGTAAGATCTTACCCGATATCTCGGTGGCCTCCAAACCAGTTTCACCAGGGTCCATCGAAACATCTGCATCATAACCCTCGGTGACTGGGCCACGTCGCGACGAAGGCGTGCTTGCTTTCAGCTGTGAGAGGTACGCCTGGTCATATACCGGTGCCCCATTAGAGCGGGGGGTAATAGTAGCCTGGTCGAGCGAGACAGGCAGCACATTCCTAATAGATCTCATCAACAAACGGAATTGCACAGCAGTACAGACATAAACATACGCAGGATGGGTGCCCAGGGTCAACTTCTGGCTCAGATTTGATTTCTTCACTTGAAAGACTTCCCCATCTCCTGCCTAACGTCTTAAGTAGTAAGCGAGAATTCATTGATATATGAAGTAAAGACTCGAACCTCCTCGTCACCACCGAAACTGAGCGTAGATTTGGGCTTAGTGCGCTTAGCTTTGTTCTTGAGTCTAGACGCAATGGCAATTGGCGACTCCTCGACGCTCTCTCCTTTCTCAGACGTGGTTTGTGATGTATCTTCAGGTGACTTTTCCCTGCCCCTTGGAGCCAGCCTTGACCTTGGTTTTTTGAACATCACTGACGAGGAGTTTGCAAGGAGTTGGATGCAAGCAGCAGCAAGAGTGACAATCTGACCCGACTAACATATTTTTCCCACGCTGTCTACTTCTCCCAATCATTCATGTCTACTACGCGCCCGCGTCCAAGGCCACGTCCAGTGGCAAAGCCCAAGGCATCCTCGACAACGGTCAACTCCAACACAACACCATCTCCAGTGCAACCATTTTCTTCCACGAGTGCCACACAGACCTCTAGTGCAGGGAACAAGTTAGACGACGAAGATGCTATATTCTTGCGTAATCGCGGAAGAACCTCTCAATGCTGGAACAAGCTTCGGGAAATGACAAAGGGTATGTCCCTGCTAATAGGTTATTACATTGACCTCACTCTGCGACCCGTTTCTTAGATACTCCATCCGAGGAAGCTGATGAGGACGACCTTGAATGGGGTGAACGAACTGAGCCGGAATCTACGCCGAGGCATCGCAAGAAGAAGCCAAATAAAAAGCATGAATTACCTCGGTGGCAAGCGGCGGACATAGTCACTCTGTGCGTCGCTCTCTCTAGTCCGTTGCTATCTCGTACAGTACTTCGGCATAGTACTTGAATATCATCATGGGTCGGCGGATCGGTTATATTGATAGCTCCTCCGTAGTCTTTCTTCAGATAATGAAGAGGACGATTTTGAAATCACGGAGAACACACCACAGGCCTCACGTAACGACGCGTCCCCCCGAAAACGAAAAAGAGATCGTAGTCGCTCAAGATCCATCACACCGCCCCCGCAACTCCCCATACACCAACTCAATAATGCAAGGGCATTGGTCAGGTTGCGTGAAATGACATTGGATGAGACTTGTATCACTCACGAAGACTTACCAGACAAGCGCTTGCTGTTGCACCACCTCGCGCCCCCTCACCAATTCAATTGCCCGATGATCCAACAGATACTTCTGACTTGAATCCAGAGCTCGCAAAAATTGCCGAGGAAGTCCGTAGGAGGGCTGCAGCAACCAAGAATGCTCCAGAACAAGGCGGCGGACCAGAGTTAGTTATCATCAAGGTCCGATGGCAGCCTCATCCACTGAATACAGCGGGCGCAAAAGATATATGGAACTTTAAGATGAAAAGAGTGGGTTCCTTTCACTAATAGTACCAATGATGACACTGACCGCTCGATTAGCATGACACATTCCAGTACTTGTTTGAGGAATTGGCAGACTTAGCCGCTGTATTAGTTGACCATCTTGTCGTCAGTCACGATGGAAAGCGTCTGTTTGCTTCAGGCACACCTCACGGTCTTCGAATTTGGGCAGAAGGAGAGCTCGGTGCGTTGTTCTCGGTGCGCGGGCGCTTGAAACTGAAAAACTTTAATAGAAGCATGTGATCAAACAACTTGGGATTACATACGTGCTCAACGTCATCAACAGGCTCCAAAGGCCGATCAGTCATCATCAAGGAATTCTCCGTCTCTGGAAAGAGAATCGGATGCTGAGTCGGAAGCCGAGTCCACTGCTGGCGACAAAATTAAGCTGGTGCTCCGGTCCGCGGCTACCGAGGACAATATTAATCTTACAGTTCGACCTACAACGACGTGTGGAGCCATCGTCAAAGCATTTCTCAAGGCAGCTGGTCTATCTGATCGATACCCTACTTCGTCTTCGAATGGCAAGCAAACAGGACAAGCCAAGCCTCAGCTAATGGTTGACGGTGATAAGATGGCAGATAGCATGGAAATCGGAGAGGCGGACGTGGATGATGGAGATTTGGTCGAAGTTGTTGGGCTCTGAGATCTGATCATCGAGCCCAGTTTGAATGGTTCCTCGGAGGCATTATAGCTTACTGTTGTACTATTGCTGTGTAGTAGACCTTGTATTTTGGAATGCTACTTGTATCTGGAGAGTGGCAGCTGCAGTATTGTACTGTAGCTATGTGTGCCAGCCTTCGCTCGCATTCTTCACCAATATTCTGGCGTTATTGACGAACGATCGAATAAGCTCATCAAACGCGTTGCGGTCAAGTTCTGACACATTTGGATCCCCACGTTTGGCAGCAGTCGAAAGCAGTAGTCCTGGGCGAGCGATCTCCACCTCCAACTCATGAAGAACTTCGGGCTTCACAGACGTATTTCAGCGTCGTATTCACAACAATCCGAAAGATAACATACCGGTGCGTTGGGTGTCGCATTATTGTTGGAATGAACCTGGGTCAGGTCGATGTTGAACTCCTCATGAGAGTAACATATCCGATCTTTCCGTCGTACATGGGTTGGAGATCCAACGGGATGGGAGACTGTGGAACAATCGTCAGAAAAAACTTCCTCATAGAACGCATTTGAGCCTACCTGGAACTTCGAGCGACACGCTGACCCTCCAATCCGCCGCCCTCTTGGGACTATATATGTTGAGGTCCCCAAGCCTTATTTTGCGTGTTATTTCAAGAACGGTGTTGGTCTTCTCCTCACGAGTAACACGTACTTTCTCTCGATCCTCGGATGGATAGAAGGAGTCGATCACCTTGACGTGGGTATACTCGAGGGGAGACGTTGGATGAGACGGTTGAGATGATATTAGTTTCAGTTCATTGAGCATAGTGTTAAAGTGCTTGTGCTGTGCCTGCCGCGTCAAATGGTCGCATGAGCTATAGCTAAAGGGCTACATGAAATGGAGCTGACAAGGGACATGTTGGACTCGAATCGAACGTCAAACTCATTCAAGTTCGGGACTAAGACTACTAAGTGTTAGGCAAAGGTCACGAACAGCTTAGTGAACATACTTGTCTCCACAAGGACCGGCAGCATCAGGCGTTGCCCAGTTGTACGGTCCCTCAAGACGCCAAGTTTTGCTTCTACCTCAACTTTCGCATCCGGATGAACGGGTCTCGTCACGATCATGTGGTGAACGAAATCAGCGATCTCTCGAATGAATTCATCGAGAGGCTCAACACCGAGAATTGATAATGACAGTGGAGGCAAGCTGGATCCTGCCGTGTTCATGGTGGATGAAGCAGATGGATGATTGACTGTTGCGGCTTCGGAAGACTGGTCATTACGGCGAGCTCGTTTTAGTGGCGGTGATTCTTTATCATCAGACTGGGAGTGGGCGTCTTCTGACATGGAAAAAGAAGTAAACAATGAAATTGGCTGCTCATGCAATCCAAGCACATGTTGATCTTTCTTCCCTAGGATGTAAATAAAACTCTATAAATTCCGCGGGTATTTAGTTCTACGTGTCCGTCTAACGTGTATGCTTTAGATTTGTCTCAGAACTGCAACTGGCAATAGCATTAATGACCATGACCCAGCATTGCACTAATTATAAGCGGGAAAAACATTCCCGACAGCAGCAGAAGTGTTCGTGACGTTTTACTGATGTTGTCTTGAGCGGATGAAGGTGCACGTTCTGAAGGAGACTGCAGTACTGTCGCCACGTAAAGAAATGTGCCTCCCTGCGGTGCATTCATCAGTGCCGATCAATGGTAAGAATTTTGTGGATCCTACGCTAAATAGTAAGGGTGTTCCAACCCACAGGTTATTTCCATCGCCGGTGTGGGTGTATAGTATATAAGAGAGGATCGCGCTAACTGGCGTGGCGAGACTGAAAAGTAGCAAGTGTCTCTTGCACTCTGAAGGAGGAAGAGATGTTGCCAAGAGAGAAGATGTCAGGGCTAACGCCGTGGGTGCTGTTGTCTGCGGTTAGCAGGATTAATGAGTGACGGAAAGCAATCAGGCGTACCCTTATGTATTATGATAGCCAAAAAAACGACGAAAGATAGAGCACCTGATTGTGTCTCAAGAGACGACACACCTAGTGCGTATCCATCGACTAAAGCATGTACTATAAGACCTAATGACAGTGGGTATGCGCGTTGTAAGCTTGAGGAACGTGCATCTCGCAACATTTGCCAAGTAGACGCATGTGGACCGGGTGGCATCATACCCTCCTCGCGCTCCATTTCGTCAAGCACGATATCAAAGTGGACTTCTTCTGCGTCATCGCGAATTTCCTGAGGTATCAGCGGTCGAGTATGTGGGGATATGTACTCCTCCACAAGGAACATGAATGCGAAGCCAAAAAGTACGCATGACGCGATCTTGTAAGAGTAGGACTCCGGTTCAGGATCACCAGCAATAGTGCTTGCTACTCCTCTGTCAGTACTTAGAGGCAGAAAACTGTGAAGGAAAAGAGATCGAGACGCACTCGGGAATGATGACACCAAGTGCAGCACCTATGAGCAATCCAGTACTCAAGGTAGACAGCTTCGCCAAGTGACTTTCTGTGAACGAAAATATGCTTAACATCAAAATAACTGAAGTTCAGTGTAGTGCATACTAGTCATTGACGACGACAGTGGTACAAGGCCAGCCCCAAAGGATGCAGCCCCCATGACTAGGGACATAGACAGGATGCGTATAAAGCCACTAGACGCCATTCCACCCACAAGCTCAGTACTATGTCAGGATGAATGGGTTGTGTCTTTGCAAAGCAGCAGGCCAGGATTTGAGCGCTCGTCACAGCCCACTCGCGGAGTTCAAACATCTGACGTCGACATTTGCTTCCGCGCGACGTACATAACAAAACACAAAAACTTAAAATCCGTACGAGGACGCCGAACGACAAGAGAGATTGATATTAGTAGATTTGGAGGACAACCGTTTATTTGAAGAGCGGGGCATCTGCACCATTGTTCAAACAAATCCTGACCATTACCACCCGCAACGGCGATCATAGAGTCGGATTCACTGATGGACCCGGCCAGCACTAAAGTACTACTAATGATCCAATCACGACGCTTCGTCTCCGAGATCCAACCTTCTTCTTCTTTCAATTTGCATTCCCCGAGTCATTTTAGCTGTCCTCGGTTTGTCCATACCCCACCCACGTCCTAAATTTCTCTTTATGTAATAGATCTAATGTGCTCTAGTTTAATTTGCCATGAAAGCGTGGTCCGTTAAGCTTTTAAGGTCTGTCCTCTCGACTCCAAATATTATGACTTATGTACTGTCTTCCGGGATCTGTCCAGACCCCGCGCTTTCTCAACCAGAGCCAGACCTTCCTACCCACCTATTAGTCTTCTTCACTTTCTGTCGAATTTTTGACCACATCTCTCACAAATAATTTACTGATATTTTGATTTTCAGCTTTCGAATTCTCGGTGGAGATACTGAAGTTCAAAATATCAGCTGTATGTACATAACATTATCCAAAGACCCTATATATCGCATATATGGTGGAGGTTAATCTGCAACCATATCCATACGATCATGATGCGTGCGTCAGTCTCGAACCCGCATAGCAAATTAAATCACGGACAGGTCAAATGGTGTACTCTCTCTCAAGGAAATAGTCACTTCGAGACACGCAGTCTCATACATAACCTATAAGCTAGCTGCTGGATTTCCGTCTCAGTGTAAATTACTACCAACTACATTTTTAAAAACAATACCATTTGTTGTTGGGGCATCAAAACTATGTCTACTGCTTGTCGATAAACCAAGGTAGAGACCGATCCAGGCCAGCTGCGCAGCAGAACCTATACCATTGCAGTAGATGCAGATGCGTGACTGAAAGTTCGGCCAAGGAAGGTGGGTGACGGCCCGGTTCGGGCCTCGAGGCAGATTCAGACGTTACAGCACCTTATCTTTTGCCAAGGTCAGACGGTCTCCCTTTTTCTTGACAAGGAAACCAAACTAAAGTGATGACTTACCTTGCAAGCAAAGTCAACGCAGAGCTCCTACGATAGGAAGTAAGGAGTAAGCCCTCCGCACTTTAATGGGACTATGTCCGACATGGGATCTACGACCCCAAAGGACAATACATTTGATTTTGTTCATCAGTAAAAACGAAAAACTCTCTGGTTCCTTTCTCCATCGGAGAGGGGAAATTTTGAGCTGGTTTGCCCGTCGGTGTCCAGCCAGATATTCCGGGAGTACTGGCCCCATTTCTCAGAGACAATTAACCAATGCGTATTGTATGGCGGCACGATTACCGGATGGCCTATATTAAAGTGAAATTCTGCTGCACAAATACATACATAAATTTGAATACTTCAAGACTGAACTGTCGGTCCGATGTTATGAACTTGGGAAAGATAACATATATGACGGCAATTTACTGCTTACCTTGGGTGCGGGGGCTGGGATGTTCTCGTGTGCCATGGCACGTGGATTGTCTTCCAAAGTCTTGTCGCTGTGATCAAAGCCGAGACAAGCCGGAATGTTCTCAGGCGAAGCCAAATTGTAAGGCGGCGGTGACTGGTGACTATTAATATTCTTGGAAGTCGGCTGAATGTTCATACAGTAAAGACCGAATCATGATGTGTCACTGAACGACCATATGGATTAAACGACGTCAGGGAGATATGGTGGGTCAGAGCCTGTTAGAGCGGCATGCGGGTGTCCGATCTCTGTTCAGCAGTCACAGCAGGTCGGTGACAGGAATGCGATGATGATAATGGATTTCACAACATGGGTGCTAATCTTACACTGGTGACGGGCTGATATGGAAGTAAGAGTCATGCGAATTCGACGCTACCAAAGAACGAAGACAAGTCGGGAATGCCACTCGAATGACAATAATATGAGCGGCTATGTGGCGTAATGAATTCATTGGGAACTTCAGACAAGAACCATTCCTCACCAACTAGGGGAAACGACTTAATTGGAGTGCGTCGATCAGCTCAGGCTCTTAATCGCTGTCTCCAAGAATGGATCTCCAAATTCTATAAGTAACAACATGACATGCGACAACAGTCAGAATGAGTATCATTATACCTGCAATCGTGGCTGACTGACCTTTTCTAAGTTGCTCTGCCAGTAAAATATCAACAAGGTCTTCCTTATCACGCCTGCTCCCGTGTTCCTTTGCTCCCCAAGCATTACTTGTAGTCGGTCCAAAGCTACCTCCTCCTGCATTTTGATTTTGGCTTTCAGTCATTCGGCGGGAAGTTCCCATCATGCTCATTGCATCCTCTCGTCTCCTCGTCTTTGCATCTCTCCGTGAAGGACCATCAAAGGAAGAACCGCCAGGCAGACGGCGCTTAGACCCAGGGCTAGGCATCATCGACGTGATGTTTCCCAACATGTGGGTCGTGGCAGAATGGAGGAACGATGTGTGAGGCTCGCGGGCACTCGATCCACTTGGCACGGACTGGAAATCATCGGGTGGGGGTGAATCAGATGAATCAGTTGAGATCGGAGAACCTGGATCAGGAGAATTCATGGTCGACAGCACTGTTTACCGCAAGGGACAGATGGCTGATCATGGCAAGTCGCCTGCCACATGTCACGTGGTCCGCGGAATTCTTCACCGAGACTTGACATGCTTGACAGTCGACCGAGACTGTAACTTAATCTTAGGCTTGTCCCTAACTGCCTTTCTATTCATTTTATCATGTCTGTTCTTCCTAAAGTGACGCGTACAATGCGCATAATTGCTTTGCCTCTTGCCCTCCCAAAGATCCCACCTGATCACAACCTGAAGCCGCACGCAGTTTTCAACCCCAACCGCATGCTTGTTTACTACCACTTCGACCTCTCTCAAGGCAACAGTGTTAGGAGTCAAGATCAGTCTGCTATAAAACGAGCAGTGAAATGGGCGTCCACAAAAGCTGCCGACCTTTGGGCTGGTTTCGGAAAGGCACCCGAAGGCAGTTGGAAGGCAGGTCTTCTCCCTGAAATATTGCGTCCGCATCCTTATTTCCTACGAATGGCTCCGTTATTAAGTTGCGAACATATGAACTTGGCGAACGCATCGTCGACCGCATAGACTTCGAGGAGCTAGCCCTGAAAGGTGTTGACCCTTCTTTAGGGCCATCCATTACTCACGCAGATATAACCGGACAAGAAGCCAATGAGGTTAAATCTTCAGAAAAGCAAACTCCGAGGGAGGCCTTGCGAGTAAGTTGAATGATGCTCTGTCTGAGCGTGTGCCAACCTTACCTGTCAGATACCCTTGATTTATCCGCCATCCATTTATGCTTCGCTGCCATCCACGGGCGTGAATGAAGTGTCACATCCTTCAATTGTACACCTCCGCACGCTTCTGAGTAGTCGGGAGCCTCGGCATCGCAGAGGATTTTGGATGTGGATGGCAATTGCTCCACTGACAGCCCCTTTCATCCTTGTCCGTGAGTCTTCTGGCCGCGACGCGTTGTTGAGTAACGTGTATTCGATGTTGACTGACACTTCCGATCTTTTTTTAATCAACATGTGGTTATAGCCGTCATACCCAACCTGCCATTCTTCTTCTGTGCATGGAGATCTTGGTCACATTACAGAGGTTAGTGCAGTCTTTTTTGAGACCCAATAGCCTTTCTTCTTTTCGACACACTCTGACCACCCTATACAGCATATAGAACTTCGCAGTACCTGTCATCCCTTTTAGAGCACGGCTTTATCGCGCCAGAGCCGAGCCCGGCACTTGACCAACTCTACGCTTCTTATGCCCCATCCTTAGCGAACAGTGAAATCATGCGCTCGCCGGCGGCGCCCCCTCCTCGATCCGCGGCATCACTGCCGGTGGCGAATAATTCAAACGCGTATAACTGCCGTCCGTCCAATGATGCCACAGCTTCTTCATCACAACCTGATGTATCTAATGTTCACAAGACCTCGCGACGGCTATTGCTTACTCGCGATGCTATTCCGCACATCTTGCAGCTTTTTGGACTTCCGCAGTCATCAGCGGCAGACATGTATCGTGCGGTAGAACAAGTGCGCGGACGTCTTGGAGGAACATCTGGCCGGTGATAGTTGCTAATGGGCTACGCCTTTTTCCTGCCTAGGCAGCCTAGCACAAGTTTGAAAGGTATCGCACACCGTGGTGGGTAATGAAACGCGTATGATTGGCTGCATTAAAGCCGGTTTAACTTCACCCGCTCCTCTCAAAATTCAGATCGTGAGAGCGGATTTGCAAGGATGCCAAAGCATAGACCCGTTTGATGGAATAGACGTTCTCGATCGTGTTCCATTTCAATTTGATCACGCCAAAAATGGCACCGCAGTCTCTGTAAGCCTGTCTTCTACTGATATCCTCGAGGCGGCTTGTTCGGCGCGCTAGTGCTAAACGAGATGTTTGCAAACTTAGCACTGATCTGTGCTTGTCCGGTCCTAACTTATCGTGTTAACTTTGGAACAAGTTGTATCAATAACCCGGAAAATGTGGCAGGTCCCCAGCCTCCTTGACAGGCGTCACGGAATTTCATCATACGCGAGCAGGATGACCCTTCGAAGCCCTTCGGCATCGGGGACTTATCCTGAAATACTGTCCCCGTCATTGGCTACTGTTGTGAAGTGTTGGGCCATGGAGATATGAAGAGATATGAGTGCATTGCATTGTTCGCCTCGGTGCAAGCTCGCTCAATAAGGATCAAGTCAAGCGCACAAACCGCCATGAGCTGGTCCATGCTCGGGCGAACCTTGAATCAACCCCAAATCACACGGCGTCCCGTTTGTCAGTGCTTTGCATATCTTCTCAAATCACATCCACGTCAGTTTACGGCTTAAATGCGATTCCTGTGTCTAATCGATGTGATCCTTAGCCGCGTCCTTCAGACAATAATATTGACCACGATCCAAAGATATCCTCATCATTGAGCCTGTACGGGGTTGCGTTCAAGCGTCGTTTTCATTGGTATCTTTTCGTATCAAGGAACAGCTTCTTGATCACCGCCGCCAATGATTGTTGGACCCATGACACCAAGCGAGTGGATTATGAATGTCAGGACATTCAAGGTACCACGGCTGGCCACTAGTGCTTATCAGATGATAAGATTCACGAGTACCAATATCGACACCTACCGCCGGGCTTAATAGCAGGGCTACCCCCACACTGACGCTGCGCATGTCAAATGAAGTTATCACATTTAATAGCTCATTGTTGGTACCTCGCAGTTATTGCTTATTGTCGACCCTGCCAATATACAAAGTGGCGCTTCGACAAGTAAAGACTCTGAGGCCTGAAGGAGCCTAGCAGTCAAGTTAGGGTTCACGAAAAGGATTCGTAAGTACTAGAGATAAAGTTTTCGTTACCTCGTCGGTATCTAGTAGATCTGATGTGTCTCAGTAACATGTACCCTGAGTAAATATTAATGAGCAGATCACGGATGGCGACCCTAGGACCCCTAGCAGATGATGATGCAGTTCGTTAGTGGTTAATGACACTACACAGATGAGTACGTCCCTAGCTTACATGCCTCTTGCTCCAAGGTACCTTCACCTGTTCGAACTCTACCTTTCTGTACTAGTACTCCTTGTCGACGTTGTCGTACTCTGCTGGTTCACTTCGCTGCATCGGGGTCTATGAGAACAGATACATGTCAATGATGCCATCGTTAAGTACAAGTTAACATAACTATATCGTTAGACTTCTAGAAAGGCTTGCGGATCAGTAGTGCATTGTTAGCTATAGGTACCTTGAAGGTAGCATGCGTACTTCCAGCATACAAGACAACTTCGTTGGCAGAACACCAGCGTTCCACTGGTTGCCCTCAAGCGCAAAACATTTCTTTACCTTGCATTTGTGCTTTGGTAAGTCCTATCTCTGACGCCGTTTAGCTATTCTACTTACAGCCCTGCGCAACGTAGCCCTGCATGTCATATGCCAATATTACCAAATGGCCCCTAACTCCCAAGTTGTGGTCGGCCAAGTTATGGGGCTCATGAAACAAATTTTTTTGTTCATTGGGATCTCATGAAACCTCATTCTGATTGATTTTTGTTCCGCCGACCTGCTCAAGTCCGTTTTCGCTCTGAAGCTTTTCATTGTGAAGACTGGTAAGTACTGATGTGAACTTTTGATTTGAAGGCTGTGACCAGAAACAGTTCATCCCTTTTTGGTTCCCACCTTGCAGTTGTCACCGGTACTACAACACTTACTTATCATGTCCGCCGTCTTTGGTGCCTTCAAGCGCTTCTATGCGGTAAGTCGGTTTCTATGGACCTTACTAGGACTACTCGTAATAAACGGGTTTCACTGTTTTTATCGCAGGCCTTCATTAGTCCACCTCGCCCACTCAACGTGGAAACCGCCTCTCCTCCGTTGAAATTTGGAATTCTCGGTGCAGCCGCAATTGCTCCTCCTGCCCTTGTTTTACCTGCCAAAAGTCATCCGGAAGTAGAACTTTATGCTGTCGCGGCCCGGGACATCAATCGTGCCCAGAATTTCGCTAAGAAGCATGGTTTCAAGAAATGGTATGGAGGGAAAGATGGCTATCAAGGTAAGTTGGACAACAAGTTAACAATGGCATCTTTTGTGTTGACTGCTCCGTGACAGAACTTCTCGATGACCCTGCAATAGACGTTGTCTACAACCCCGTGCGTGATTGAACGCCGTTGCGTGCGAAGTCGCTCTGACTAAAGAACCCGTTAGCTGCCCAACGGTCTACATTATGAATGGACAATGAAGGCTCTCGCTGCTGGCAAACATGTGCTTCTCGAGAAGCCCAGTGGCAATACCGCGGAAGAAACACGGCGTATGTTTTCTCTTGCGGACCAGAAAGGGCTCGTTCTTCTTGAGGCATTCCACTATAGGCAAGTGTCTATCTAATCGCAACGAAGGACTGTCTTGACGAATATGTCAGATTCCACCCCGCTATTCAGCGTGTCAGGGCCATCATTGACAGTGGCGAATTGGGCGCTATCAAGGAGGTAAATGCAAGTCTGGCGTTTCCGAAGGGTCTTATTGGCAACGATGATATTCGGATGAACTATGATATCGGTGGCGGTGCCATGATGGATTGCGGATGTTAGTTTCCCAGTCTCCCGCGAAGAACCCCTCTAACATGATCTTCCAAGGCTACCCTTTAAGTTGTGTTCGTTATCTAACATCAAACAACCCTAGTGCGGTGATTTCCGCAACTGCAATTCGATACACAGGAGATCCACGTATTGATACAGGCACCACTGCCAATCTAACTTTTGCTTCCTCGGAGCCTAGCGGTGAGCCAGTGAAGTCCACGATCAAATGCGACTTCGCCATCCCTCTCCGATTGGGCTTCATCCCCCGCATGCCGGAAGTTTCCGTCCGCACAGTCTGCGAACGTGGCTCTGTCGAGTTGTTCAACTTCGTGATGCCAGTGATTTATCACTCTATCACCGTGACACCTGATAGCGGTGTTTCGAGGACTGAGAAAGCGTACACGTTCGAGGGCGGTAAAGGGGAGGAGTGGTGGTCTACCTACAGGTATCAGCTGGAAGCTTTTGTGGACAAGGTCAAAGGCCGAACACCACAAACCTGGATGAGCCCTGAGGACTCCATTGCAAATATGGAATGGATAGAGAAGATATATGAAGAGGCGAGTACACCACATATCTCAGCGACGATCTGTCTAACCGGACACGCAGAGTGGACTTGGGTCTCGACCTCAATCCACATATGTCCTCCCGACTGCTTGATGGTGTTTTGAGGATGGACTGGTTAATGTTATGTCGTGCATACTTCAAAGTCATATACCGTGCATTTTTAGAGAAATATCAAACGGACACGTATTTTATTCCCCCGCACCACATGCACCACGATCCGTTACTGCATGCAAATTCCTATCTGTAATAACATGGCACTCAGTCAGCGATACCAGTATACAATTGTGACGTTCAAGCGAGCCCAGGAGAAGGGTGAATGCAACCGCAATAACACTCTGCAGATATCGTACACAACTTATCTACATATTGTTCTCGAAGGTAAGGTTAGTTTTAGTGGGACCAGATCGGAGACGTGACTGCACTCAATGCAAGCGGGATCACTGCAGCCTACTTTAAATTGCAACAACAAGCAACGAAATTTAGGCCCGGCAGCAAAGGCTTGGTGGGATTCAAATATATTGCTGCCTCGGGAGGCGCCGAGTTAGCTTGTGCGTGATCGATTTCCGTGCCAAACGCCAACGGCGGTCGATATAACCATACCAGCAATCAGACGACGGCAACAGTCACGAAGGCGTTGAAATGGGAGGATAGGACGAAAGGAAAGTGGTTGGATTTGTGCGAGTGACGGTTATGACTCACAAGTGAGTGTTCCAGAAGATCATTGTACTGAACAGGGCATCAACACCCTCAATGTATTTATCTCCACTGAATCTTCATTGCGCTGGCAGACTCGGGAGACCGTGTTTTTCAACAGTGATGATGATCACGCTTCCGTTTCATCGCACATCCACGGTGGTGATTGTATGGGGTTTAATTCGAGCCCCACGCCTCCCCACGCGCGCTCGGGGTAAAACCAATAACAGGCAGAGTATTGTCGATGTTGCAGAATATATGGCAACGGGGTCAGGGAACATTGCAACCAGGACCGATGGTTGCCCACAATTACACGCCGGGGGATAAAAGTCATCAAGACGCATGCGATGCATGCTCCGAGGGAACGCAACACTAATCCACACCACCGCATAATTATACTGATGTTTTTAGTTAGAGACTCCAAACACGTTGCGCATTGACGACACTAGCATCTGGCGGAATTTTCTGCGCGTCGAGACTGATTAACTGTGAATAAAACGACGCTCCCAAAGGGGTATAGACAGTGTCAGACACCACTGGCAGTTACAAAAGTTTCAAGTTCACCTCTACAATACAATTAGTGCTGGCACAAACGTACAAAACATTGTTACCTAAGTTCATTCATTATGAATGTGGTATGGAACGTTGATGGTGCTTGGCACCACGCATGAATCATGACGCATCACAACGCAAGATTCCCCTGACTGAACTACCATTCAAAACTTGCCCCACAGGCGCCCGAGATGGAGGTACCGTGCCACGAGTAGCAATAGAACACCAAATATAATGCTGCCACCTGGGCAAGGTCAATGTCCAATCAAAGATGATGCGTGTCAGAAACTTGCCTGCATAATAACCCGCAGCAACGAACCCTCCTGTCGCGGTACTGATGGCGCCTGATATTGGAGGACCTGCAATGCCTCCTAAACCAATGAGGGAGAAGAACATTCCAACTCGACGCCCGGCGTCGTCCATTTCCCCCATCGCAACGGCAGGTATTGAGGACAGAGTTACATAGGCTCCGGTGGAGAATCTGGACGGGTGAATCAAGCAGCTAGCAGTGAACAAGTGCAACACGTACCCGTAAAAGGCGGTTATGACAATAAGCTGGGATTCATTTTTAGCAAATGGCCAAGCTATTGTCGTGATTCCCGCCAAAGTAGTAAGGATTGCCATGGTGTTGAGTGCGCCTATCAAATATCAACTCATGTCATCACAGTTCACATCTGTCAAGACCTACCAATTTTATCTGCCATCAGTCCCAATGACACACGTAACATTGATGCCGCATTGGCGATCGCGAGTATATAGAACGAAAAATCTTTGGAGACACCAATTGCTACGGCGCTCACAGAGATATAGGTTAGCTCTAATAAAACCAAAATATCAGGAGCCACAACGACGAGCACAACGGTCGTACCTGTGTAAAGGCCTAAGACTATCATAATTCCTGAGATGCAATACATGGTATATGCTCTGTTGCGGAATGCTTTGAGATTAAAGAGTCCCCCACGAACGTTGACGGGCGGAAGCCGTCGCTTCAGTAACTTGAGGGAAATGCGTCAGAGAAAGAAACATCTACAGGTGCTGACAACATACTATATTGGCCGTTCCCAGGGTTGCTATTATAATGAACCCAAATACACGGACCGTCCATTTAAAACTGTAATGGTATGAGCGTATGTGAATTGCCCCATAAGTGGTCGAACAAACCCAATTGATGGAATCAAATTTTGTGCTGCTACAGGAAACACGATGCTGCCGAGGGGAGTACCAGCGGCGCAGATGGCTATAGCAAGGCCACGTCTCTTGGAGAACCATTGCGACACGATGACGAGTGCGGGAGCGAACATGGTACCGGAGCACAGTCCTATACCGACACCCTGCGTTAAGAAGAACTGCCAGAATTGAGTGCATTCCGCGATTAGGAAAGTGCACGCAACGAGGGCGCAGCTAGCGATATGTAACGGTATTTTGAAGTATCCCAGGTCAAACATTCGCCCAGATGCAAGTGATGTAAGGTACGAGAGCGCGTACTATGAGGACAATTGAGCTTCGCAAGTTTGCTAGAACGAGAATTGAACATGCCTGCGTAGAACCAATCCATGCTCTGAGAGTGCAAGACATCAGTTTTACAAGGTCGCATCAAACAAACTTATCACCTTACATATTTGAAGGAGAAGTGTGACGTAGAAGATCTTCCTCGTAATACTCTTGGAAGACCTGAGAGGTAGAATTTTGTAGAAAATGCAGGTGTGTGGTGACAAACCTTACTTACACCCCATGAATTTACAAAACCAATCCTGGTGGAACCTTCTTGAGTCAAGCCAGGGGAATAGATTAGGAACACCTTACGTAGAGAACATAAGCAATGTGGCACTAAAAATTGTCAATCCGAAGACGTCAGTGACTATCCCAATGTACGAAAATGTACTCGCCCAAAAACGATAAGCCATGCCATTAATCCTCCATCTGGTGCTTCGCTCGGATGCGTTGCAAGCTTCTGAGAACCTCGTTCATTCGGTATTTCCTGTTCAATGGTTACTTTTGTCTTCTGCCCATCGTAAGACGCAGTGTCAATTTGAATGCCCTGAAAGGCCTCTATACTCAGTGACTTCTCGGACATAGCTTCTCCTGCCAATACAGAGAGGAGAGATGAGAACCGACGGAGAGCCAAGAGAAGAGAGCAACTGTACTGGTATGTGAAAATCATGCTGCCGACGTTACTGCGTACATATAGTACTCAGCGTAGCATATGGTTCCTTCCAATAGCTATTTGCAAAAACCTGAGGGCTGGAAAATGCTGTATTCCATTTGTAAACCACCGCCACTGGATAACGCCACGCATATAAGGACCAGAAATATGACATTGCACTCGCTGGCCTTCGCTGGCCAGGGTGAGGAATTGAACCAGATCATAGGCAGGCCCGGAAACGCTCCTTGTTGCTCCTCGGTAGATCAAGGAAGTCAGAGCGGAGAGACTAGCTCAGCTTTGACTGATTAGTCTCGTAGTGAAAAATGTGCCAGAAAGCTCACCTTTTCACAGACAAACGCCCGCGACCTTGAAGTGCACGCTAGTCAGATAGCCAGTAACTGATGTTGCGTCACGGGTGTTGAAAAGTTGAAACTTGAGCTTGAGGCCCAAGAAGGCCAGCAAATTCTATTACTTGAGCGTTCTGTTACTTATTCGATAGACACTATTACCGTCAACGTTAGTGTAGCACGGGTATACCGTGGGCCGCGGGTCCGTCATCGCTCACACTGGCAGTTCGTAGTCTCGATCCAGGATAGTAGATGAACCTTGATGTCGCTGGCGCTTCCCAGAGTAACTCGGCAGCCTTATTGAACGTAATAATTCCAGCGGCCCTCTGTTTTGCAAATAGCTTGGAAACAAGGAGTGGGATACTAATCGGATGATCTGTAACGTATACATAACGTCGGCAGAATGGTTTGAGCATACCAGTACAATCGCGGTGTGACTGACGACACACCTGCCGAATACTATTTCAAAGGACCAGCTGGTTAGATGCGTCAAGTTAACAAATCAGCGCGTCGAGTGCCATTGGGTTACCCTGTTCGAGTGCTCGATGATCTCATGACAACAAAGCCATTGAGAACCTAGCTGTCGTAGCCTCTAGATGCTTGCCACGTCCGAAGTCTGCATGGACAACCCAGCAAAGTCGGTTGTCCCTGTCAAGAAGGTCGTATCGAAAGGAACGCGAAGTGCCGGACAATTCACAGCTTTCGTCTCCCTTTCGTCCAACGAAGACGGGCAAAATGTCGAGTTAAACAAGGGCTATCTTTTACAAGAAAGACCAAGGTTCCAGCCCCACCTTCAATGTACCAAACAAATTACGAGTTCGTTGTGAATGTGGCACAGAGTATTGATGGTACTCGGCACCATGCATGAATCATGCCGCATCCACTCCTTCTGTGCCTTTCTAGAGCAAATTCACAACGCCAGATTCACCTCACTGAACGGCCATTCAAAACTTACCACATAGGCGTCCGAGATGGAGGTACCGTGCCACGAGTAGCAATACAACGCCAAATATAATGCTGCCACCTGGGCAAGGTCAACTATCGGGACAAGTGAGCTTTGCAGGTTTACTATAACGAGAATTGAACATGCCTGAACCGATCCATGCTCTAAAACGTGCAAGACATCAATTATACAAGGTTGCATCAGACAAACTTATCACCTCACATAGTTGAAGGGGAAGTGTGATATAGAAGATCTTCCTCGTAATACGCTTGGAAGACCTGAAAGGTGGAAAGTTGTAGAAAATGCAAGTGTGTAGTGACAAACCTCACTCACACCCCATGGATTTACATAACCAAAGAACCTTCTTGAGTCAAATTAGGGGAATAAATTACGAACAGCTTACGTGGAGAATATAACCAATGCAACACTGTAATCCGACATTAGCGACTATTTCAACGAATTCAAGTGTACTCGCGCAAAAACCACAAGCCATGCCCGTAATCCTCCATCTGGTGCTTCACCAGGATGAGTTGCAAACTTCTGAGAACCTCATTCATTCGGTATTTCCTGGTCAACAGCTGCCCTTGTCTTCCATCCATCGCATGACAAGCGATGTCTGCTTATAGATGCAGAGTCAACTTGAATGCCCTACAAGGCCTCTACACTTAGTAGTGACTTCTCGGACATGGCTCCTCCTGCCAATGCGCAGAGAAGAGGTCAGAGTCGACGGGGAGAAGGGAGAGGAGCAACTGTACTGGTCTATTCAAATCATGCTGCCGACGTTATGTTGATATAGCATTGAATTCTCCGGGGCATATGGCTCCTTCCCATAGCCATTTGCAAACTTGAGGACCGCATAAGAAGGTCTTTACTCCGTTCGTAAAGGTCAATTGACGATGCCACAAATACAAGGACGAAAACATGTAATTGAACTCGCTGGATGGAACCGGGCAGACGGCCTAATTACTATTATGGAGTTCCGTGAAGTCACCGACTGAAAGAGGTTGAGCTGCACGTGACAAGGAGGAAAATTGAAGACAACGGTCCTTTTGATTCAGAACATCGAGATGGGGCGGAACGCAAAGCTTCACAAACGCATCGTGAGTTGTCGACGATCACTGTGTATACCAGACTTCTATGTAGGTCTAACAACGAAGTTGTGTCTCCTTAGAAAAAGAAGACACCTGTATTATATATGCATCTGCACCCAGTGCACCACACCCTTCATCGTCCATCGCAATTATGTCCACATTAGGCGCGATCATAGCTAGTTCCTTGGGCTCTGAAGCAGTAGATAGGGATATACAATTAGAAATTAGAAGTCGAGATATACAGTCGACGTGAGGTACGAGCATGAATTGTTTTCTGACTGCACACAAAGTCAGCGCTTCCTGATGAAGTGCGCTTGCGTCGTGGAAGTCTCGGTCACTGCCTTGGTGACTGAAGGTGGGCAAAGAGTGCGGTTGCAAGGCTATTCAGTCGTGCTAACCAATCCTTGTGACCAACCGGGCGAAACCAGTGCTTTCTTTAAAAGCGCGATTGCCTCGGCGAGTCTTGATCATCGCCTCGGCGATCAAAGCGGGTGGTGCCAGGTAAGTACAGTCGCAAGAATATTCAACGCATTAGGTCAATCACGGCGATCAACTTCTTGCGAAGCCACCGCGTCATCGACATCTTGGTGATTGCCTTGTTGCTCGGAGAGTATTGAGACGGTTTCTGCGCCTCCTTGTGAAGCGTGGTGGGTTGGTGGAGGTCACGGTGGAGGTCTTGGTGATTGCCTCGGTTGTGGAAGCGGGCGGAGAGTCAGAGCACTAACGCCAGGTTATTCATTGACCTGGCATGATATGGGGGTGCACAGCTAACGTTTCTTCGTTAAGTGGGATCGCCTCCTTGAGGCCTTGACCATTGCATTGGTGCGCGAAGTTATGATATTACCTACGGCTCAAGCGCTCATGCTTTGAAGCTCTAACTACTGCTTCCTGCTGCTCTGCATCCACTCTCTGAACAAGTACAGTGGTACCATATTTTTTTCACTGCACCGATCTGTATATTGTATGCAAACCTGGTATTCTGCATCCACTCTCTGGGTCGATGTGACACTCACCCCAACATTTTAGCCCTGCATACGGCTTGTAATTCAATTCAAACATGTGAAGAATGTGGCATATGCTCCTTATGCTGTACTGAAGTTCTAATAAAGACTAGTGGTAGGATCTCGACGGGCCATGACACGTTTGGGAGCAAGAAGGGTTTTCGAGCAACACTGGCCTGCCAGTCCATGATCATGACCATGCCGACGCCCGCGTTCGATATACATGCGTCATCAATAACATCAATGTCTTCCCGTACTTTGTTTTGACACGTCTCTTGTACAATATATAATCTTATGATAACCTCGGAGCCGTCCGACCTGCATGCGCGAACTTGAACCGGCTATCTGCTGCTTCCCATAATAATGGCTTTCGGAAAACCATTACAACTCTGCTCCATCTCTTACAAGATGCTGCAAAATACCTACTCAACAATATAATGCACTTCACAGTACTTTCTCCAGCACCGCAAGCATGCGGTCGACCTGCCTCATCAAGAGGTATGAATACCGCACCTTCAAGATGTGTGGACGTCATTCGTACATGCGCAAAGTATAATGCTAATTTGTCACGTCCCTCGTCCTAAGAGAGCTGCAATTTCTCTCTCATGTACATGTCTATTCCGAAGGGGCTAATCAAGAATGCATGCCTTGTCGTGAGCCGGCGCTACGTCGAGGTTTGTGTCAATAAAACGACGAGCCAACTTGGAGACAGTCTCAGCGCATTCGAGCTACAGTAGACAATGTTCATCCTTGGATGAGACCACGCCATATGGCGCACACTCTAGTTCATGAACTCGTTTTTGTACCATTGTCTGGGGCCGGAGGTGGGCTGCGAATGCCTAGCAAGGACTTTAGGATCAAATATATCGAGGGTGCAAAAGGAATTGACGATGATGGCTATATACATGGAGATGAAGAGGTTTGGCAGATAGATCGGAAGTAGCCTAGGATATGAGATGAGAAGTGAAGTTTGGCAGATGAGCTGGGTGGGTGGGGGGGCGCTGATGAGGATGCCGATGAAAATGTTGAAGAAAGCCTAGTTGGGTACCATGGCAGTAATTCACCTGTCGCAAGAAACGAGAGCGGGACACCATGTATATCCCTGCACAAATTTCGCCTCAACAGATCGCTTCCTCGCACACTTTCGCGCCGTCAATGCCCTACCTACTTTGTCCCCCGCACATACCCTGAATGCTGCTGCAAGCGCACACATTTCTGGAAAGGCTTGCGTCAGTCACGATCCGTCCAATGAACGAGGCCACAAGAGTGCCCGAGAGTTGAGTGCGCAAATTCCTCCGGATTTCGAGCGAGGTCGGCAGGAATGTGAGCTGAATGACACTGACAAAGGCTCTCGTGGGCCGACGAAGCTAGATGCCGTCGCTGAGCGAGACGAGCTTAAACCGTCTTCAAGTTATGCGCCGTCCATACCATCGTCAGCCCACGTTCGCTTCATTTGGTAGGCAGGACTTGCACAGCACAACCACGAGTGTAAGCCAGGCCATCCGTGGGAGAGTTTGCTACCTTTTTGGTCCGGACTGGAATGTGATCATTGCGCGTTTTCTTCGTGGTTTTCTTGCCCCCCGCTTTCCGCCCTGTACTATCTCTTGCCCAGAGTTGCAAAATGGTCCGGAGTTGCAAATCACGATGTAGCACACTCATATTTCACTCTTTTCCTTAGCACAATGATTCTAGAGGATGATTGATTGATATATAGCTTACTGTGTGTATTTTTTATTCTACAAAAAATGGACGAGAAGTACTTGCGGCAGCGAAACACTGCTAAGAATGTGCACTTTCCACGCCAATCCATCGGAGGGAAGCCACCACATGCGCTAAAAAAATCAGGAATTTTACTACCGCATCAGGAAAAACCTCCCCTGTGTATTACCTGGAAATTACACGAAAATTGTGTGGATTACTATGTTTTTTTATGTTTTATTATGTTTTACTAGGTTTTATCACAATATCTCACATTACTGACATTTACATAGTAAACTGCAGTCCCCCGTCGACACCGTCACGGTAAAGTGGAGGAAAACACGAAAAAACACGAAAAAACGCGAAATGTTTGTATCATCCATACTGTGCCATTCACGACCATTGAATATCACACAGATGTAAACAAAAAACATTATATTGTCGTCCAGACTCGATATATATATGATATGGTAATGATGGTAGGGTAGCGGTACTAGAAGTAATAGTAGATAGGAAGTAACTGGTGAATTAAATAAACCTAATGAGACTCGCCGAGTCGCCGCCCGCAAAAGGAACTTCAACGATGGGTGGCGCTGCGTGATCGAGTCGCCAGGTGAATAGGTGTCGTACGTGGGCTGTGAAGGTCATAGGAGTAGCAGCAAGTGGTGGGGCGGTGGGCGGTGCTGGTGTGGGTACAGGTGGTGGAGAAACTGGATGAGGACTCCTTGTCATAGCGAGCCTGAGTTTCTTGAAGCGCCCCGAGTGCTGCTGAGGTCGTGGTGTGGAAATCTAAGATTGAGGAAGGAAGTACATGCGCCAAGACGACTCGGATCAGCATGGCTCGAGCTCGAAGGAGGATCAAGACACTCACGGCCTGCGAAGAGTGGGCAACGATCAGCATGGCTCGAGCTCGAAGGAGGATCAAGACACTCATGGCCTGTGAAGAGTGGGCAATGACTTGGATCAGCATGGCTGGAGCTCGGAGGAGGACCAAGACACTCACATACTGCAAATAGTGGCCTGCTGCGGCCTTGATGGACACACATATCAAGATGACTTCAAACGACTCAAATCAATAGACAGGGACAAGTTGCATGCACAACGTACCGATGATGCCTAAGCCAGTCCAGCAAGCACAAATGATGCGGGTGTGGGCACAAGCCACTCGTGGTTGGATCCTGCAGTTGGGCGCTGGGAGTGCAGAGGTCATCGGAGTGCGTGAGCATGCCGGAATGTAATGAGCGGACGCAGATGTGTACCAATGTGCACAAACATGTAAGGGGGGAAGGAATGGAAGAACACGAAAACATTGTCAGCAGGGTAATTGAATGCAGAAAAACAAGTTGAATACACACCTTTCCGTGATCACCAGCCTCGAATTCCTTCGTCGGGGCAACCAAGCAACATGGTACCTGCGCGGTAATCTGACACCGGGGGGCTACTCGGACTGGTCCTTCGCGCTGGAGGACGGTCAGCACCAGATAAGCTGACTTGGTTTTATAATTCACATACCAGATAGTGAGTGCCAAGAATTCAGCGACATTGTGGCAATAACGGCGAAAATATCAAAGAGAGCAAAAAATCAGCCCACAGGCAACAAACATGGTAAAGACTCACCCTCTCAGGCTCATTCCTTCGTGTGTCCAGAGAGCAAACAAGCTCGCCTTGCCTTAACGAGAGTAGTAGACGTAGTTGGAGGGAAGGATGTTACAGTATAGGACCGGCATTTGAGCCAGCACTGTCATTTGAGCCAAACAGCTTCCACAGACTCAATATTTGTTTATCGACCCATCGAATAGCGCAGATGTATCGTAAATACATAGATCTTGTATACTGTCGAGTAGAAATGAAAAAAAAAAATAATGCATGCATGCTACAGGTCAGAAACATGCCCTCTCTCAGCACCAATCAATGCAGCGAGAAGGAATTGTTCAATTATCAATGTCAGAAATCCTGCCAAATGAAAGATTTATATCCATAGTACAGTTTCGGTACAATAAAATAAGTCCAACACACAACAATGTGCTGCCACTGGGATTCCGGACGAGGGTCTCAAAATATCTTATCAAAGTGTTTATCGGGGCAAGATAGTGAAACTAACCCAATTTGGACTTTCATTTCCGAACTCAAAAAACACTGTCCTGCAGTCACCCTTGGCTCGTATCCTGCACATCTCAGTCATGGTTGGACGTCCAAAGTCAGTCACGAGGAAAAAACAACTTGCTAAGCAAGAGCAAGAGATTGCCATCACTCGAGCCATCAATGAGTACCATACCGAGCAGAGAAAAGATGAACCCACAAAAAGCCTCCGTGCGATCTGTCGAGAAGTTCAGGAGAAGTATCGAGCAGAAACTGGGAAGCCAGTGGTCGTTGACCACATGACTGTCTCGCGTCGACTCGCTGGAAACAGAAGCAGTGCCCAATACATGGCAGAGGAGAGAGCATGGTTAAAACCAGAGGAGGCAGAAAAGGTGGTCGAGTATTGTCTTGAACTCGGACGTCGTGGATTTCCGATTGGTCATCGTTGGCTCAAGGAACATGTTGATGCCATTCTACAAGCACGACTTAGGGAAAAGTTCCCAGCTGGAGGAGTAGGCAAAAATTGGACTGACCGGTTTGTCGAGAAACATATGGACAAGCTTGGCAGGTTCTGGACCCGATCTCTCGACACCGCTCGCGGTTGTGCTGTCAATCCCACAACTCATGATCAGTGGTTCACACTACTAGAAGGTGCTATGACAACACTAGGTATAGAAGAAGATTGCATTTGGGCAGCAGACGAGACTGGATTTCAGCCAGGTGGTGGAAACAAGGAGCGCGTTTTTGGTCCTTCTGGGGCTAAGATTCAATACCAACAACGAGACGGAAATCGAGAGAACATCACTGTTATGGTTACGATCTGTGCAGACGGCACCGAGATACCACCCACTGTCATATACAAGGGAAAAGCATTTGGAACCCAGTGGCACCACAATAACAATCTGGGAGCATCGTGAGTACTTTACAATCATGCATGTTATAAATTCGGCTCAAATAATGAAGGGTTGCTCACTCGACAAAAGGCTGGACTGACGGAGTCATCGGTCAGCATTGGATCAAGGATTTTGATAATAAGACCCGTGAAAAGGCCAACGGCCGTCCCCGGTTGCTTCTCGTAGATGGTCAAAACTCTCATTATACAGAGGCCTTCCTGTCCTATGCACGTCAACAGAACATCCATGTGTTATGTTACCCTGCACACACGACACACATCTACCAGGGGCTTGATGTGGCTGTGTTCGGTACACTCAAGCGCTGCTGGTCAGAAGAGCGGGATGAGTTTGAGCGCACTACTGGACAAAAAATCACCAAAAAAAACTTTATCCAGGTGTATCAAAAAGCTCACGTTAGAGCTGTAACTCCTGCGACTATTAAAGCTGCTTTCGAGAGGACTGGTGCGTGGCCACTGAACCGTCAGGTCATTACACATGGCATGATGGCCCCGAGCCTCGTTACTTCAAGCCAAGGGCATCTACCATTGCTGCAGCCCAGTCCAGTACGAGTTCTTGTAGATGCTATTCATCAGTATCAAAATTCACACTCGGTCGAAAATCCCTCACCATCATTCGAAAACGAAAGCCGGCATCCATCCCCGGTGCCCCATAATGAGATAGATGTCACTGAAGATCCCTTCCGTTCCTCGTCAACTCAAACACCAAATAGCTTCTTCGAGTCACTTACCCGCATGTCCCCGAATGATGCTGTCGCTGGCCCATCCACCCCTTCCCCGCTCAATGACTTCTCTCGCACAGTTGTGAATTCCCTAAAATCAACATCAGCATCTTTCCTCGTGTCGAGCAGCCCATTGCACTCATCATCACAATTTCCTCGCTATGTCCCCGTATCTATCTCACCTTCCCGGAAACGAAAATCAGAACTTCTCGACTTCGAACCTGAAACACAGAGAGAATGGACGCTTCAGCAGGGGTTAGTGGCAGCTCATGAACGAGAGGCTACACAAAAGCCATCATGAGTGGGATGCAGTCCACGATAATTCTACAGGGAATGTACTGTGACTCGTTACATGGGCAGCTCGCAGCACAGGAAGAGTCGAAGAACAACTCAAAAAAACGCGGGAAGTTGATGGGCAATGGCTTACCTTGTTACCTAAGCGGAGATGCTTTCTACACGCGAGTTGTCGACCATGAGAAAGCAGCAGCAGATGAAGAAGCGGCCAAGCAAGCTCGAAAAGAGGGGAGAGAACAGCGCGCTGCAGCTTTGGAGGAGTGGAAGAAGGCGGAAGAAGCAAGAAAGCAGCGCAACAGGGAATTAACGGGGAAATATCAAATGGAATTGGAGCGGTGGAAGGAGGAAAAAGAACGCGCGAAGATGGAGAAGTGTCGGCTTGCATGGAAAAAGCCGACACGAGGTAAGTTGGAAGCGCCGTTACCTAAACCGGTAGTTGCGGAGGGCACCGCAGGTGACGAGCTTGATGTCGACGAGGATGAGCGCGAGAATGCCAGTGACGAGGATGAAGAGGAGTAGTAACTAACCTGTGGATCGTTACGGTACGATAATCGCTTAGATGGTACTCTCGCACGCTATAAATCTATATTAGGGCTGGCTCAACTGGTGAAAAAAACAGATATCAAGACATTCTACTGATCCACGCACTGTGCACACATCACTCACTCGATTGCTCTGTAGCGTTGCATTGGTGTGGTCATCATATATTTAAACATGACTGCCAAATCAAAATTTTAATTTATGTACAGGTGTTCACTTAAGACGGTCACCAAAATTTACTGGCTCAAATGCTGGTCCTATACTGTAATACCAATGTTAACGTGCAAGAATCAAAGTCGCAAAGTTGAACCAAGATCATGTGAGCGCTGGCTCGAATAAATAAACACGTGCAAATATCAGACTTCAACATTTTGACTTTGTCAATTTCAGGAGACTATGTTTCCGCATCATCAACTTCTTCCTACACCCATTCGATGTCACCTAGTTTCGCCCCTTCTTCTGACACAACCAACAATCCTTCCACGTCGTCAACATTTTTCGATAGCAAACCTCGCATGATCCTAGCAATAAGGCATTCACAGTTTAACTCAAAAGTCTGTACTGCAGTAATAAGTATATCTACCCCCAAAACCAAGACCCCCAATGAAGATCCTGATGATGTCGTAGATGAAGGCTGTGTTTTTTTTTCCTGATGTTGATGTATACTGCCTTATACAGGTGCGCAATCCTGATGCGCCTCCCACATCTATACAAGGTGACACCTTCTCGAGTCCGCTGGATCCTTTGCTGATATAAAATACTAATTGTTAGATTTGCGTGTCGCGCAGGTTCGCGCAGTCTTCACTTTGCCACAAACATTATTAAAACAGTATTTTGACCCTCAGAACCCTCTACCTCAGCATCTCGCCTATGTCGAATGGTTTTCGACCTTCAGCGCTTTACCAGATCCACAGTCTGGGTTGTATAAGGTCAGGCGGGTGGTTCGCGATGGCGAACACCAAGTGTCAATTGTGCCCATATCATTAATTTGTTGAAGTGCTCACTTATTGCCTAAGTGGGGAGGAGCTGTTCCTGCAGAGTGGACGAGTTTAGACGTTCTCGATGCATGCCCCTCATTTCTTTTGAACGTTTTCAAAGACATGTACACTTACTTCAATTAGGATAGGACACGCATCGTGAACATGTAGTTTTACATGGTGATAACTGAAAAAAACTGAGTAAAGTCAAGTAAAACAATGTAAAGTCGAGCAAAACAATGTAAAGTCGAGCAAAACAATGTAAAGTCGAGTAAAACAATGTAATGTTGTGGATATATGGGTAATTCCCTGGGGAGGTTTTTCCTGATGCGGTTTCCCATTGCCTTCTAATATCACTCTAATTTTTTCTGACATGATAACTGAGTGGTGTTGAGAGACACAAATCACTGCAGAAACGACTTTTTAGCAAGAGGTAAAACTAACCCTGAGTATAGGTATAATCCGAGCTAATACCAACCCAAGCTGTAAAGTAGACTAAAACCTGACTTGCGAACTTTCCGAGACTCCGAGGTGTGAGTGAAAAATAAATCTGAATCTAACCAGACGTCTGTTACATTCAATATCCATAAACAAACCATATTCGGGTCGGGAACGGCGCTTGTTCCAGACCGCGATTTTCTTCTCTTTATACCTTGTATATCTACGACAACCCACCTCGGAAAAGTGTTTATGTTCGAATTCTGACCCTCGACGTGTTCAGGTGAGCTTCTAACCAGTACTTCTTTTTTTCACTAAGTCCCCACAAGTTACCATGAACCAAAGCCTAGATTAATACTGGCACCTTCTCTCCCTGGCCTGCCACGCCTCTTGGAGGCGAAGCAGGACCAGAGGCTATTGAGCTGCTCAGACACGCCTCGTGGAGGTGAATCTGAGCGTCAAAGCTCGACGGCTGAGATTACTGCCCCACCAAAGTCTCCTTCAAAAGGCCAACTTCCACTCGAGAGGACGATAGTGTCACGGAGCCCGAGAGTGAAGATCTCAACCAACAACTGGTACAGGTAAGACGTCTTTACGCACTAGTACTGTTCACATGAACTAAATTATAGTGTAGGCTGCCCGTGCGCGAGAAACGGGTCATCATGAGGCAAGGCTTTGTTGTCACGAGGCAGCGGTGACAACTGAGGTGTTCCCACGCTGTATGGCTGAGGGTATGGATTGTTTGCCGGTTGTTGACTTTCTTGACTTACTGGACCCACAGTACCACTGGGACGTCATTGGGTTCCTTGGTTGGCGGGAAACATGGCTGCTTGTGGGTGGGGGACAAATGCTCGCTCATCATTTTGCACGGACGAGCGGGATTCAGCGGGGAAAACATTTTAGAAGCTAGTCCTCATCATGTCTACCTAGAGTATAATCAGACCTGCTTTTGTTTAAATCCCGACATAAAACAGATGTGAGGATCCAAGAATTCCGATTTGATTCCGCATCAGATTAGGCACCCAGGCAACAAACCAGGCCCTTCGAAACTCATAAATCACGATTTGTGTTATGCCCTGGAACGAGCGTCTCTTGCGATCTTATTCTGACGTGACATATTTTCTTTGCAGGTTCGAGTTATTATCTACATAAGCTTGCTAACTCCACTCTATCCCGGTCTGGCTAAAATCTCGTTTCCACAGTGAATGTTGTACCATTGAGATGCAAGACGTGACAGGAGGTGTGAGATTGTGTTCGGAGTCATAAATCGCTGCTCGGCAACTCGGCCAATACTTGCACAATTCGGGACCCATTTTCGCTCAATTGTGCTTGACGGCATCGGAGAGTAAAAGCGGCGGTGTGACATGGTGTGACGCGACTCATCTATGTTTGGGCTCGTCTTGAGAGACACTTCAGAGCGATGCTTTTGGGATAGTTCAGGGATACTCTCGTACACAGTGCTCACCATACCTTTTCTGGTATTATAACTCTCGGACACCAAATTTGCAGTTCGGCACCTGCTAAGATCAACAGATAGGCTCATGATATGATCAAGATGTCAAATCAGTCCAAGATTAAGATTAGTGACGTTCCGGCCCGGCTTGGGCTCAAAGCCCCGGCTTAGGCTCGGCCTGGAAGGGCTTAGGCCCACCAGATTTCAAGCCTGAGCCGTGAGCCCAAGCCAGCCCAAAGCCGAGGCTTGGGCCCAAGCAAGCCGCGGCCCACACGCTAAATTCGAGAAACAATGATGTGAATTGAAAACAATTTTTTTTGAAATCACTGGACAATGGGCGATGCCGACGGACGCATGAATGTGCACGAAGTGTCTCATCCAAAACCCTTTTAATGTTGTTTGGGTGGGTAGGAAAGCTTGAGCTTGTGTGGGCGAGACGTCAATTCGAAGGGTACGAGGTGGTGAAGTTGAAGGGTACGAAGTGGTGAAGTTGACTTTGTTTCTGCGAACTGATTTCGTGTCATCGAGGAGCTACGGGGAATAGAAAGCGGACTCACCCACAAATTCTGGATTGATTGACATAGGAGTTTGGATGCAGACATTGCAATGTTGCTAGAGACATGTTTACTCGGGCTTGTGCCGATATCATGAAGTTTCTTCTTCCCAGCAGGACCTCTAACGAACGGAAGCAATGGGCACGCAAATGATTGTACGCGGTCTATAATCATTGCTGGGACATCAGCCGTTTCAAGAGTCGACGTAAGCTCAGATTTGAGCGCAGCATGGGAGTAGGGGTGGCTTTGGTGGACGGACTTGGATTGGAGGGAGGTGCTGTGTGCTGGGACTGCATATGGGAGGAGCGAAAGGTCACATTTTCGCTGGATGTATGTATTAGGTCAAACTGGTGCTAAGTAACGAAGAACATAGAGGAAACGGACCTGGATAAGTGTCCCCGCAGACCAGAAAGTGTAACCACTACCTATGAAACCATTTCCCGTGAGCTGAATTGTCACAATCTGTGGATACACGCACCTTGCCCTTTGTAATGGCGCCCCAGATTTCAGCCCACTCTTCTGTCTCACCATCTTGGAGGGTTGGTGCTGCGGAGAGACTGAGACTGGCGGTTGGGCAGTACTACCGGTTGTAGCTAATATCTGTCTGGGCGTGTATGGCGCATACTTTCGTGTTGAAGAAGACTGAGTTTCTCGTGTGGGACTGGGGAACAGGGAAGATGGACCGGAAGAGAGGAGTGGGTGAGTGGTGAGATTGTCACGAGAGACAGTCCTTGCAAATTGCAATAGATGCGTCTTGGACGTGTCCAATCGATGTAGGAGGAAAGTGTCCCTCTCGTCGTGTAGTCATTATGGTGTAACAGTCGAGTCTATCCAGAGATACGCAGTTGTCATTGCTGATCCGCGTTGCAGCAAGCCACGGCTTGAGCCGCCGGCTTAGGCTTTCCAAAATTGAAGCCCAGGCCCAAGCCTTGGGCAGGCCGTGACCTGGGCCTGGGCTCGGCTCGGCTTATTTAGGCCCGGCTTCGGCTGGCCCGGGGCTTGAAGCCGGGCCGGAACATCACTAATTAAGATTGATAACTGCGCTACATGAAAATCTATCTAGGCATCTGAGATCACTGATAGCGAGTGGTACAGTTCTTTGTCTGCAAAATTATTCAAGAAATAGTCGTCGAACACCTCCATCGAGTTCCCAGAATTCACCTCCTTGCCCAATGGTCCTTGATAGACAGGTATAATCTCCACCGCATGCGTAACGTCTGTGAGAGGAATTATGGATCCGTGTCTGATCACCCTCTCCGACTGTGCAGAATATCGAGTATAAGATCGTCTGACCATCCACATGCCCGTAGATGGCTCGGGGCCAGGCACGACGAAGTCAAAATGCTGGATATATACCAGCACCTGAGACAAGCGCTCGGGGAACTGCGCACGAGAACCTCTGGGGAGGGTTGGCTGGAATATGGCTCGTACTTGAGCGACATAAGACCCTGTAGAGGCCCATCAGGCAATGTCACCACCGGTAAATTTTGTAATACTCACCATCGTTACGACCATCGACCCTCTGGTTAAACAATACGGCGTCGCAATTCCCTCTAGGAAAATTACTGGAAGGTGGCTCGGCGTGAATTTGTTGGCTCGGCATGATCCTGCAAGTGTGGAATGCGGAAAATAACTGGATGCGAAATTTCAACCATGTATTGAATAGGAGCTGGCCGGGGAGTGTACAACCATTGCGGGTCGCGTAGACGTGTAAAGCATGAGAAAAATCAGTGATCTCGTACAACGACTGCAGTAGAGACGCATTGAGGCGATTGCGATCTGCTTTCACAGTCACATTGAAGGCAATCCGTGCGTTGTCCGACAAAATACCCTTCAAGAAGTGATTGCGAACAGGGCGCGGCGCTTGCAGACGTAGCTGGGCAGCTGGGTTTGCATTGGAGACCCAAGCGAAAGCGGGATCTGTCTCTGTACTAGCGATCTCTTGATCCTCCATGATGACGGCGTTCATGAGTGGGTCCTGACCAGGCGTAGATGAAGACGAGGACAACAGTGTGTAAAGGTTGAACAGCCGGATGGACTCCTCCTGATCGAGGATGCGAGCGATCTGCAGGACGAAGTCTCTCTGACGACTCGTGTGTTCAAACGGATGTTTGCAGTGAGTTATTAAAAGACGTTCCGATACGTCTGCTGTCCACTGCATGAGTGAACCGACATGGGAGATCGCACGAGCAAAATTTTGCATGAGTTCCAATTTCGGAATGAAGAAGTCGTCTTTAGCGCCGCTCTTTCCCTGGCGTGCCTCTGAATCGAGGATGGCCTGCTTATTATCATGGAAGTCTTGAAGTGCTTGAGTCATGGAGGCGATGCTGGATTCAGTGTGAAGGGGATTCTGAGCAAGGTAGATAAAATCGATCATTGCCCGCACAGCGCGGATGAAACCAGGGCTTGCAATACCCCACAGCATTGGCACAATTGTGCGCTGAATATCTCGGTGCTCTCGTCCTGTCATTTGGTTGACATGAGAGACACCCCCAGAGAAATGGCGCACACCAGTGCGCTTGTGGTGACTCTTGAACCGTACATCAAGTTCATGACCCATGATCTGCTTGATCCATTTAAGAACGTGATCAAAAAAAAATTTGTGCAGCGTGTGCAGAATTTCTGGTGTCAGGAATCTAGCGGGATTGGAGCACCTCCAGTTTCTCCAGTATGGCAAGTGCACCCCGCTAAGATGGAGCTTTTTGGACTCTCTAATGTATGCAATGAGATCCCATGGGTCAACACGGTTGCAAAGCTGCTGGATAAGTGCGTAGGTGTCCGATCCATTCCGTGGAGGATGCGGTGTCTCATCACCAAACTCTTTGTGGGTCGCTGTGGTGACGGGAGACGAGTTTTTCATGACGCATGCGATCATCAATTGTTCGGGGAGATCGGCGATGTGACTGATAAGAGGTGTGAAACAGTAACGGATTTTGGCCAAGGGATCGACCATGTACTCGCCAACACGAGCTGCGACCTTCAAATTGGAACATACAAGATCCACGCACTTGTGCCACAGACGCGACCGGAGTAGAGTTTGAAAATCAGAGTTGACAACGAAAGTCGGTATTGGCATGAATGCAGTACATCGCCACGCATGTGACGTGGCCTTCATGCGGACATCGGCCTGGATATTTCCGATGGTGAGGAATAATGGGTGCATCTCGAGGCCACCTGTGTGTCTTGTAACTGGGGTTTTGTCAGAGGCAGCAATGATCGGAATGATAGTCGCCCCTTCCGGCAGTTGATCCTATTATCAAGTGTCAATCACTCAAGTAACTCTAAACAAAAGCGCAACTACTCACCTGAATCTCCCATGCATCATCCGAAGTCCAAAATTCTCCAATTTGGCGTTCTTGTCCTTGATAGATATAGTGTGGGTCATAGCACATGTGTTTCACATAAACGGGGTTTGCAAAAAGCTGCTTCGTAACCTCCAACCCATCCCTCCAAATGAGGTGAATCGGTTGTTCACTCTCGTAGCCCTTGAGCTTAAGCTTCGTACACTGCCATTTCGGCCCACGGCCAGGAAGCTGCTGCATGTAGAAGAATAACTTGTCCTTCATTTTGAATTGCGGCCACTCTCTCGTCTGGAACTGAAGTAGTTTGTCAATTAAGTATTTACTTGATGACAATTAGACGACGTACCCAATCTAACTTGAGAAATTTGTCGATCTGCGTCTGAGAGAGGTTCTCGACAAGGAATTTCGCGAGTGACCATTCCCCCGGCCCATCAAATGGATACCATACATTAGTCTCCCTGGCTTCTTGAAGAGGATGGTCTTGCATTTGCTGAAACATATTTTGTGGAGGTGGTTGATCTGGAACCATGTAATGGTAGCCAGAGGTGGGGTGATACTTTGCTGATAAGTTTGTCTGCTCTGGCGGTCGCTGTAAAGCCTGCGGTACTGGCAGCATTGATCTGTTGGTGAGGTTCTCTGGCCAGCATGAGTCTGCACTATTTAGATGCTCAATTATTGCCTCGGCTGATTGGTATTGTTTCTTGCAGTTAGGACACAAGACGACAGCAATGTTGAAGGGCGAACTGGAGAAAGAGATCAGTAAGTCATTTAATACCACATAATGCTCACTTTTCAGTTAACTCTGCAAACTCAGAGTCGGGTTCCTCATGCTGAAAACCGGGGTTATATGGATCGTGGGGCTGAGGATACGCCATATGAATGACCAGCTGAGGTACCGCCAGTGTGATACTTTGCACACCACTCGAAAAGCACCAAGTCTTTGAAACTCCGACTTTCATTAGAGCTTGCTGTTCCACACAGTGTACACCGAGGCGACTGAGACGCCAGTTATGTATCCTCCAGAGTCTCTGTTCCAAATTCCGAGTGGCGAAACCCCGCCAACCAGTCCATTGAATAGCTCAAAGTCTAGTCCAATTCTCCCAAAGGTCGATTATGCTGAAGCTTTCACTCGCGTCTACCATGATAGCCCCCAAAGCTCTTCTCCACCTAGTAGCCTTTGTCCCTCATCACCCCCAGGTACTCATCATATCATCTCAGAAATTATTTCAGAAAACACCTAATTCAATCCTTTGCAGCATCCGTCACTTCGCTTGGACATGCTGATGTTGGTCCACCTACTACAAAAAAGCGGGGTGGAATACGTTCAAAGCAGAATTTGCAGTCCAGCTACCACCCTTATGTCCGGAAAACTCCCCCCACTCCGCAGGCCGAGCGTAAGATGGCAAACGTGATGGGAAGATTAAGATTGACTGGCGGTATGGATTCAGACCTTGACGATGATATGGTATGTTACAATATTTTATGCTCTGACTCTCAGTGACATATAATCATATCTCTAGACCTGCAAAATATTCTCTCAGGGCTTGCAGCGGCTGTCTTCTGAAGGAATGCGCCATGCCGCTTATTACAAGGAGGCAGAACTTGAATATCACCGGCATCTTTCAATGGCTTTGGCTTGGGAGGCAGAGAAACTCTCGAGGCTCAGAGATTTCATTGATTGTGAGCAACAGGAGCAGGAGGGACAAAGCATTCGGGCATTTGAGGAGGCAGAGCTCTTTACACGCATGGTGGCTGATCGCGACGCAGGGCGTGCTTCCCAGGATCTCGAGTTCATCACTTCAATCCAACAAGAAGAGGCAGCAAGGGTCAAACAGTTGAATAGTGAACTTGATGAGCTGGACATATTCCTTTCCCCGGACACACAGGCGACTTCAGACCTCGAGCAACAGCGCCGATGTGAATCAGAGTAGGAATCTATTTTTATTGACCAATACGAAGGTAAGCTTCATTTTTTCATAGTATGATGGCATGTACTTATCGGTCAGGTGTAGCGTGAAATGTGAATAAATATCTTTATTTGTAGTCTGTGCTTGGTTTGTACAACTACAATTATCCAATGTAGCACTTTGTGGAGCCGAAGATGATGTTGCGCCGCGCACTGATTATCAATTATTGTTTGATCGTTGTTCCTTCACTTGACCCTTGAAGATGTCTGCAAGCCAAGCGCCCTCGAGAGTTCGTCGAAGGGTCGTGCAGGTGAGTGAATTCCTCTCTTACTAGTAGTACACTAACTCATCACTCGACAGGATGTTCCCGTCGTTCGACAATCGGGACTCAACATCGCAGGTCGGTCATCGACAGATCAACTCGGGTGTCCGTCAGAGATACCGGAGTTGATCAATACACCTGAACTCCCCCCTCTCATACATCCTCCCCCCATTTTCTCGCATGATGGCTACACGTCTACTCCGCCCACTTTCCAGCACCACGTACCTCCACCGAGAGCGTCCCGTTTTACTGGGACGGCTCCCCGCGCTGTAGGGCCCGATCGTGTACAGCGGTCATTCGCACCCGCCAAGGGTGATATCGTGTCGCGATATCGTATGGTCTATACCTACTTGCCTCTTTGCGGTGCGGAGAAATCCCGCCAAGAATATACAGATGGTGTCGTCTTCGTGAGTCTTGCGTTTGTGTTTTCTGACCTGCGCTTATCCATACATTAGCGAGACGAGACGACGGGTGTACAAAAAACGACTATGCAATGGTACCAACTCCCTCCCGTTAGACCCCCACGCGAGTTCGTCGTGCCGGATTCAGAGACCACGCCAATCGCTACCACACCTCGCCCCTCTACATCGACAATTGCCGCCACAGGACGTTTAATTGATGACACGAAATCGAAGGATATCGTAAAGGAGGCGAAGACCGCTGTAATCACGGAATCACTCAATCGTTGTGCATTCCACGATTCGGCCAGTCGAATGACTGTAGTCAAACATGTGCTTACCTATGCATGTTCGCTCGTCATCACCGACGGTGAGTTCTTCAAGTTCGTGCTATATGTAGCGTACTACTAACAGGATCAATATTAGATTGTTTGATAAAGCAATGGGTCAATGACAACCTATTGAAGCTCTACAAGTCCGTCGTTACACCAATGTCGACGGTACTTAACCGCTTCAAGCAGTCCGCACGCGACGTCGTCGAAAATCTATACAACCTCCAACTCTCAATCTGGACCGACGAGATGGTCCAGATCGACCATGCTAAATCGACCGTCGATTTTCTGACGGGGAACGACTCGATTAATTTTATATTTGGGGATCTAATCAGGGTATGTATTACTATTTCTTAGGTGCTATTGTTTGGATGACGAAGCCCTCGATAGCGAGAGGACGGTCAAACTCACCGCTATCCGTTTGAGCACAACGCCATCATCCAAATCGCTACGCGCGCCGCCTTTCGTGACGGTTACGATAAATTCATCGATTCGGATACCAGCCTCGACAACATTATGGCGTTGTCTGCAACGGCTGCGTGTTGCACCCTCCGCGAGTTCTCAACTGGTGTGTTTGTACAGATTGATTTCAGTTTTGCTGGTTTTCACAAAATGTACCAAAGATTGATGAAATTTATTAATGATACCATTAGGGCGTCTCCAGTATTACTACCTAGGTGGAAAACTCTATTCCAACTTCTCCGTGCTAGATCTCGTTGATGTGCGCAGTAGTAGTAGTAGACTCTGATCATCTCCTTGATTAGATTATCTCGATCGAAAATACAAGTTATCTTTGTGGTATAAAAGTTATCTTTGTCGTGCGGAGCTTCCACCAATCGCAACACTTCGCTACTGAATTCGTAAGGGTTCGTAAGGGTTCGTAACGCGCGTAAGCTAAGCGTTCATTTCGTCGTTTTGCAGATGGACGACTTCTTTGCGGGTGAGAATTTTTGCAACTCTGTGCTCAAACACTGTTTCGCACCGGCTTCTCTCTGGCAACGTAGCCTTAACATTTTTCTACATTTTTTTTGCAGAGCCTTACAGTATGTACTGAATCCTACTTGCTCATGTTGTTGCTTTATTTTAATGTTGTGTAGTTGTTGTGTTATAAAAAACGGGTCAAAAATTTTGCAACTCTGGGCAAGAGATAGTACTGGTGGAACCGAGATGATTCAGATGAAGGGTGTTTTTCATACTCCCAAGCTGTGATTTAGAATTCTGATCTTATCTTAATCTAGCAAAATCGATTTAGTCTAAACTACTAGCATGCACAAAGCATGCATGCATGTGGGTTTCCTAAGCTGCCAGTGCTGTCCGCATTAATGTTGCCTTTAAGCGCTTTGGACCCTCCATCAGACGCCTATTATAGCTAATTTCTGCCAATCTGGACCTCGGCGAGATTTGGCTCAAGCTACAATTTGCTACCAACACGCCTCACAGAATGCTTTTCATGCTGTCAAATCGATTTAAAAAGTTACCAGATAAGTCTCAATCCGGCAAACCACCCCTTCTACTGCATTTCATACAAATGACCACTAGTGAGTATGCATGCAGGCCTTAATTTCGTAGCAAAATACGAGAAGTAAACTGAATATCCAGTGCATTTCAGAATGGCGTGGGAATCGCGATCAAGTGTTCCACACGAATGTTTCATGACCAACTTGATTCATGTACGCCGCGGCTGAGCGCTGAGCCCCACATCTTTATGTAAATCAGTAATACTCAACTAGTGTTCTGAACGTTCCATGACCAAAACCTGTGTTGCCAATCACTGGATGGTGGTAGTATATCTAGCACGAATATCATCATTGTATGTCCACCAATTTCCCCGCTCCCTTACATCCATCCTCTAACAGTATGACCCTTGTCTCAGACGACCCTAGTTATTGGCCACTCATCAACTCTTGGCGTGTTGGCAGCTATTTTGCAGGTTCGTGAACAGCAGTCATATGTTAACGCTGATGTCTCGATCTGACCTTGATTGTGGTTTCGCAGTTGTCGCCTTTGTTGGAGTGACGTATAATTGGGGTGAGCATGATAACATTAGAGAATTTCTGATTTCTCACAAGTATTTTCAGCCCTTATATTCGGACAAGAGGTATGTCGATCCTATGACCGGAGCAGCCATCTCGCTAAGATTTTTTTGTAGGTCGAACTGGTCTGGGTGAGCACAGTTCCACGTCAGAAGAACAATACTAATTTGCGACAGAGACAACATTGGTCCCTGATCACTGTTCTCTATCTGAGTGTACGTAGCTTTCCTGTTGTGAATTTCTGCTGACTTGAAAATATCCTAGTTGCGCTATCTTGGATTTTTATTTGTCATGTATGTTCAGAAGGCTTGACAATTGGTGTCGTGCTAATCTGCTATCTCTCACAATCAGCCTGGAAATACTGGGTAAGTCTTCTCGCATTCACTGTGTTTGTTTCTTCTGACCAGTGGCATATAGTCAGTGTTCCGACGATTTTGTTGACAGATGCGGTGAGTCTTCTGCACCGATGTCTGCTATTCCCATTCAATTAACCGCGACACCCTGTAGGGGTGAGTGTCATTCTTGACCAGCTTCTTCGTTTACTATCATGACTGCTACAGATGTGAGTCTGTTTGTAGGTGTGATCCACCCAAGGCTCGTCACTAACCGTATTTCTCAGGCCGGATTCTGTTCCTCGTGAGGTATTGGACGAATGTTGTGGCATTTCCGATGCTGTGTGGTGAGTTGTGCAGTTACAAGACCTATGATATTGATTTGACCGAAACATGTTGTAGTCATCATGATCACTCGGTTACATGCCATGTATCAGCGATCCGCAAGGATCCTGATATTTCTCATCGCCGTGTGCTTGGCTGTCAACATTTTCGACGTAGTGACCGCTGTAATGATAACGAGGCATGCTTCAACAGGTACGCTTAATTGTGAATGAACACCGTGCATGGCGCTCATTGATGGATACAAGAGGAACTCATTCTCTCTGGCACATATGCGTGCGCGATTGGCTATGCGGATAATTTCCTACTTCTGGGTCCCATGAGTTGGATACTCGGCACTGCCTGGGAGGTCCTTGCGCTGTGTCTCGCAGTCTGGGTTGCTGTTAAACACTTCCGTGAACTGCGACAACATTCAGCAGGAGGGATTATCGGCGACTGTTTCACGGTGTTGATAAAATCTCACATGCTTTACTTTGCGAGGTGAGCTCATTTTGTGAATGTGGTTTCCTCCGCTGAATGATTGAACGTGCTACTAGTTACGTTGCCGTGTCTTGCTTCCGCCTCATTGTTGAGTTTTCTCCAACGATCTTAGCGGTATGTCAATCTTTCACTGACCTCTGCATGCGACTGCGGTTCATCATTTCTATAGGACGTATTTTCCCTCGAAGCTCAGATTTTTTTTGGTATTACTCTGATTTTGCAATCCATACAGTCCTGTGTGCTAGGACCACGCCTCGTCCTTAGCGTTCGAGAATATCACGCTCGGCTCGTGGCTGACTCTGATGCAGCAACCGGCATGACCTCAATCGCTTTCCAGGAGCGCGTGCAAATATCGACAGGCAGTGGCGTATAGCACGGGAGATGCTCAATGGAGAACGGTACTGTCGAGATACGCACCTAGGTTTGATCCTATATGGGTGTGACCAAATGAACATTAGGTTCGAAGAGGGGGGGTGATGTGTGACACACTGCGCTTATGTTCGTGGTGAAACATTGGGTAGACATATTCCCTTGTATAAGTTGTGTATTCGTCTCTAATTTTACTTCCGAGGCTGAGGGGGGTTGTGGTAAGCGCAGACATTTTGCGAACACTCACTGGCAGTACAAAGATTTCTGGATGCACTGGGTGTTTTTTTTTGTGTTTTTACCGCTTGTCGCAATTTAGGTTCGGTATGTATCTCGACAGTAACTCGAGTTCCGTGAAGTCACCAACTGAAACAGGTTGAGCTGCACGTGACAAGGAGGAAAATTGAAGTCCAGTCCTTTTGATTCAGAACATCAAGATGGGGCGGAACGCAAAGCTTCACAAACGCATCGTGAGTTGTCGACGATCACTGTGTATACCGGACTTCTATGTAGGTCTAACAACGAAGTTGTGTCTCCTTAGAAAAAGAAGACACCTGTATCATCTGCACCACACCCTTCATCCGCCGGATCTCTCAGTACTGCCAGTGCACATGCGGTATCATCGCACGTACAAGCTGCAAAGAAACGCGCAGATCTCAAATCAAAGTCAAAGCCAAAACCGTCATCAAGCAAGGCCACAGGAGACCATGTACTCGGAGGCGCGGACTATGTGACATTACTTATGGGCGGCCGGAAGAAAGCTGCGGAGGAAGCTTTGAAGCTACCAAAAGATTGATCAGAAGTGCGTTTGCAACGATTTTACTCCACAATGCACAATTTTCAAATCATTTTATAGACCTACACGAGGTTATGAGTCTATTATTGATTAAGCCTCATGCAAATACCGAGACAGACGTATTGCGGTCTCCGAACAGGATTGTTTGCATGACAGCTCTCTGCATTCATGGAGCACTTTCGGGAGATGATTCGGACCTATCGGGTCGCTATACCGTTCGTGGCCCATCACGGGACGCCTACATGTCGCTGTGATGAGTATCATTTTATTGTATCAGTATATGAATTTCAACGACAGAGGATGCAAACTTAGACCGTAGTACGCAAATCACACATCACGATTTACCACAATGTTGCATGTCTACGATCCAATGGAAGCCGAATCACCAATTCCATGCTAAGGATTCTCGGTTTCGATCGACAGGGGATACTCTCAGTACCTGAGTCCCAGGTTCCTCCAGTATGTAGAGCTTGGATACAATACATAAACACAGTAAGTACTGGTCGTTTATATGATCCGTAGCGTTTTAGTATGCTTCGCTCTGAACGTAAATCATCTGTATGATATGATGTCAAGTAGCTATTTTTAGATCAAATACTTTAATGGACGGCTAATGCCCAAGCTCCGTAGGGCTCTTGTTCCGGAACTACCGCCATCTCGTCTCTCGGAATGCTGCGTTCATTGTCATTCAAACGTACTCCCTTGCTAACAAGCATTCGCTCTAGATGCCGGGCGCTCTCAACCCAACCCGCCTCTTCGTTAGGCTGTCTCCCGACGACGGACTCACCAGTCGTGTCGAAGCTTGCGTTCTTCAATTCTGTGACTGGTGACGGTAGCAAGATACCAAGTTATAGAGTTCTTGATGGGCTTGGTATTCCAATAGAAGGCGCTGAAGTGCCCGAGGCATGTGTGCACGTTTCTATCCGAAACAGACCCATTGACGTTTAAGTTCATTTAGATCAGTGAACAGTTCGCGCGGCGATTGTGGGTTGGCTTCGCGGCGACTCAGGATAATAGCTCACACAGGCTTGAATTAGATATGAAAACATGCAGTTGCTTCCGACGCTGGATAATATACTTTACAATGTCCAACGCCAGGGCAAAATATCCTTCTATGTATGTGCACAAGTTTAATGCCCCTCAAACGTTTGCTGAGATATCTTTAGATGACTTCTGTAAGATAAATGGCTACGTAAGTATGAATGGTCGCTAACCCCATGTAAAGTATGGAGAAGAGGCTGCTGTGGTTGGTTCTGCTGCTGCACTGGCTGACGACGATGAGTAAGTGTCTCCGAGAGTCGTTTCGTTTGATCTTACGACGAGCCTTGTTGTTCCCAGAGTATTAGGTCGGACGAATGTCTTCATTGCTTATGGTTTTGCTAACTCCACTGCAGCACAGTACCGTGAAGTTGGGGTGCTCTTGTGGCGTGGCTTCACTCTTGACCGTGTCATGGCACAATGTTTCGGAAACCACGAAGATGTTGGCAAAGGCCGCCAGATGCCTGTAGTATGTCTCCTTGCCTCATTGTCGTATCTTTACTCGGAATGACTGGCGCTCTGTTAGCATTTCGGCTCCAAACAGCATCATTTTCATCCGATATCATCTCCACTCGCAACCCAAATACCACAAGCTGCTGGGGTTGGCTATGCACTGAAACGTGACCCAGCGAGACGTTCCAAAAATGTAGCCGCCGTATATTTCGGGGAAGGGGCAGCGTCCGAGGGGGACTTCCATGCTGGAATGCTCCTTGCTTCCACGCTGCCTTCACCAACATTATTCCTTGCACGAAACAATGGTTTCGCTATCAGCACCCCAAGCTCACAACAATTTTATGGCGATTCTCTGAGTGCCAGAGGCCCAGGTAGCCTGATCACACATTGCGCGTTTGTATCACAGTAATGGAATTTTTCTTCGCAGGTTATGGTGTCGATACCGTTCGTGTTGACGGAAATGACGTACTCGCAGTATTGAGCGCTGTCAAGGAGGGGCGAAGGCGGTGCTTAGAAGGCGGCCGAGCAGTCCTGGTCGAGATAATGACTTATAGAGTTGGCCACCACTCGACGTCAGACGACTCGTTTGCCTATAGGGGCCGCCAGGAAGTCGAGAACAGAAAGAAGATTGACAACCCCATCACGCGTTTCCGCCTATTCATGGAATCCCGGGGATGGTGGAACGAGACAGAAGAGGAAGAGCTCAAGTCCCGTTTGAAACAGGATGTGCTCACGGCGTTCAAGCGCGCGGAGAATCTCAAGAAACCTGACTTGAAAGAGTTGTTCACTGATGTATACACGGACGAGCCTTGGAATATAGTGAGTCTAGCTTGATCAATCGGTGATACATACTCATTTTGGCCGCAGAGGGAACAGCGGGAGGAGTTGGTGGGGTTGATTGAGAAATATGGACAAGTGTGGGAGCCATGGCGAAATGATCTCAAGAACTTCAAGGATGAAGGGAAGAAGCTGTCGGATTGACGATTCCCTCGATACCCATTCACAAGCGTCATGCGATTAATCAATGCATAAGTATTCCAAGTCAATTATTTCTCGTAAACTCACCATATACGGAACTGTTTATACATTGTAATTTCTGTTGAATGAAATACTGTGTTGGACCTGGCACACATTCACCATGTGAATGAATTTCACCTTCGGTGTTCATCGACAGCTATCGAGCAATAATTCTGGCTCGGGACTTCTGCGTAGCGATAAAGAATGGTACCTAGATGAGGACCATGCGGCAGAACTAGGTAGGCCGGGGTGTCCAGGGAAATCCGCTATTCACTGAATAGTAGCAGGCTAGCAGCCAAAAAACGGTACTATAGGGTTTCAAACTGCTCGTAGCATGACCATTATATATATTGAACTGCATGTCTGACTAGTTGGCATATCGTAATAATTAAAGTGTTGCAGTGTTGTACTTGAAAACCATGAACAATTTTCTCTAAAAGCGACAAATAATATATGCATCTGAACATGTCTACGATGCTCAAGACCAAAGAAAACATGAGAGCAAACAACTGCCGAAGGTCAAGTGAACGCCAGGATGCCCTGCCCACGCTCAGGATCGCTCATTCGATGGACACGGACTGTCTGTCCGACATGGATGTTGCCCATGTCTTGGGGCGTGATCAGGATATACTGCTTCTTGTCCGAAGCATTGGCAGTGTCGATCATCATCTTCATACTGATGCGGCGATTGACAGCGTCCATGAAAACGTCGAACTCATCTGGGAAACGGTCAGAAAGGAGAGGAAATCTGCGTGCTTGCACTCACCTAGGCAGCGAAGGGGGCAGCCAATGGCGTCCCAAAGCGAGAGCAATAAACAAATCGTGGAGAACGACTTTTCTCCGCCACTCAACGACCGGGGATCTTTGTCCCTCCCTTGCGTAGCCATTTGATCATCAGTTTGAACCTGATCTCCAATTGTAAGCAGCAGGCCATTCGCAATAAAATAGACATACCTTCAGCTGCAGCGTTTGGTTGGCATGGTCGAACAAAATTTTTCCATAGTACCCACGATTGGAAAGATGGTACTGGAATACAACCTTGCATCGTAAAGCAATGTGGCGCCGGAATTCTTGCCAGCGGGTTAAGCGAATGACAAGCGACCTCTTCAGAGCCTAAAGAATGGCGTTAGTGAAACGAGCCACTGGTGCGAGCAGCCTTACGTTGTTCAGGGAAGCTAGACTCCTCAGATCGCGTTCTGCGTTGTCTAGGACAGATTTCGCGTTGTTCACCTCAATCGTCATTTCCTCGACCGTTGCGCCATGCCTGCGCTCCCGTTCCTTGAGTGCTTTCTGAACGGATTCGAGAGTACGCTCCACTGCATCGACTTTGCGAGGATTTTCAACCCGTTCGCAGTACTCTTCAGCACCTGTGGTCCAGTTCTGAGCGAGCGTCAGTGCTGAAGCTCATTCATGAATGCTGAGATACTTGCTATGAACTCCTCCTGTAGTTGTTTCGCAATAGCATCGATGGCTTCAACCTTTTTCCTTTCGTCCTCGAGTTTCTTTATGTAGTGACCTTTGTTGCTTTGGGCTTCAACACGGCTCGCAGCAGCGTCCTCGATCTTTTTCTATATCCGGCGTTAGGTGATAGGCAAACAGAACATGACAGTGACTTATACCTGAATTCCCTGACGCGCTTCTTCAAAGTTTTGGATCTGAGCTTTGACTTTGTTCGATTCCGTAAGTAAAATAGCCTGCTCTTGATCGATAGTCGTTCTTCTACTGACTGCGTCCTCGAACTGTTGCATGATCGAGGCCTTTTCCGCTTCCGCTTCCTTTATGCAGAGGGTTGTCAGCTGGCACAGAAGAAAGTTCACATGTACATACTTCCTTCGCGCTCTGCAAGCCCATGATATCAGCCGGCATCTCTTCTTTTGCCTCCTCTTGAAGCGAAGCAAGCTCTTGTTTCGCAGCACGGTGGGCTTCGAATAAGGATCGGCCTTGTTCCTAACCATACATTTTGAGAAATGATGCAACGGAAAAGAACGGGGAGACCGACTTTCATTCCATCGATTTCGCGTGCCAAGCTTTGGTACTCCTGTCTGAGCTTAGCGGTCTCTACTTGTGCAGCCTGATATTCATCCTCTGCATTCCGCAAATTCTCTTGCCAAGTGCTGCAAGTTGGTCAGCATGATTGTGGGATTGTACAATACCGACGAACTTAAGGACAGAGGCAGAGTCACTCGGCGTGAACATCATGTTGCGGGGGTCACCGGGAGAAAGCCGATGCAATTTGATCGACTGACCACCCCCGTCGGCATATCGATGGACACGCATATAATCGGCTGCCCATGCGACACCCCCTCCACTCATTCGTTTGAGGATGTTGTCAGCATCAAGACGCTTGGGTGCAACGACCGTACGCTCGATATTTGCTTGGTTAATTAACAGGCGGAGGACGTAAGGATCTGTTATCTGGGTAACAGAATTAGATGGATAGTAATGGGAATGATGCGGCCTTACCTCCAAGACCCGAAGAACAGTGAGAATGTGATTGGGTGGCTCCCCTGCGCTGAAGTCGAACATGTCGCGTTCGGATATTATAATATTGATGTGTTGGCTATATCATGGTCAGCCTGACGAGAAATTGAAAGGGGTGTCTAGCGCACTTCTTCGTCTGGTCGAGCAATCTTTTGAGTTGTGGTCTGTCCCTGGCGTCGGTGACTGCAAATGCGCTCATCAAGCCTCCCAGCTGAATTCTCATCAAATCAGCCCATGCCATATCCTTCAACTTGACATGGATGCCAAGTGGACCAACAGGAACGTCCCCATGCCACCTCATTTTCGCAATCTGGTCGAGGACAGCCTTGATGTCTCGGCCATACGGAGCAAGTGCGTTCTGCCCTTTCTCCTTGCACTGAGAAATCATACTCTGAACAGCAGCGACACGTTCCTGTGCGCTGTTCTTCTTGGCTTCGGCGGCTTGTCCCTTGGTCTTAATGCCTTCCTGCTGAGCCAGTTTTTGACGCTGAGCTTCAAGGAAGTCTTTGTGCGCTTGATCGGCGTTCGTGACGTCTGTTCTGGCGGACTGCAGCTTTCGATTAAGCTCGTCTCGTTTTACTTGTGTGTCTGCAGCGAGACGACGCTCTTCTTCAGCAATATTTCTCGTGTAGTTCTCGATGGCATCATTGAGAGAGGTAAGAGAAGTATTCATTTGTTTCTCGTCATTCTAAACGAAAAAAATCATGATCATGTCAGACAAAAGCAAAGCAGAAGATGAGGTGGATAGACCTTGAAGTTACCTATCTTCACCCTGTTGGCGCGCATTTTCTCTTGGTAATCGTCGCGCTGCTTGGTGAGGTGATCAATGTCGCCAAGGGCGGAATACTCCTTATCGAATTCTACTACAGCATCGGAGGCGAGTTGGAATTGAGACTAACGAGAATATGTGAGCATGTGAATTTCGGTACCTATGACTTTCTAGGAGCGCACCTCAGCTGTCTTCATCTCAGCTTCAATCTTGGGCAAGCGGCGTTCCGCCTTTGCAACTTCCCCGAGTTTCGCCTCCATCTCCTAGAAAAGATGTCTGCGTCAGCTCATTATTCACAATTAGTCATGCGACGCGGGTCAATGGGAATGTCAGGGAGAGCCATTCTTACCGCTTGCTTCGCTGCGACGTGAGCCCAGGCAAGCTCCTTCTTGAGCTCATCAACCTTGCAGCGTTGCTCTCGTGCCTTGCTTGCTTCTTCAAAGCGCACACTCGCCTCTTTGAATGTGGCACGTAGGTCGGGGAGAACTTGCTTTTTCTGGTGTAGCACCTTCTTGGTCTGGTTGATATTATCAAGACACGCATCATATTCCTCGGAAAGCTGCGATAGCTGGGTCCCTCGCAGGAAGAACTGCAATGCAGGCAGTGAGCTAAGTACACCAGAATGTGAGGGCAAACCAACCTTGTACTTGTCGGAGGGATGGGAAGCACTTAAAAACTGCCTAGCAGCATCTAGGTAAAACTTTAACATCGAACTGAAGACGCATATATGCACATGGTACTCACCTTGACTAAGGACATTCATGGGGTTATCGACCTGTATATTCATGTGATCACAGATGGCTGAAAGCTCGTCTCGCTTTGTGGACACAACCTTGCCGTCCTTACTCTTGATCTTCCACGAGGAAGATCCGTCCTTGGTAAATTTACGCGTGATAACAATGCTCTTTCCATATTCTTTGGGCTTATATGCTTCCTCGCCCTGGTTCTTGAGCGAAATGGTGATTTCTGAGATCCTTGTGTAACATCACAAGGTCAGACATATAGACATGAGCGAGCGAGTCAATCTTACTGTTGGCCTTCACGAATAAAAGATTTTAGGCCGCTGCCGCGTCCTGTCGAGTTCGCCTTTCCTCCAAGTGCGATTGTGATCGCGGACAGCACGGCACTCTTTCCGCCTGACATAGGCAAGTCAGTTAAACGAAGCATAGGAGTAGTCGGCCATTGAGTACTCACTCCCATTGTGGCCTATAGAGTTGCCTTAGCATATTCTTAACGCACTTGAAGTGGTGCTCACCAATAATGAAATTGATCTGAGGTCCAAACGTGAAAGTAAGTCGCTTGTGGCACATGAAATGGTGCATCTCAATGGACTCGATGATTCCGTGCTCTGCGATACCCTATACACATAGTTCAACTTGAAGCATCGGCAGAAGTAGCTGAGATCCTACTGACACCAAAGGTATTGCGCTTCTGCTCGAGGCGCTGGCGAATGGCCTCGCCATTGAGTTCTTCGAAGCGTTGCTCCTCTTCCTCGTTGTGCTCCTCCTGAGTTGGATCTTCGTCGTCGTCTTCATCATCTTCATCGCTATCCTCCTGACGCGCCTTGCCGTTGCCATTGGTGGGCTTCCTCTTGCGGTGTTGCGAACGGTCAACAACGACCTCTTCTTCGCTATCAACGGTCCTAGCACGCTTAGAGTGTTGGGATGAAGCGCCTAGAGTCTCTTCGTCACTGTCAACAGTGACTTTGCGTTTTGCCATTAGTGCTGCAGGCAATGGAAGTCAGTGTACGTGAAGGGACAGAGTCCGACAGACGCGCCGCGACGCGCTGCAATTGGACGGTGGCCACGCTGTCAATAAGAGCAAATAAACTCACCCTAATTCAAACCTAATTACCTCCTTTAGTTCAAGTAGCTGGCTAGAGTTCGAGCAGTTCTTCTCACTCAGTCACAATCAAGAAGGAACGACTATATGGTCTGGCTAGGGGAGACTACTCAGTCACCTTCTCGTTAAAATACATAAGCACCCTCCCAGTGCACGTTATTACCTCCTCCCCAGGCGTTGCTCAATAGGTGCGAAGCCATGGAGTCAATGGCAGTATAGTTCACTTCCTTCCGTTGTGATTATCCCGCCATGACTTGCTCTTCCTCTCAATCTCTTTCACACAACTCTACGATCAATGACACCTATAACCGATATATCGACTTGCATTATGGAGCTCACATGTTTGAGGCAACGCCACCGTTCACGTCTTCTAGATTGCTTGGGTTCATGATCGTTCATGCACCCAGTGCCACTGGCCATCTAAACGTCGTGAACGACCTGAATATGATCGTGGGCTCCTTGATATTGCCAAGTCCCACTTGGAACATTTCGTCCGTTTGTGGGAGTGTCCAGTTACGGCCGGCAGTAGGTACGTCGTCCATGACCTGACGTTTCAAATCCCAGCTAGTAATATTAAAGTTCACACCCACAACTTCGCTCCATCCTTCTAGGCCATCATTGACAACATTGAGGCGTTAAAGGTGTGAGGCGTTAAAGATGTGAGGCGTTAAAAAATGCTCTCAGAGAAAGACCAAAATATTAGAGTGCGGGAAAGGCCAATGTGCATCAGTTCTGAATATCAGGGCCTCATTTGCGATGCCCAGGCAGTTCATATCTTCCCCGCCCCTACCATCAAAGAAAATGTGAAGGTATGACGTCTTTGTTGTTCATTCACTCGATACCAACTGAGGTTACGATGTTCATCAACTCCAAGGTTAGGTTGGACCGGACGGTAAGTTACGTGATTCAAATACAGCAAAGAATGGGTGACTGATAGATGCGGTGTGCTTTTTATTCTTAGGACACACCAGACACGTATGAAGTTTGTGGCACAGACGAGGCATACATTACAAACGAAGTTCTCCAAACCGGCAAGTCCGTACTGTTGATCACGGCATTTCTTCTATTAGGGTCTGCCTACGGGAGACTACGTTGCAACATACTACCCGTCACTCCGAGACTGAACATCAAATATCTCACATACGTACTAGGCTCTTGGAGCGTGGTTACATATTTCGAATTCTCTCTTGCCGTTCAACCTGGTTCTTGCCAGTGACCACGTCCGGTCCCTCATCCAAGAGAAAGTGACAACTACGAGGAGGATCTTACCCGTATGATTGCTTCACTAGATCTTTCGGACGTCGAGCTTGCAGACTTTATGTGACAAGTTCTGAATGATCTCATGGTGGTTCTCCTAAAACTCGTGGTGGGTGGCGCGCACTGGCCAGCACTAGCACTTTCCAAGGTCCCAACGAGCCTGGTGCTCAAGAAGAGAATTGTTTTATTTTTGCAGAGTCCCTTGAACTCCATCCCGGGGCCCGAGTTCCATTCTGTACCACCGGAAATGAAACGAGACGCCACCGCAGGACCTTGACGCCTGCCAGTGGGTGGGTGAAAGAACCAGTTGCAACTGACTTCCTCCCATTGGTCTGCCTACGGGAGACTAGCGCTGGTTAGCAGAAAAGAAATCCGTGAAATACACCATCGGGCGCCCAGGAAGTTGGTTACCAATCCCAGTTATTTAAAAACATGTCAAGACTCTGGGACTCGGGGAGGGTTTTTTTACTTACAAAAGCATGATTTAAGCTTCGTGCAAGTGCGGGTGGTCATCTAGTTCCAAGTAAATACAGCATGATCAGACGTGTGTTACTTTACCATACCTGTTGTCCGAGTAAGTAGAACGTTTGTGTGCACCAGAGACCGTGTTTGCTTCGTGACTAAATTGCCTAAGTAGGACTACATGAGCAAGTGAACAATTGAGCATTGAGCTCAATCTGGGTAAGCGAAGGGTCTTGCAGCCACCTGTGGGCTGGTCGTCTTCTTGCTCCCACTGGCACGCGACGAAGTGCTTTCCGCTCGGCTGCAAGGGGCGCAAATGGATTTTACAGCCTCTCAAAGAAAACAGGTCAACAGTCTGCACGGCGCTTCAGGGCCGTCCAACTACCGAGATGCATCTAGTAATTCGTACGTCTGATTCTTAAATTCGTTAGATCATTCTGAATGAAGCTCGAAAGAGGGGCATGGAAAAATTCTCCTACTCCAATAACCGCCCCATCGAATACAGTGAGTGAGCTAACACCCATCCGATCCAACTTTGGTGTTAATCCTTAATGTAATGTAGCGTAACGCACGCCTCGGGCCAGCAGCAAGCCCCTACGACAAATTAGACACCGACACTCTTTCACGACGTCCGCAACCCCCTCAAGTTGGAAATCCGAATGCGCGAAAGACAATTCTCACTACCAACCCACGAACATCATGGCCACCAGAACCCAAGCGCTCCAAACTTGACCACACATTCTCCAAGAGCTCTGCTAGGCAGGTTCATAATACGCGCATCACAAACAACACCCGTGCTCCCTTAAGACATACAGGACATTTAGATGCTGAGGTGCAAGTCATCGACCGATCTTGTAGAATGAAGAGTACACCTGCGCACCACATGCATCCCGCTGGTCAAGAGGTTGTAGTACTGTCAGATGAAGAGGATATTGGAGTACCTGTACATCGTCCTCTTCCTTCGTCGTCTTCACCAGACCCTATGAATCTTCATCCTCATCCTTTCCAGACCTTTCCAGGTGGCCCGCAATATGCTGACTCCAGGAAGGGCAAAGGAAAGGATTCCTCTCCCACCACACAAGCTTACACCGAGGTTGTGTCTGATCAAGTTGATGATATTGAAGACTTTCCGTCGGAGGCAGGCAACGACCGGCCTTTGCCCCCTCGGAAACCTCGATCGCAGCCAGCTGCAATACTTACACCCATACCGCCTGGTGTTGTCAGCAAGAATCGCAAAGTGTTCGAGGATCCATTCATTGATTTACGGGGGCGAGATGCACTCAGCGGCGGCCCCGGAATTGCGAAGAATATGAAACCCAGGAAAACAACCAAGGTTCATCATCAATGCGTTTTCTTTTGTTATGACTCATGCCTTCAATCAGACTGTCTCGACGTCTCAATCGCAGTTTGATCATATTACGACGTCGTCCACGCAATTCACATCCAAGGAGCTTCCTCGCACGAAGGGCCCTCCCCGCACGAAAGGGCCTCCCCGCACGAAAGGCCCTCCCCTGACGCTCCCTTTGCAAGCATGGGCAATTGGTTTGAAAATATTCAGTGCAGAAGATGGTTCCGAACCCCCTCTCTTTGTGTATGACCCGACGAGCAGACATCTCAATGTGGCCTCTTACCAGTTCCAACATAATTGGTTTGACAACGTAATAGTACGTTTCCTACATGAATTATGCGACACTCTTTTTGATATCGATTAGGTTACAGTTGACGATGAGAAATCCTTGAAAGACAATGTAGTCATACAGCTACAGATGGGGAGAGACTGCGAAGTTCGTGATAACGGTCATTCAATAAGCGAGTTTTTTACACCTGGTACGTGTACCATTCCGATGGGTGCATCATGCACTGAACCGCTGCGCTCAGGACAGAATCGCGGACATGGGAGCCTTACTTTCTTTTTCAGCACGAACGAAGCCAAAGGATGGACGCAAACGATCTATCAGGAACTAAGGTCTCGCCTAACTAGATCGGCACGTAAACACACGGTCGCCAGGTACGAAGCCATTGACCACCCAATGAGAACTTACCTGATTGCAGGCAGACCAACTGGAGCACTCTGGGAAGAGGTTCAGCGGCACGCAGAAATGTTCCAACAGACGAGTCATCGTTCGTCTAATTCTCGCCACGAGTCGATAGCCCCTTCCATCATGAATACATCTCCTCCGCCAGATGTACATAGCTCGACAGTCAAGTCTGGAACACGTCTGACACCTGATCCGTAGGTTACCCCGTGATTGCATCGATTCTAGTTGATGACCTACAATCTTTATAGCAAACCAGTAAACTCTGAGGCCAACACATCGTTACGCCGTTCATCACGGCGTTCTGCTGCAGCAGCACCGGAAATTACACCAGAGTCTCCTCCCATAGCAGATCCTGAAGAATTGTGCGAATCTTTCATCAGTAGCACTTCATTTCATTTCTCATGTCTTTTGACTAGAATTCTCGTATACCCCCCATCTGGCCCTGGTGCATTGAACATTATGGGCAGCGATTTGAACAGGCTCAGACCGCACGAGTTCCTCAATGATACATTGATAGAGTTCGGCTTGAAGTACGGTTACCCGTCATTTATTGAGCGTGTTGCTGAAATTATGCAGGCTTTGGCTTACTGATATTAAGAAGGAAAACCCGGATCTTGCAGAACAAATTCACGTCTTCAGTTCGTTCTTCTACAAGAAGCTCAACAATAAGAAAAGGCAAGTCTCCACAATTTTATTTTGCAACTTCCGAAATGAATCTTGCCTACAAGCTTGGACGAAGGATACCAAAGCGTGAAGAAATGGACGTCCAGGGTCGACATATTCTCGAAGAAATACATCGTTGTCCCGATCAACGAGAAGTGAGTATGGCCTTAACGAGGTTGGCACTCGCTGACTCCGTTTCAAGTCTTCACTGGTACCTCGCCATCATTTACGAACCCGAGCATACTCTTCTCCCACCTCTCCCTCAGAAGGAACCTTCTCTTTCTCAGCGAGGAAAGCTACGGCGAAAGACTACTGCTGAACAAGACGTAAATCCTGCGATCGAACCGCAGGCTGCACCAACCCACGACCTACCAGCCCTGGAAGCACGATCAGAGCCAGATGCTGAAGCGGCCTCACTGCACGCCACTTGCGCGTCCACACCAAGTATTACACAAGATGAAGACATGGATGACATCTCACCTGTGGAATTCTCACAGTCATGTTCAATATCCAACAATCTTCCTGAGAAACCACGCAGGGCCTCATCATCCAAGCCTGTATCTACGCGAAACAGGTCTACATCTGTTAGTCAGGCTTCGGGGAGATTGATGTCTGTCGAATCACAAGATTTGTTCTTACCGACTTCTTCTCCACGTCTGGAACCGATGGACGTTGACGTCACCGTGATCGACATAGACTTAATCACAGAAGGGACCGAGTCGAAGGATATTCTTCCATCTTCTGATGCATCAACTTCAACTCATGTCTCCGAGCCTCCTAGCGCTCAGTCATCGAAACCTCCGTCTCGTATGACTGGTATCCCTCCAACTCGGTTTTATGGATCCTCTGCCAGCAACAAGGGGAAGCAGAAGGCTGTCGAGCCAGCTTTTGTACCTGATTCTGAAGAGGAGGACGAACGCAATGAGGACGAGAAGAACGAGCGAGAAGTAGATGCTATGTTGGACGTTCAATCCAATCTGGCCACTCAGACCACTCAAACTTCCAATGATCCTCTTCGGTAAGCTTTGAAACGCATGCGCATTTGAGTAATCCTTATAACGCGTCATAGGACTTGGATCTTCACGCTAGATTCCCTAGGTTCACGGCACCCTCAAGCACAGAAAGTATTGAGGTACTGGCTTCAGGCTGAAGCGAAAGACAAGCGACAATATGACGAGGTGAGGATTGCTGAAGTCAAGTTTGCGCAGGTGCGTTTGTCCCGTTTTGCCAGAAATCAATAAATTCTAACGCTCCGCCTCCAGGTCCCATCGCAGCCCAACTTCGCCGACTGCGGAATTTACCTGCTACATTTCGCTAAGACCTTCCTTGAAGATCCCGTTCACTACTTTGATCTCATCCACCGAGTGCGTAGCTTGTCTTGTCCTTGCATTTGAGTACCTGACTGACATCAACCCTCTGTTCTGAAGAGCAAGAAAATATATCCTGCTGAGCAGCGCAAAGTCGACTGGAACGAGTCTGTAGTACAACACTCCCGGCAGGATCTTATTAAGCGGATTAAAGTTCTTTCTAAGGAATGGAAAGTTTCGAGGGCGGCGAAGGAAGAGGACGCGAAACGCAAACGGAAAAGCGAAGAGCTTGGGCAAGCTGATAACGATTCATCGGATGCGGAGGTGGACATACTTGAGGATGTCAAGGTCCCACAGCCCACGTCCAAGTTAAAGAAGAAGGAGAAGGTCGAGGAGGAGGAGGATGAGGACCGACCAACGAAGAGGCTGCGCGGTTGAGTCTGGGGCCTCTCAGCGCCTTGAGTGACGAGGAAGCTACTTACGAAATCGATTATTTTTTGATTCATACATACTTTTTAGACCCTGCATACTGAGTCCCATTGGACGGGTACCCTATGTACTGTGATTAATGTTAATGCTGGCATCATAATCCATGACCACCTGGTATAATAAATATATTTCTTTCCAAGCAGGCAGTGCGGATTGGGGCGATCATCCGCGGTAGACCGTGGAGTAACACATGCCCATGTAGCAGCCTAAATTCCTGTGCCCAAGCAATCGTGTTCTGCCAATGTATCTATATGGTATAAAAGTTGTGAAAGGTACGTGCACGCCACACGGGACGGAATGTGTTCAGGGGATGAAACAAAAACAAATCGTCGGATGAACGTGAAGAATGGATATAAGTGAAAAATGCGATAGAAACCGAGCTGCAATAGCTGATAAGTACAGATCCATCCTGCTGGTGATGAGATTGATTAAACGAACGGACAGGGGTTCATCCTTATGGATGCATACCCCAATAAAAAGGCACGGGTTAAGGCTTGTAAGTAACCAGAAGCATATTGTCTACCTAGATGAAGATCCGAGCATGAACCCTAAATCATGGATGGGGGCTGAAACGGGGGCAGAGTGCAAGAAGCGCAGCTTAGAACTGGATCTCGACACGGCTGCGATGCTTCCTACTCCTTCCCGCAGGAATGTCTGGTTTTGCCGCAGGAGCTTGGGCAATGCCCTCCAAGATCTCTTCAACCGTCTCGCGAATAGCAGGTGTAGGCTCTGCCTCGTAACGGCGTGCAACCGTGTTCGTAGGCGAAACGTGTAATGATGAAGATGTAGAAACCGTGACTGAGGCCAGAGTACTGGAGGGGCCCATTGTTTCGTTAGCGCTGCCTCCGAGTGCCTTTGGAGCCGTGTTCGATGTCGACTTATGAGAGATGTACCAGCCGATTCCAACACCAGCAGCAATGCACTAAAAACAGATGAGTTCAGCTGCAGGAAAAATTGAAAGAAGGAACATACTATTAAAAGCACCATCCCAATGAACCACACCCAGCGTGACAATTTTGAACTCCCATTCTGCGTCTTTATCAACCAAGAGCTCGTCTTCTTCTCGTCCCTCGCAACAATGCTGAACCTCCTCCAGAAGTCGTCTGTTCTCTCACCGCGTTTCGGCACCAAGTTGTCCTCTGAGCCTCCACGAATGATTGTGTCGTTGAACTGGATATCTCTGGGGGCGGGCGACTTGGCAGGACGAGCAAAGACGGGAGTAATCGGAGTCATGGGAGGCTGGAGGGGATGCGGAGCGTTTGGGACTGATGGACGAGGGGAAGGAGTCTCGTAAATTGGCACAGGCATACGTGGTGAATGAATATTTATGTTTGCTGGTGGGTGATTGGCTCTCAGTGCATTTGGCATGGGTTGTGGAGGCTGGTGCGCAGGAGGCGGCTGAGTGATCTGTCTCATTTCGGGTGTTGCAGCGGGAGATGGTACATTGAGTGCTGAGACGGGTGCTGGATAACCAGGACGCGGAGCAGCGAGGGGTATCGGGGCTGCATTCATGGTACCACTGTGCTTAGACTCGGTTGCCATAGGAGGCTTATGCATAAGGACGTCCTCGTCATCATCGTCACTCAAGTCCCCAGTCATGAAACCTAGGCCTACTGCACCGAAACCCGACTGGCGGTTGGAGGTATCTCCATGGTCAAGATATTGATCGTACCTGTAAAGTATCCAGTGAGTTTATCCGCCAGCTTCTCTGAAGTTGAAAAAACGAAGCGTGTGAACATACATGTTATAGGCAGAAGTACGGTCGTTGGGATTGGCTTCTGCTGGTTTACGAACACGGCGCTTAGAAGGCGGCGGCTGGTCGAAAAGTTCGTCTGGATCGTCTGTTGCAAATGGCGGTTTACCGGCAAGAGGTGGTCTTCTTGATGGCTCTGTACTGGACATTCGGCGGGTATTGCTTGATTCAAATAGGCGATGTGAAGCGGCTGGCTAGAAAAAATAAATACGAAATAGCGAGTGGACGCCTCTCTTGATGGAGGCTGGCTTGCAGCGCGCGAGCTCTGAAAAAAAAAACAGGGAAGAGAGACAAGGAGAGATGGTGGAAAGGAAGACAACGCGCAGATCAGCTTGACTGGTAACCACAACTATAGTGTCGTGGGACCCCTCCAGACATATCACACAGTCACATCATCGTCAATGCTTTAACTTGATTAGATGACGTTTATGCTCCTCCGCTGCCTCCGTTGCTCCCTCATCCACATACGAGCATAAGAGTTTGCAAGCAAATATCTCAATGTTTTAGGTGACTTGGGCCTTCGTAGGCCATGGTATGGCGACTCATGGTGTATCAGCCACGGTCCGTCCTGTTGACAAGGCAACACAATAATAGGTTGCGCATTGCGCATTGACCATTTCAGAGATCCTCATTCTACGGCCTGCCGGCAACTCTCGAAAACACAATAGCCGCATTACTGGACTTCTGTTTAGTTCTTTCGACGTGGGCGTTGCAGAGGCATGGACTCAGAAACATGTGCTGGTGAGTAGCGTATTTGGAGCCCCTGTTTCCGACGCAAGTTTGGTGACACTACCCCCATTTCAAAGGCTAGGCGCTTCATGCCATCGCCATTGCCAGTTCCTGTGTCCCTTCGCACATCTCTGGTGGCAATGGCTCCAGAATATCAATTCAAATCCTCCTTATCATGATGGATTCGCGCAACGTGTACTGCAGAGCCGTTTCGTAACAGCGGAATCGTGCGCCATCCAAAGCGTTTATCAACGAATTAGCAGCATCCACCAATTTCACCCACCAGAAATGATCATCACTTCCATCACCTTCCAAGGCAATGGAGACTTCGAGCCGGCGCCCACGAAGATGTCGCCATTCTTCGCTTGACGAGTCACGATGGAGTCACTCAATTGTCAGGTTCGTGCTTCGGACCTCGAGGATACTTGGAATGGTGGCTGCTGCTAGTGGACCATGTTTGATTGGCAGCTGTCAGTGGATGATCTGAGTGGCCGATCACAATATCACAGAAGAGCAAACCTTTTCACCTTCCTGGTAGCATCGTACTCGCAAACAACTCCACGAGGTAGAAGAGGGTAGAAGAGGGTAGAAGAGGCAGCCGTAACCTGTCTTGCTATAGCTAGATCAAAATATCATTGGTAGGAGTCTCAGAGCCGAGTGATCAGACAGATACGCTGATATCGGACAGCAAGGCAAGCATGACCTGCACATTCTATACAAGCCAAGTACTGCTAGGCTGCTTGAGGCTTGTTATACGCCGCCGATCATCGAATCCTTCACCTGTCCCTCACAACAAAAAACCCCACGTGGTGCCAGAACCCTGATTGTGACAAACTTTCTGAGGACGTCTGCAATAATTGGACCAGAAAAAAAGATGGTTCGAAACAAGTGTACCCATTTCGGTCCGACCAGTTGTCCCTTGTCAAATGGGGTTCGCCTCCTGCCTCGCAAGAAGACGGTAAAAATCCGCAACGAGGTATAGGCTCCCCGCGACAACCACTAGCTCGTGCACCCCATCTTCTCCTTCCGTCCTCTCCGCAGTCGCCCATTCCAATGCACTCTCAAGTTGCCCCTGAATCTCTCCTTCGTCGGACGCAACCCACAACCCTGCACCTGATATGGACTCACGCACGGTTGCGGCGATCTCAGACGGCGGAACAGATGTTATCCAAGGCATGCCTTCTGGGGAGGTGAATCGTACCGCGGCAACTTTTGTTTGTATTGAAAGCTGTATGCCGCTTCGAAAGGCGAAGAGCGGGGATAGGGTATCCCTCGGCGTTTTAGGGGGAGAATGGGAAAGGGCGAGGATATAAGTTAATCGTAATATCCGCGCTTGTGGATTTCCGTCCAACATCGTAATGAGGTTCGATACGTATGAAGCGAGGGTTTCCGATGACGCGCGATTGTGGGCGCCATCGGCAAGTACAGTGATCACCCGCGGAATAGGTGAGGAAACCGCAAGTCGATGGAATGATAAGCGACCTCGCCAAGTCGCGTTTCTAATGCCTGCCTGAATGTTTTCCAAAACACGCTCGCTAAAATCGTTGGGCATCCTCGATGCACACGATGGGTGCGTCATAAGCGTAGATATGACAGTCAATACGAGACTCAAGTTTTCCACCTGATGGGCTCCATTCAAATAAAGAAGTGCTGATAAGTTGTTGGGGAAAACCGAATTGGTGAATGTAATAGGTTGAGCAGGCGGGGGGCTGAAGGATTCTGCATCCAGGGAGAAAGTAGGTGGCGGTGGACCATCTATAGTCTCATCCCACGCTCGTCGCTGCGCCAAGTGAGTTGCTATGAAGTAACCACCGGTCTGCTCGACGACAGACCGCACAACATTCTCGACAGCAGCATGTTTCTGGATGCCTAAGACAAAAGGCTTGTTCTTCCTCGCAATGCTTGCCTTCTCCTTTGCGATGAGTTCGACGGTATTTCCAAGGAAGGTCTGATGATCAAGGTCGACTGCCGTGAGAAGAGAGAGGAGTATGGACTCGTCTGGCATGATATTGGTTGCGTCCAGGCGACCACCCATGCCCACCTCAACGACTACGACATCTACTCTAAGTTTCTCGAAGACCTGCAGTGCAACGAGTGTCAGGATTTCGAAAGTGGTAATCTCGGTGCCATGTTCTTGGTCCGCGCTCTGAACAGCTGCGCGTACAAGACTGTATTCCTCGAATGAAATGCTCTGTTCATTGATCAGAATGGAGTCTTGGACGGATGTGAGATGAGGGCTGTTGAATCGACCAACAGTAAGACCCGACGCGAGGAAGATGGATGATAAGATACAAGTGACACTTCCTTTGCCATTCGTGCCAGCAACATGGACAGTAGGACGCGAATACGGTGGAAGATGCGGCGCCAGGCGGCCAATACGGTCCAGTGATAGGTTCGACATGCAAACGTAAATCCGGCAAGGACCGGCACTACAAGCAGAAGCACCTCCGGTGGACCTAGACTCCACATGTGGTCATGTGTGGCACTCACAAGTACTTGGATCTATGGAACCTAGACTCCACTGTTCAAATGCATCTCAATTTATGCGAACATTTCGCCTCATATCCGGTAGTCAACAACGCTTGCAGAATTCAGAAGTCCTCCCTCATCTTCAGATCTGAAGTGCTGTGCTTTGTTCTGCGAGTCACCGGCGGCACGTTCACTGCCAGATCGTTCGAATAAATCCGATATATGTATATGCAATAAAACCCAGCCTATGGAGGGGCATATATAATTCGAGTCGACAATGGGCAAATTAGTGTCCCTCAACCAGGCCAACTCGTCATGTCTTCCAATGAACTCAAGGTTTGTCGTGCTTCTGGCCCATCATCAGACATTTCATTAACCATATTCTTTGATATCTAGAATATTTTAGACGACTTGAGCCAAGGATCTTTTGACTCTGTCGCCCAAGCCACTCTCTATGCTCTGAGGGACGACTGCCCTTTCCCCGATGTGTTTCAAATCACAGTCGCGCTCTTTGGCATCGTAGACTCAGTTCATCTCCAACGAGTCAAGCGCGGCCTCATCGCTCAGCCCATGCAGCAGGCTTTGGCTTTGCGAGGCCTAGCTTCGTTCATGCCATTCTGGCTTGGTCGCTCCGTCTACACTGCCAGAATGCTTAACACACTGTCTACTCGCTGGCCCATCATTCGCGAATGGCTGCTTTTCTTGGGGACAGACTATGTGTACAAAAAAAGCGTCGATAAAAGCATGCGTATCCTCGCCAAGCGAGCGATCGTCGACTTCCTGGGCATCTGCAGGCATGATCTCCTCGGGGACACGCTTCCTATTGTCCTGTCTAGCCCCGGAGTCGTATCTTTGTTGTTCGGTCTGTGGGACTTGGAAACAAAGGATCGTCTTTTCAGCTCCTGCATGCAACACGATGACATCCCTGGCCCCCCTCCGATTATTCGTACACCAGCCATTCTGGATTCCTGGATGTGCACATTTTCTGAGACGGAGAATTGGAATTGGCTCGAAATCATGCGCCCGTTTAACAATGACGGAGCAAAGATCGCTGCCACAGCTCTTGATCATCTGGAGCATGACCTTGCACAACACCCCATTGATTACGACTTGATTATCTGGGATATCCACCTTCTGACCTCCCTTTCCGTAAACAATACAATTCGCATCCCGTTGCTTATGCAACACTCGATGCAGAAAGCAGCAGGCGTTATTACTACTATGGTATCCCAGCGGCCCCACTCTTCCAAGCAGCGTTACTTAGTGGCCAAGGCCATTTCGTACGCGTGTTGGTATATCAGGGCGTACGTGGAAGACACGGATGGGCTACCCTGGATTTCCGAGGTCTTAGAGGCAGGCCTGTTGCCCTCACTGCTAGCGGTCGAGCCCTGGGTAAGACACCTCAAGGATAATAACGAAGAAGACTGGGAGCCACTCTGGCTTCTTCTTTCAACCATTTTCCCCAAGTATGCGATTTTTCGTTCCGTACTTAAGGTGATGGGTCGGTCCATCAAGGCCGTTAACGCCGTTAAGACGGTGGATAGGCCGAAGCCGGATGGTCCAATGCACAAACACTGGTCCACATTGGAGGCACTTGTGAAGACCCGACTTGACTTGTTGGAGACTGATGACGTCGATGAGGCACATGCCGACTCTTGTCAAAGCTCGAAGGTGCGTATCATCTCATACATCCCTCATATTCTTAGTGATTCTTCTCTAGTGCAATAAATCCGGAGCAGCAGGCACCTTCAAGCGCTGCGCTGGTTGCCTTCACGTGCATTACTGCAGTAGGGAGTGTCAGATTTACGATTGGAAACAAGGCGGCCATCAAACGTATTGTCGCGGAATACAAGCTCGTCGGGCCAGTACGTGTTTTACAAATTTGCAACTGATGCGAATTTCACAAATTCCTCGCAGAAGGAGTCATGTCCCGTATTTCTACTCGTGATCTCCGGTTCCTTGATCGCATCATTGCGTCTGATCTCTCCTATCAGAACGAGCGAATATCTGAGATAGCGGCAAAGCATGCTCCGGGACCCGCAGTCGTTGAGATTGACTACACCAGCATCCCTTTCCGCATCGGTATCGGCTGCACGGAAACGCTTCCCGTGCCAGAGACCTGCAAGTGCGACAGGCTGATGCAGCAAAAGTGGGATACTATGGTGGAGCTGGCACGGAACAGCAAGACGCCGGGGCAAAAGCTTCTGATTCGTGCCTTCATTCCATGTGGGTCGGCTCCGAAAGTGAAATTACAGCTCATCCCAATCAAGCGGATTCTCCCCGGTTATGACCCGAGCCAGGACCATGATCCCACCGAAGCTAGTGATACTTATGATCACTTGTATTCATGCGCGGGGGTCTCTTTCACTATAGTTGATCATTCGTACCCCGTGGAGACTCTCAGGCTCATGAGCAAGGAGATGAACGCGTTGACTATTGAAGGAAAGTAGAATTCCCCTGGCCCGGACCAATCGGCTTGAAGGATACTTTTTTTGGATACCAATGGATACTAAAAGCAAATTATTTCGCACTAGCTTCTACGCAGTTTGATTTTTTTCATACATGTCCCTGCAGTACCGTGACTAGTGTTTACAAGTACCTATTTAGCGACGGACAGGGGCTACCTCATTGAACTTAGTAAGATCCAGCATAGCTTGTCATCGCACACATGTTTACCACACTGTTCAACGTAATAGAGCATCTATCATCCACATCTCTCGTGTTGTACTCATGACTAGTCTTTGATTCTCACACCCACTGATTTTCGGCACTAAACCATTACATCGTGATTCGTGATGTCGGACCAAACAGACATCCAAGAAAGTACTGCAGTCACCTTCGAATGGACCCTTCGTGGTCTCAAGAATATCTTTGAATCGAGGTAATGGCATCGAAATACCCCCCGCTACCGCTGACCAGAATTGTAGCAAAGGTGAATCGAAGTCAAAGGTTACAAAGTCTGTCAGATTTGGAGGTGGACGCTGGCAGGTATGCGTTACATTGCATATCTCTTCGGCTAGCCTCATGAATACCGCCGTGCAGATTCTTTTCTATGCGAACTCTGGGACGGAGGGCGGAGGGTTCGTGAGCTTGTATTTGTCCTGTGAAGTGCGCTCCTTTGTTCCTTGCGTCACGAACTCGTTAGTTGACGCTGTCATCTCTAGCCCACTGCTGAAGAAAAAGACAATGCGGTAGACGGAAAGTACGTTTTCTGGAGGCTTCGGCTATCCTTGCGCACACTAACCTGGAATGCATAGGTGGGTACGAGAGGGCGTCTACAAATTCAATTTTGAGCTTCGAAGGTCAGACTTCACGTGTTTATGATTCGTCCACAGCTGATTCTTTTCATAGTCTCGGGAAGACCGCTCTGTTCAATATCAAAGAAGCCCACAATCATTCATTCTCGTCGAAGGTATATTCTCCGGTTAACTTTTCGATCGATGCTTAGTAGTTGGCTCATACAGACAGCCAATTGGGGATGGTGCGTGCATTCTGTTATTCATGAGATATCTTGGCACATATTTGAACAGGGCACAATTTGCGAGACGAGATCATGTATACTATCATTCAAATGCTGTTAAGGAACAGGACGCTTTTCTCGTCATCTGCACCATCACATCATCCCCAGCCGCCCCCGCGCAACCACCATCAGCGCCAGCTCAGCTTGTACCGAAGGATTTCTTGGAACGTGTAGGGTCGTTGCTTGATGATCCACTATACTCCGACGTCGAGTTCGTCCTCCCCTGCCGAGGCAGGTCAAAGGGTTCTAGGTGCATCTACGCCAACAGAAAGATATTGCAAAGAGCAGATTACTTTCAGACTAGTAAGGCCAATACGATCAGTACAATGCATCATGAATACTTACATTATTCTTAGTGTTCAGCTCGGGATTCTCTGAAGCTTCTTCAGACCTCGACCAACATGATATTGATGATTGTGACGGTGCCTCCGACGACACCTATCTTAGCCGTCAATATGATGATTCGGACGACGAAGATGATGAATACTCGACACGAACAATCGATGAACCGAGTTTTGATGGCACTGTAGAGTCGCAGATCGAAGATGGACCCTCTGTGCCAGTTGCAAGTACCATTAACATCGAGTCAAGCGTCCATTCTGTAGAGGCAGATGCACAAATAACGAGTGGTCCGGAAGATGGGCAGAATCCTATTGTTCAACCCAAGCTGTCTCACCCGTCGTCCCCAATTGCAGGGAGCAATAACGTAGCTCTTGACACGAATGCACACGATTGGATAAAACCTACAGCACCCGCCGAAGGCAAAGAGTTTGCGGGACCCAAGAAAATGCGTGTCTTTATTCGGGACGTCGCATATGCAACTTATAGGGCTGTTCTCTACTATGTGAGCGCGGTTTGGGGTGTATTTCGTACATGCATGACCTGAGCATTACAGATTTATACTGATGTCATTGTCTTCGCCCCTATATCGTCGTCGTTTGGCTCGACGGCTCAAAAGAAAGCGCCGACAGTAGTGTCGACAGCGCAAGCCCCTTCTGATAGTCAGTCTAACTTGCTCGACGTTCCAAAATCAGGGGGCTCGACAGAAACACCCACCTCAAGGAGAGAGTGGATTCGAAAGTGGCAACAAGCTCATCCAGGGCGACCATCTCCGTGTTCTGCAAAGGCTGTGTATCGATTGGCAGACAGTGAGTTGATCACACCTTCCTGGACTCTGCATCATTTACTATTACCGGAACGGTAGAACTCGGCCTCCTTGATTTGAAGGAGCGTGCATACCAGGTAAGTAGTGCATAGTCTCATGCGACTGCTAATCGTATTGACGCATATGATACAGCACATCCAGAAATCGCTCACTGTCGACAATATTCCTTACGAGGTGTTCTCTCCATTCTCTGCGACCTTTCAGGATGTCCGCAAGGTTCAAGTTAATTTCTTCCTTGAACACTGGGGAGATATTCGTTCTTCAGATGCGATGCGCAGTGTGTGGCAACAAATTCGCATCGGAAGACATCCTGGATTCGAGGAAGGTATGTGCTGGGACTATCTATTTTCACGACGTGGGGAGGTGACATATGATACATCCAGTATGGCCCTTGATTGCACAGCACCTAGAGTTCAACCCGAAGACGGGAAAATCAGGGGATTCGGAATCGACTGAGAGTTAGAAGTAGGATCGATGAATCTGTATTATTGTAAGGACATCATGTATATATGTTTCTGATTTACTTCAACAACACTTTTCCTCTTTCCTTGTTTTTTACGGTCCGTCGGTTGTCTTTCATCTAGATGGCATGAACAAAGAACGCGGGGGTCGTCCAGCAAGCGCCTGTCCTACATTTGATAGTGCATACATCAACACATGCATGCAAATAGCGTCAATATTTGCTGGTTGCCGAGGTGGCAAGCTCGATGAGCAGACACACGGGGAAGACTAATGAACCTGTAAATAAATATATCGTACAACGCTCGACCAGCTATAGAGGTGAACGAAATCCTAGAGCTCGACGTAGTGCACCTGGTTATAGTAACGTGAATCTAAATGGTCTGATGTATCCGATTATGCGCCACTCAAGCTCATCATTCAACAGAGGTCAGACTACCATAATCTGTGGCTTCCGTTCCATCAAAATCACTGTCTCCCTCATCTTCGTCATCGCTTTGTGGCTTTCCGATAACTGTAGACATGCTAGTACTGAACTGGAGGGCACTCGGGCTTGGGCCAGAAAACATCGCTGTTGTTCCAGTACCTTGATGTGTGTAGATCCTTGAGTGAGAACGAAACTATGAGCGGGGTGACGAATCACCATTGAGGAGCGAGCCAAATGAACGGCTGACGGTCGGTGTCTGTGATGCGGGATTTGGTGTATTCACGGACCGCCTTGGTGTCCCAGGACGTGAAGAGGTTGACGCTGAATCGCGCCGAATCACGTCGCCAGAAGGTCGCCGCCCTTGCGTGGCTTCATGATAGTGGGTGGGACGGGGATGTGCAATGTCACTTGGGCGCTGGTAAGCTCCGAAAGGACGGCGCCGATCTTCTGCACCTAAAGATCGTGAACCCTGTGAAACATCGGCAGGAACAAAGAGCTGCTGATCCTCAAGGTCACTATGAGAATTCTGGATGCCAGCGCCTGATGAGCCGTCCGCCGTGTGCGAAGGGATGCGGTGGAGAAGGCCAAATCTATCAGAAGTATGTCAATCCAATGATCCGTTTGCATTTTCTAGAAAACAAACCCGAAAACACATCCCAAGAGTCCTTCGCCACCCCAATGGCGATTGGGCACTAGTACGACCTCTCTGAGATTACTGAGAAGTGGCAGGTTAGAGAAATGCAAGACACGCGCTACAGCACTAGAACATACTCGAAGTCATACGAATAAACATAGACTCGCAACGGCTTGTCAACATGCTGCGAATACAAATGTTTAGCTGTCCAAAATAGCACAAGATCATCAGATAATGTCGTACAGCTTCCACCACGTCGTAAAAGTCGTTCTCCGCGGTCAATATGCCGCCGGACCATCCTATTATCCAGTCCCCATAGGGAACGAGACCGGCACTTTCTGCTGGACTTCCTTCTAGGACTTCAAGAACATGCCAAACATTATTTGTCGCATTCTCGAATTCGCACATCCGCATGCTCAAACCCAACAAGGAAGGTTGAGGGGAGTTCTCAGCATCGTCTTGTGGGATCGATGCTTGTTGTGCCAAAGCCCATGCCCGTGAGGGAACAATTGGTACAACTAAGTTTGGTCATATCGTTAACGCCATGACCATATCCTCTGAGACCAGTCACCAGACACACCTCGGGTTGTGCGCGTTTTGCTGTTCCAGACTAAAAGATTAAGCGTCTTCTCCTCGTGTTCTTCCACTATCTTTTCAAGCTCTGTAGCATCTATATCGCTCTCTGCGTAGAAAGCATCACTGCCATCGAAGCCGACAATGAAGTCGAAGAATGGCTCTATGGACGTCTGCGAGGCTGGCGATGAAGCAGTGACTCGTAAGACATGCAAAGCATGAGATTTTTGCGCCTGCGCTGCAGATGATTGTCCTGCTCCCATAGAGTCCGCAGAGAAACTTAACTTGAAGTCTCACATGAATTTCAATGGCGTCGAGAACTGGAGCACTAGATTGGTTGTTTGTCTTTGTTTGCTTTTAACAGTCCTTGAACCTACCCAAATTTTCTTCCGCAAAGCGCAAGTTGCGTTCATTCGGGGCGTCGATTCTATTTCGTCGACTGACTCCATGCGGCATGCGGTGAGCCAATTCACTAGTTTTGTGGTTTGTGGTTGTCTGAGCTAACATAGGTCTGAGACAGCTAACTTATGTTACTTTGTCGCCGTTTACTTCCTCGAGTACACACCCCGATCCGTGTTTACGCGCAACATTTAATTGGCAGCCAGATCCATGGCAAAGCTCTATCTCGCTCGAGAATTGCCAATGCCACTGTGCATAATGCCTTGCCGGAGGCTGTGGACTTGGCGCCTATGCTTCACCGTACTTCCGGTGTTGAGAAAGAGTTGTTGGAAAGAATTGCGTGCATTTCAACATGGTTACCTCCACAGGTGCCGAAGAAGTATGCACAAGTGGAGAAAATGTCGGAAGCTCTACCCGACCCTTTTGCGGCCTACGCGGAGCTGCGACGATTGGACAGAACGCTGGCCGCGTCTTTACCTCTCCCCATACTTGTCGCCCTCTCCGAGAAGGCCACAAAGCATGGACTATCGACTATCGTGGATGGTATTGCTACAGACTTACTGGACGGGATTATCACCACGTCAAACCATCAGCTTCGAGTCGCCGCGGCATTGCTGTCAGTGACACACCCCGATTCGCTCGTTCTTCACAAACAGAAGATTCACTCCCTCCTCGTCCTCCTTTGTCAATCCCACGCGCTTTCTGAATTAAGTACCACGAATGTCTCCACACTAGTCAAGCATATTGTCGACAACCCCAGCATAGATCCGTACGATGCAAAGATCGCGGATATCCTCCTCCCTATCTTCCACCAATCCCTTAGAAACCATTCCGCGCCCAAAGCTGCAAAGTCTATGTCCTATCGCCCTCCGGGTGATGTTTTCATAGCTTTTGGCCTGATCCATAAGTTGATCGTATTCGACCGAGACCGACACGCCCTCCACCTCTTCCAGACTCTCACCGAGACCTGTCAAATCCCAGTAGAAGCCTTCACAGAAGTATATCATACTTCTGCACAGGACGACAATTTCGCCTTTGTCATCAGGTCGACATTGGTCAGAGCCTGTCTCCACTGGGGCTGGTACCATCGCGCACTTGACATCGTGACCACTGCAATCCGGACTCAGGTTTCCACTGATGTTGGAGTCACTGAACTGGCGCTTAGCACGCTGCATCTTGCTCTGCATAACGCGTCCACCAACCATTTCAAGCACTGTACATGGCTTATATGTCATCTCATAAATTCTGCCGGCAATGTTATTGTTCCCGATAGCATGGTTCGCCTATTCTATGACAAAGCCATGTACTTGCAAGATGGCCCATCCGCGGAAGTTCTTTACACAGACACGCAATCCCCAAGAGTCATTCGGAGGGCCAAGTATCCTCTTCCACGAGGGCATTCGTTGACATGGCTCATGAACCATCTTACGACCTCCAGCCGGAACGTGCACCTGGCTCGGACATTAGCCAAGCAAGTGATCGACGAGATGGAGCCAATACCAATCCAAGATCGGGCTCATTTCATTGCTCTTACTGCATCCCATGGTTTCTCCTCCTCCGCACGTACCTTGTGGGAACGGTATTCCGTCGGAAGGGATCGCGAAGCGGTCCTCGGCAATGCTTCCTTGATGTTACGCATGGTCAGCATCTTTTCCAAGCTCATATATCGCACCAAGACCGAGATAGAGGAACCGACAAGTCAAGATAAGGGTAGCCCAAGTACGGCTCTGGCGCTTAGCGAGCGGCAGAAGCAGTTGGAGCATTTGCTTCAGTTCGCTGAACGGGTCATTGACGCCTTTCGCATGATCAAAGGCTCCCTGGAGGAAACGTCTCATTATGATTTGAGCACATTGGCCCGTGCCTACATTACGCTTGGACGTGTTTCCGAAGGTCTGGACATGCTCAAAGTTCTACTTCAGCGCTACGAAATTCCAGACATCTACGATATCAACATTGCTCTATCCGCCATGGCTGAACTTCATCCGAAGAAGGCAGTGCTCATCATGAAAAAGATGATTGAACGAGGCATACGCCCTGATGCAGTGACGTTTGGAACTATCATTCATCATGCCATCCTTCATGACGAGTTGAGGCTGGCAGGCTACTTGATTGGTCGTGCCAAAGAGCTTGGGTGCGAGGAGCTGTCACCCAAAACCACTGCTTCGCTTCTAAGGGCGAGTGTAAACGTGGAAGGAGCTCCCAAGTCGATTTTGAAGGAAAATCTGCAGCGGGCCTGGGAGATCATCCAAACGGGGGACGTCTCGAGTATCGTGCACTCGCCCAACACCGGGAAATACTGCATATTTGCGTCACTCCGCCTTGATGACCCCGTGATGGCGTTCAAATTCTGGGAGACGCTGGTGAAGGGGAAGACTGAATGGGGGGATAGGAAACAGGTGTTTCAACGACGGCTGATTGCCAATATGGTCCAACGACACTGCCAAGAAGGTGCGCTGAGTCGCATTCGTGGTCGACAGATGCTTGCACAGTTGAAGGAGAGGAGGGTGCTGTTGTAGATCGCTATGCGGATTGGAAATTGTAGACATAAAATATTTACCCCACATAATGACAAAGAGCAGCTCAAACTACATTGCGCAGGTGGCTACGGAACGACTATCTTCCTTTGGACTGACTTGGGGGAGCGACCTGCGGGTACATATAGCTGGCTGCCACGCGACTAGATGGTCATCAGTTGGTGGGACAAGAAGCAAGAACGAATGTAATGTTTACTGCAATATTTGCGTGGGTGTTGTTAAGAGGAAACGACGTTGGAGAGCATGAACCCAGTTGAGATCTTGACCAGAGGGAGCCAGAGGGTTGGTTGTTTGTTGATACTTACTAAATCGGGCGCGGGGTAAATGCGACCAAAGAGCCGGGCCGGTAAATCCACGTTGAAGTGGTGTGCTCGCCGGTACGTTAGAGAACCTTGGTTCTAATTGTGTCTGGGAGGCGTACCTAGGCCTATCTTCCTGCAGCTGGCCATAGCTACGGCCCAGCAAAGAACACGCATAACTCCCTTGGAAATCGTCGAATCACCGTGACTACAAGAACTTGTTCGTTCCCCGTTCCGTCTCCATTAGCTCTCAGCTACTCTTCACCGTCTGTCATGCCTGCTGTGCGAGCAAAAAAAGACGCTAAATCTGTCTCGCCTACATCGTGCGACGCAAATCCAAACGAAACTACCGCCGAACATAACAGAAGTCAGAGAAAGTGCGTCCGAGTCCTCATAAAGACCGATGTTTCTCCGTTGAACTTCAAACCCCATCTTATTCCACTACCTCCATTGCGTCTAACCCGATCCATATAACCTTCGTGACCGGGTCCAGCCTGATCCAGTGCTATCGGTTCTAATAGCGACCTTTTGTCATGTCATTTTTCTCTGTTTTGGTAAAGATTCAATGTTCTGACTTCATCCCCTTCTTCATTCAACAGGCGGCAATCTCAGAGTACGTTTTAGCGCTCATTTCTCCAACGTTAATCAATATTGAGTCACTCATTCGCTTCTTTCGAATAGGCTGTGATGCTTGTCGAGCCAGAAAGGTTCGATGCGTCCGGGAGAATCTAGAAGATCCAAAGCAGTCATGCAAGCACTGCCTAGCCCTTGGAATACCCTGCACTTACGATTACCGACCAAAAAAAAGAGGACCCCCCAACTTGTAAGTAATCCCCCAGAGTCGCACTTTGCCCTCATATCTATGCTGGATCTTTAGATATCTGCGTCGTTTACAAGAAGCAGCCGCTGCCGCTGCTGTAGCTCAATCTGAGCAGAATAATAACGATGTTGCGTCAATATCACCCATTTCTGCTCACCAATCTCTTGCTAGCCCCACACAATCAAGCTTATCCCCTTTGCAGCAGCACACACATTCCCCTTCCCTGGAACCTATCTTGACCCCAATCCAGACTGCCGCTCCCATTATCATCACTCCATCTCGATACCCTATCGCGGCCGACTCGTATCATAATCACTACTCTCCTGTTAATACGATCCTACCAACATCCGCTAGTAGCGCCTTACTCCCTCAAAAGACAGACGACAACCAACCGTACTCCTTTTCCGAGTCATATGGCGGATTATACAACTGGTCTTATAAACATCATCAGCCCCTCCCGGTTCTGCTTCCGAGTGTCATACCTCCACTTTCGTATTATTACCGACCTCACCGTTTGGAAGATATCGCTCCCCGGGACAGTATTTCACTCATAATCGCGCTTTTCTTCGATTTCGTGTACCCGTTAACCCCGTGTATCCACAAGCCATCGTTCATGGCGGACCTGCACACCAAGAGAGAAGAACGCGACCCGCTATTTTTTGCTCTTGTCATGTCCACAGTAGCATCAACCTTGGTGCAAGTACCACGATCTTATGTGCCCATGGAACGCTCCGTTGTGCGAAAACTTGCGCAAAGGTGTTATGAAGCCAGTCGACATATCACTACCGCAGCCTACGACCCTCCCACGTCTATGCACGTTGTTATCCGATACTTGTGGGTGTTTCTGTCATTTCTCATTACGTTCATTCATTATTGCCAGTGACTGTGTCTACCATTTTTGCGAAGGTAATGATGCCGCACAACATGCCGCCTTCGGTGAAGCGGCTCATATTGCCGTTACCCTCCGCATGCACGAGGAGTCCTCCTATGAGGGGCTTGACCCCATCGAATGCGAGGTTAGACGGCGAACATTCTGGTTACTTTTTGGCGGTATGTCTGGACTGTCTCGTTCATCGATGCAAAAACATCGTGTTTGAAACGGACAAAAAATTTAATTTGACCTTGTGATCTGCAGCCGACAAGTCGATGTCGATTCTCTTGGGGCGCCCCATATGTCTTCGTGACGAAGATTGTACTGTTCACTTTCCGAAGGAACTCGATGATGAGTAGTAGGTCACTTTGCTTTTCACCCAAAGATAATAAAGCTGATCAATTCTGTGACTTCTCCTTTTAGCATCATTCCCACTGCATACCTGCCTCAGCCCCGTGGCAAGACGGCCCTGGTCTCAGGATTAAACTACATCTCCAGGATTTTTGCACTTCTAGGTGAAATACTAGTTCGTATCAGAGTCGATAAGCGGTCACCTCCGCAGGGTCAATTTGCAACAGCGAGACTGGAGGAGGTTCAATCGCTGCACTCGCGCATTATGGGGGCCCTTATGCACACACCAGAGCCCCTGAGGCTGAAGCAGACGCGTCGACACAGCCGCCTTCCAGCTGAGTACGGCGGTGCTGGGTTCAGACAAGCCACGTTCGCGGAGGTCAAGGACTTCTTTGAAAACCCCAAAGCTTCACGTGCAAATGCCCTTAACCCATTCCTCGTCATGCAGGCAAATCTTTACGTGACTCAAGTGAGTTATCACTTTTAAACGGCACTGTTTAAGGTTTTCTCAACTCTGTTGATCAAGCAACTCGTTCGATTCGTGGTGGAGCAATACCGCGATGAACTGGTCACGTCTTTGCAAGGTAGTATTGATGAACATCAAGTTGCCGAGGATCGGGAAGCAGTCGCGAGTGACCTGCTCAATATTCTTCACAGGCAAGATTGTTAACTTCATTTATTTGACACGGTGCTGATAAAAAAAATTCCACAGTATTCCTATCCAGTCAATCGCTACTAATGGACCTTCACTGGTGAGAATTGTCCGTGTTGATTTTTGAGCTTATCAAGTGAAACCGCTTCACCCAGGTGCACAAAGTGCGATTCGTCGCATCCACCTTGCTAGATGCTGTTCGAAAAGCGGAGACCGCTCCGGCATCGGCGGCGCGTGCCCATGCTTTCCTATGTGCGTTTCGCGCGGTCATCGCTGTACCGCTATCTCTCTGACACGCTTCTTAGGGGACTTCCTATCTATTCTGTCCGAGATCGAGAGAAATTATCTGTGAGTTGCGGCCATTAGCATTCCTGCGTGTGAAGTCTGTGAAACTCATTACTGTGTATGCCAGTCTTGACGACGATCGTGACGGGACATCGAGCGGCGACGGTGGCATGCCCATGATCTAGTGTTGTTTTCTGTATGTATGCAAACTGATATATGGTATATGTACTTCCTTCTGTTGTCCTTGCTTGTGTCGTAGATTTTCTTTGGGATGGTGTATCGTATCGCTAGACTGATCTATTCGTATTAATACCCGTTTTCTTTCTAAAATTATCGATATTCGATATTCGTCACTGTTAGACTATGTAGCCTCACTCCCAAGCCTGCTATCTTTATGCCCCCGATGTGTTAGAATACCAAGCAATTTTACTGCATTCGTGATTGGCATACGGATGTCGATGTTCTATCTTCAGAATCTCGGCACCCGACCTCGGATATCATGGTGCTATTTTGACTGAATCTTCAATGTATTTTGGTCGGACGATTCATTGCCTTCGAAAGTTGTTGGTGAGAACAGGGGGAGTTCTAAGTTTGGCCTAGCGTGACTACCCTGTGACATTTATGTGACTCGCAAAAGTGGTTTTGGCCAAACCGTTGAGCCTGCAGAGTCAATATTTCTGTTTATTCCAGTCATTGTGATTCTGCTTTGCATACATATAAGTTGACGTGCCAACTCGTCATGGACACACAATACGAAGGAGGGAGCAAAGGCGACCCAGTGCAGATTACGGAAGGTTGGACAATCCCTGCAGATTGGCACCAAACGCTGACAGGAGACGCGTCTTCTTTTGGTGCATTAACGATTGAACCTTGGTGGTGATGCAGATGAAGCAGCTGTTTATGACCGCCAGATCCGATTATGGGGCCTCGAAGCTCAGCAGCGGTGAGTGCACGGTCGTTTGCTACACAAGTAGCAGGCATGGGCTCGCGCGCGTACCTCGAGTACTGAACCGGCTACTGGTAGAATGCGAAATGCCACCATCTTGGTTATCCGACTGCGAGGTACTGCAACAGAAGCAATCAAAAACATCGTTTTGGCAGGGATAGGCAAACTTGTTATTTTCGACTCAGAAGAAGTCAAGGAGGAAGACTTGGGCGCTGGCTTCTTTTTCAGAGATGAGGATGTGGGGAAAAAGGTAAGTACAACAAAGTTCCATCCTCTTGTGGTTATTTATCGGTCTTTTCTAATAGAGGGTGGATGCTGCGAAGGCTCGAATAGAGGCCCTGAATCCGCTTGTCACAGTGCAAGCCTTGAGACATCCGACGCTTTTAGAGCAGGGGTCTCTCGAAGCACTTATTATGAGCGTCGATTTGGTTTGTGTGACGGATTGGGACCGCGAAGGCTTGGTACGTTCAATGATCCTCAGCGTAGTCGTCACTAAGTCTGCTCCCTTTAGATCAAGATCAATGACATTTGCCGGCAGTTTGAGAAGCCGTTCTATGCTGGTGGTACATTCGGCCTGCTCGGTTACGTCTTCTGCGACTTGCTCAAACATGACTACATTTCCCCGTGAGTAGCCTTCATTCATCGTTCTGGATGACAGCTCATTTCTATCTTGCTCTTCTTGTTATCTTACATCGTTGAGGAAAGTGACCGGTCGGCACCCAAAGAAGCACCAAAGAATGTGAAAGCGAGTGCATCATACTCACGACTGTACATGGCTTTGCAGCATCGGTGGACAGGCCTCACAAAACGGCAAACAAAAGAACTTAACCCTGCTGTGGTGCATCTCATTCTGGGTATGAAACAGTATCACGCTCTAATTCTACGCACGCGACCTGATGTGCACCTGGCCAGCCCTTTGGGAGTATCAAAATAATCATGAAGGGAACCTTCCAGACGACATGGATGCAGCCTCCGAGCTAGGGAAGATAGCCAACTCTATCCTCGCTACGTCAGACGTCAACCGACAAGTTCTGACTTCAGTCCCGCAGGATCTAATTGAGTGCGCATCATTGAAACTACCTGTTTGGTTTTAAATAACGTATGGGTTTCAGTGCAATGAGCACATCAGCTGCGCATGAGTTCTCGCCGACATGCGCAGTTGTTGGAGGGATCTTAGCACAGGATATCCTGAAAGCCCTCGCCGCCCGGGAAGCGCCGATAGCAAATTTTTTCACGTTCGATGGAAACACGGGTGGTGGATCGGTGTGTAGGATGAATATGTAGTTGATGCTCTTGGACTATGCGTGAATCATGATGCTCGTTTAATTCTCTATTCTCTTGATATGATCTGTTATCTCTCTTATTGGCTATCACCACGGCGATGTCGAAGCGGTGTTACAATTCTAAAGCAAGCCGGCGTGCGTGGGAGAAGCCAAGTTGTCCAGGTTTAGACTAGCCAGCGTTGAAGCCACGGGTCAGGGTCACCCTGCGAATATCTTCCATAGCCTCCACTCTTCTTCTTAACCCTCATGGTCCCTCAGCAACAACGTCGGCCTCCTCCAAGCGCCCAGGAATATTACGCCGTACCACAGAGTCCACAAGGTTCATCTATGCAGGCCTCATATAATCAGTCACGACCCCCAGTAAGGTCTGGTTCTGCAGGCAGCCAGATGCAATCAGGTAGGGGCGCCATCGCTCAGGGAGTAGCTAGCGGTCAAATTGGCGGGGGATACGGTCCTTATTCTGTGAGCACTCTACTTCTTAGTCTATGTTGATCCTGCTGTGAACTTTCTGGCGCTTCAAGTACAACCCATCTACATCGCAGAACAACGGTGTCCACAACCCTTCACGATTCAGCGCCGCCGCCTCTGAGGGCTCTTCTGCGACTGGCGAAAAGCCAGCCGGTCCCCTAGGCACCTCGTCTACCGTCCCGCCATATCTGTGGGACATCAAGGATCCAGATCTCGATGACGCTCTGCACAATCCAGATCCTGTTAATGATGCTGCACTCGACAGTTCTTTCACAATTTTTTCAGCACGAGGATGGGCGAATGCATCTGCACTCTTCATACTCGTCATCGGACTCATCACACTGTTCGCTGGATACCCCATTATACATTATTTTAGCTTGGCTGGCAACACGACACCAGGATACAACTTGGGTGGAATAAATTCATCGGGTCAAGTACCAGTACTCGCTGGCATGCCGACCCTCATAGATGCCGCTACCCCATCACAATATTACACCCGAACGGGGAGTGATGGAGACGCGTACAACTTGGTGTTTAGCGATGAATTCAATACAGATGGCCGAACGTTCTGGCCTGGGGACGACCCATTCTGGGAAGCAGAGAACCTTCATTATTGGTGAGCGTGGACAGCGTGAGATTTCCAGCCAACATAACATCTTTGATCCAGGGCTACTGGCGACCTCGAGTGGTATGATCCACAGGTGCGGTAGCATCCAGGAGTTGTGTCTATCCTGATCTGACGTCCATCACAGGCTATCACGACTCAGGGCGGTAACATGGTAATCACTATGACGGAACAACCCATAAACAACCTCAACTTCCTGAGTGGTAAGTTGAGACCGCTAGTGTGATGGTCCTTATCGACTAATCATTTATAGGCATGGTCACAACATGGAACAAGATCTGCTTCACAACGGGATACATAGAGGTCAACGTCAGCATGCCAGGCTCACCTCAAGCTCCTGGTTTCTGGCCTGGTGGGCAAAGTTGGCTATCGAGCGCTATCTATTTTTACTGATGCCGTTATTTAGGTGCATGGACCATGGGTAACTTGGTGAGTCCCTATAATACACGAGGTTTTCAGCAGAAATGAATACAAATGATAGGGACGCGCTGGTTATGGCGGCACCACCCAAGGTCAGACAGCGACTGTATGTGCTCTCACTTGTGTCTTAATTTTTTTTTCTAGGCACTTGGCCATACAGCTACGACTCGTGTGACGTAGGAATATTGCCTAATCAGACCCAGAATGGAGTTCCTGCCGCAGCGACCACAGGCGGAAGCGGCGGCGGGCCTCTGAGTTATCAACCGGGTCAACGACTCTCGAGTTGCACTTGCTCTGGTGGAGATCATCCTGGGCCTAATTTGCAGACGGGACGTGGAGTTCCGGAGATCGACATTTTTGAGACCCAAGTCGACGTCACCGTTCTCGAAGGCCAAGTTTCGCAATCCTTCCAGGTCGCACCATACAACTATCAGTATCAGTTCACTTCGACTACACCTGCTACGACTCTCCAGAACTCTCAGACTCAATTGAACAGTTATACGGGTGGTATATACCAACAGGCCTTGTCTGCGATCACCTACATCAATAGTGAGAACTACAACGGGCAGGGCTACGCGAAGTATGGCTATGAATGGTGGTCAAACCCTAGCAACCGGCCAGAAGGATACATTCAGTGGTACAGTGAAGGCCAAGAAACATGGAAAATCACAGCTGCATCTATCGGGGCGGATTCAACAGTGGATATCTCGTCGCGTTTAATTCCTGAGGAACCTATGGTACGTTGTTTGTTGTATGACCTGTCCCAACATTTGACGCCATCTACAGTATATTATCCTGAATCTGGGTCTCGCCCGTGAGTGGAACCCAACAGAGACTTTCTTTTTGTTGGTAACTAAACGTGCATCACCATAGCTTCGTTCCAGCCACAAGACTTTATGCACATGCAATTTCCAAGTGAAATGTACATTGACTACGTTCGCGTCTACCAGCGGGATAACGTCCAGAACGGCCTGACCTGCGATCCGCCAAACCGCCCCACTGCGACTTATATCAATAAGTACGTATCTCTCATACCCTCATGCTATCAACCAGTATCTCACACTGCGCAGCCATTTGAACGCATACACCAACCCCAACCTCACAACCTGGACACAAGCTGGATATAGCTTCCCCTCAAATACTCTCACCGGGTGTTAAGGTGGCCATCCCCCTTGTTTCGTGCTGTGCCGTTGTGTTGTTAGTCATGATCTTATATAGCCATACGCCCTGCTTGCATTATTGTACGACCGCACAACTATTGCGCGCTGGACACTTCATCCTTCACTCTAACCTTTATTACGCTCCCTCCCACAAAAGGACGTCCCCCGCCCACGACCGTGGCCACATATACTTACTGCAGCTTACTGCGCGTCGACATACATGGAACTTTATTAGTCTCTCGTTATTTCGTGGTAGAGACATTCTTTCATAGTCGTTACCTATCGTAAATAGGATCCGAGACCACAACAGAGGAGATGGTGAAATAGATTACACAGGTTTACCCGTGAATGAGACTGACGGATCAATGCGGCAATCGGAAACGGTGAGGGCGATAATCTACCCTAACATTTTTCTGAAGTCGTCTTGCCCCTTCTTCTCCTTCCGCTCCAGTGGCTGAGCGTTTGAACTCGATATTGCCTGCGTGGCACCAAGACCAGGTTTTCGAGCACGACCAAGGCCGGCTCTTGGCCGAGACCCGGCTGCCCGTGGCACAAACATGCCCCCAGTTGCTGGCGGCGGTGCCGCAGGCTGACCACGGGTGGACCCTGGCTGCTCTTCAAAGAACTGTAATACATTCCCGCTCAAGATGATAGGTTCAGCCCGAAGCAGTAGTTTCCCAGCCTCCTATAAACGTGAAGATATGTCACAAGGATCCTGCGGAGTGTGGTAACACAATACTAACAGCAGGATTTTCAAGTTCGACCACTGCCTCGTTCAAAGCAGTGAAGATCTCAGTTCGTTTAACGAGGGAATGTTTTTCCAGGAGCTGATGAAGTAGTCCTTCTTGTGTTCCTGCGGGAAGATTTCGAACTCGAACAGAACGATTTCGAGCATCAGCGCGGTGGCCGAAACCTGTTTCCGCCGTGCCCTCTCTAAAAATGTACAAAGTAAATCAAAAGTGATGTGTAGAGTGTTGCGAGAGATTGACTGAACTTGTTCTTTGCACGCACGCGAGTATCTGTGAAGGTGACTGCAATACGCCGATTCTTCAGTTCATAGTTGTTAGCGGCAAGCGCAGCACGAGCATCCGTCTACAAAGCGACATAATGAACAAACAAAACAGTTTCTTGTTCGTGGAAACCATACCTCTGATTCAAAATCAATGAAAGCAAAGCCTTTGGGCTGTCCGCTTTTGTCCTCCGCAAGGCGGATGTCTTTGATGGGGCCATACTGACAGAAACAGCCACCCTTAGCAACCGACCACTGCGCATAGAATGGGCTTACGGTCTCAAAGACTTTTCTCAAGTCTTCTTTCGTCGCAAATTTGCTAAGGCCAGCGATGTAGAGTTCCCGCTCATTAGCGTCTGCATCTGACCTCTCCTTCTTGCGCTCGGGATTCGAGATGAGCACGCTGATAGCGCGATCGGGTTCCAACTCGCGACCATGGAGTTCAAGCGCTCGTTCAGCTGATGGCTGTCGTGCAAAATGTTAGACCTTAACAGCTCATACAAAAGGAGTATCACAAACCGGAGATGTGTACTGCACATAGCAAAAACGTCGCGTAGCCTTGAATTTCTTGCTTGGCCATCGTACATCAAAGATAAGGCCATACTTTTGGGAACTGAATCAGCCTAAGATATAATACGCAGCAAAGTAAATGCACCTGGCCGAACAAATCACGAACAGATGTGTCATCGAACTTTTCCGGGAAATTCGCGACATACAACGTAGAACGCCACGCTAGATGCACGCTGATTTCAGTCTCATGTATCCTTTTCTTGTCCTTAGTAAGAGCAGCTGGCACGCTGTCCTTAGGAAGGAATACACGTGTCAGTACACGGTTTTGGTCCGTGAATTGACGTGACCTACCCTATCTTGAAATTCCACCGTTGCCACCAGTGTCTCAGGCATACGAGTGAATTTGACGTCTCGGATATCGCCACACTAAATGTACGGGAGTGAGAAATATAGGAGGAATAAAGCCAAAAGGATAGAACACTCGCATCTTTGAACAATGCCTTTAGATCGGCTTCAGTCGTCTCAGATGGTAGGTCGGCAACGAAAACGGTGCAATTCTCTCGATCGCTGATCATTAACTTGTTTTAAGTGAACATCCTTTCGAGTATAAAGGAATCCATACCGTTTCAGGGGAACAGGTGGAGTTTCTGGAAGCACAGTCTCGTTAAAGCCTCAATGCAATGACGGTAACGAATGATTTACCAAGGCGAGGCTTCTTAGCCCCACTTATTTCAGTAGTGGAGTGTTCTTCCTCAGCTTTCCGTTTCCCTTTCGTGTCGGTTGGAGCTGACAAGTCGACATCCATCGCTTCACTGACGACAGCTGTCACGGGAACAGATACAGCTGGCACCGACGTAGCCTGCTGCTCTGCGTACTGGGCTGCAGCAGCTGCATATGCTTTCTCGGCTTCCTGAAGTGCAGTTGAGTTCTTGCCAAATTGTTATGACAGCGCACTTACCCGCGCTCTCCGCGTCTCAAGTTGGGCCCTTGCTTGAGTTATTTTATTGATAGAATCCTCGAGAGAAGAAAGCGATCCGTGCGCATGTTCAAAGTTATGCCATGCATCCCAGAGGGCCTCTGGATAATCCAGATTCTTCGTGCTCATATCTTGGAAGGTTTTGCGGGCAAGATCATGGTGATCTGTGCGGCTGCAAAGAGTTACTTGAACGTCCAGGGAAATGAATTTGACTAGAGCGCACATGAGAACATCAGTGTAAGCCACCCAAGCTGCCCAGCTTGTTCTATAGTGAGAAGCTGTGGAAGCCCATAGTTGTACAGCTGCATCCGGAACATCCGCAAGACTGAGATACTAGATAGAGGTTTCGCTAAGTTTATTGGCGGCGGTGATAAACTGACATACAAATTCAGACAAGAACTTCTCTAGGCGGAAACGGGGATCTCCAGTGTTCGACGCTGGAAGACGGGGAAGGGTTCTTGTCATTACTATCCATGATTGGGTCAAACAACATGCACTCTTACCTTGCCGAACTATCGCGATCCCATCCTCCACGACCTTGATGAGGGTGGCCAAACTATCCCCATCAGCACGACCACCTTCAACTGCGCGCTTCTCAGCGCCTGCACGAGCGAGAACCAAAGATACAATCTGGTCAGCGTCAATTTCACGATCATTCTTCCCGTCCCTCGTAAATAGGTTTGTTGAGAGCGCCCGAGTGTAGGCGGCTGAAAAGAAACATACATAAGAAAATGAATAGCTTCAACGCAATTTTTCACCTTCAACATCTTCGTTATCGTCGGTGCTCATTCCAGCTTGACTGGCCCCGGACTCTTGTTCCCGTTCCTGGCGCGAGAATAGGCATGCAGAGTGAGTGGGTCAAGGTTTATCGAGCTTACCAGGAAACGGATGTATCGTGCCCAAACTTCGCCCGAGCCTGGTGCACTGCGTGTCGCACGTCGCCAAAACTGCACACTTTGGCCTTGTGATTTGACAAAATCAATGTATCCAACCCAGAACGTTTGCATTGCCCGTTCGGCGCCAAGCTCGCCAGCAAATTGGCGTCTTGATGCCTCTGCAAGGGCGCGTTCATAAAGTCCAGAAAGAATGAAATAATCCGGATCTTTTCGACGTCGCTCTGCAGCGATATAAGTTGCGTATGCATCGAGTGAATATCCAGCAGCTGCCTAAACAAAGTTACAGTCAAGGCATTCGTAAAGAAACACAATTTGCCTACCAACGCTATCTCTGAGGCCTCTCGTTTCTCATATGCTTTGACAGCTCGTGAACGCAGCTTTGACGCAGATATGAGAAGCGATTCATATTCGTTAGCAGGCTTGTGTGCCGTTGTAAATGAGGAATATAATTGGTAGGTATCTTGATGGTCTATGGTTGCAGCCTTAGTACCGAAAGACAGCATGAATGATGGTGTCTTACTGGCGTGTGGTTGCTGGAGACGAGCAAGCAGAATTTCTTCAATCAGGTTGACCGATAGGGGCCTAACATGGCATGAGCTAGCTGCTACAAGTTGTCGAAGTCACGAAGCTTTGCAACGCACTTCTCGTTCATTGAGGCCTTCTCCAGTATTTCAAGCTCCCAGTTGTAATACTGATCCCACAGTACATGACTCTGTGTGTCGTCGGCGTTTAGTAGTGCGTTGAATTGAACAACTCACTTGTGATGTGTCACCAGCGCCTTTGGAAACAACACTTGACAATGCTTCCCGAGTCCAGTTGTCGGAAAACAACTCTCCTAAGTTATCTGGTTCAACCTCTGACCCAGAGAAGTATTCGTGACGGTCGACTAGTAATTCCAGATGCTTTTGCAAAATCGAGAGAGCTAAATGTAGCCTGTCAATATCTCCCAAACTGCATATTGCAGCCCACATACACATGTAGTCTAACTCTGCCTTCGAATACACGTCCAACACCTCTAGTACACCTCCCGGCGTATTTATATCACTCGCAGCAGTCTTCGCGTCAATGAGAGGTAACCAGATGTCGTCTGGTGTTGCCATATAGTTTGCCGCCATCTCAAGAGCAACCAACAATTGGTCCTTGTCTTCCAAAGACTTTGCCAGGCGAATGTGTTGCACATGGAGGTCAACGATGTACGAATTCGCGGACAGTTTTGTGAGCGTGTCAGCAAGAGCATCGAGAGAAGCGGACTCGTCCATAGCGCGAGAAAACGAGCAACTAAGAGCCGCTTATTCGTTTTGATGGACAGTGGGCAAGTAATGATCTGGTTTTGAACCGGTGAATTCGACGAACAGACTGTGTTGCAGCGAATACGTAGTAGATGATATATGTAAAGCGGACCCCGGATACTTACTTCCATTCAGCGGGCGGTATCAATTCAGACAATTCTAAACATCCCTTCATCGACATCCGCAATGACAAAGTACACCCTATCGAATGATATTTACTATTGACGTCGGCACAAACGCAACAGTTTGCAGGACATGGCTTTGGCTACCGACGATGGATAGGCCTTGAACTTGGTGTCCTCAGTTGGTACGTCCTATTGTTGCTGAGACTCCCATCTTTATGAGTGAGTGACGCTACTACTTAGACCCATTCTATCCACAAAAAGCAGTGGCAAGACCCGCCGTTGAAACCCGTGTTTTGTTGTCCGCGGTAAGGTTTCCATATCTTTGCACTGCCAGGATGGGACACAGCAATTCTGCCGCCGTTGGGATTTTCTTTTGTCCCAGCGGGCTACTCTTTGCTTTCATGGTCGGGACCGATTGGAACCGGAGCTATGTCGGGTTTGATGAGCCCCTGTGTCGCAGGGTTACATGATTTGGATCCATAAAAGAGTAGCTTCGCTAGGGTGCTTCGCCCCGACCACGAAGAATGCCATCAATACTCAGACGATCTCGTCGTCGCGAGTTAACCCTCACGCCGTCATTCACGAACGCAATCCAGGAAAAGGTTCACCCTCTGCAGTGAGTTTACTCTTCTGCGTGTCATCACTAGGCGTTTCCCACAATTAATATCCTGCAGCTCGTTCCTAGTCGATCGCGCCGATTTTCGTCCCCCCTCACCATCATCTTCAACAGCAAACTCTCCTGACATCTTTCGCCCTTCTCTGACGTTTTCTCTCTACCGTAGTCCAATTTCCAACCTCCAACATCATCCCATTCACACACTCCCTCCCGAGCTTCTCATTTGTATCTTTGAGCTGGGGTCGTTTGACGATGCCCTATTCCTTATCACCATCTCGCATGTCTGTCATCCATGGAGGATGCTTGCTATACACACGCATACCCTCTGGCGGCGTCTTTCGTTTGGTTCTCATGGATTGCGTCTGTGGAAGGAACGCATAGCCCGCGCCCGTGGGTGTTCCCTCGACGTTGCAATTACACCTTTGCAGCACCATTTTCCCGATATGGATGCGTTAGCCCAGCAGCTGCATCTTCTTGTCCCACACATATCCAGAGCGCGCTCATTGGAGCTGCGGTTTTCAACTTACTCGCCGTTCTTATGGAACACTGCTCTCGGCCCTATATGCCGTCAAGAGCAACGTGATGACGACATGGGCAGACATCCTTTTCCTCCATTTGTGCACGCGATGCAACTGGAGGAACTTACTCTGTGTTTTCCAGCAAATGATGACACAAAGGAGTTTGCTCTTTTCGCAGGCGTTGCACCTCGGCTGCATAGCGTCACGCTTGATGGCATTCGTCTGACCTGGCTTCCAGAGCTTTATGGACGCCTCACATATCTCGACTATACTCATCACGGGTTCACAGCTGGGCCAACCGCCGTGGATGAAGTTCTAGGAATGATTCGAGTTTCATGCACACTACGCGAGCTTCGCATATGTTTTAGGAGACGAGTGCTGGATGGAGAAGTTTTGTACCTACGCCACGATGACCTTCCCGCAGGACAGACTCACCTTCTGCAGCTCGAGCGACTCGTTCTTGCCGTCGACGAATCGGATGTCGACATACCTGCTGAGCTTACATCGCTCTTGTCCCGCCTTTCTGTGCCCAGCCTTCTCGAACTACATCTGGTTGACTTTCGCTTTCAACCCGCTAACAGACGCTGGTGGAAGCCAGCGCCATTTCCCGGGCTCAGAGCTGCTCTGAGCCTTTTTCATGTCACAATACCAACCAGCACCAAGGTTCTGACGATGGTGGGCCGCTGGGCAGATCATTCTTCCATTCCTGCCCTCGCGAAACATTTCAGAGAACTTCACAGTTTGGAAGTAGATGGTGTTGAAATGGATCTTGTTCACTTGTAACACCTCAGTGGAGATTTGCCACTGCATGATGAAGCGTGGATATAATGAGGAATATACCTTTTCTCCCTTCTTTGCAATAGTAGACGAGATCCCACATATCATTCCTATAGGATCCACACGTGAGTCAAATTCGGTGAACTGAATACAAGACCTGTTTAATTTCTGCAGCAATGGACTTCTGCCACACATCTATGATTCCTGATTGGGATTTACACAGTCTCGTTGCCAACACACGCCTTTTGTCTTATCTGGATGGCACCGCGGACCTACAGCAACTAGAGTCTGCCACGGACCAACCACGGACCCAATCATTTCGCTAGTCTTTCAAGAAAACGCATGTCCAACGCTACTGAAACTATGTTCGGTCGACCCGGCCCGTCCATTCTCTCCAACATGATCCGAATGCATGTCACCCGAAATGTTAATAACTTACGTCTCCTAGTACGTCTCTCACCAGTAACATGTGTTGTCCAAGGATAATTCATGGCATGCTAGTCTCCCTTTGACTAATCCATGTCTCTTCAACTTGGGCCGCATGATCACCCGAAAGGTTATTTATCTCACCATGTATTGGCCCTTGGATGATCCGACGCTTGAACGTGCAGGTTTCGCTTTGACACATCACCCGCTCATTTTCATGCCCACTTACAACCGCACACGTACAATAGCACGCCCATATTTTACATCACCGGTGCAGCGCGCTAATATAAGACTGAGGTGAGAAATACATTCACTACCATACTCAATCAACCCTACTAACTTCTACGTAGTCTCGCGTTTTTCTCTTGCAGGTACTTACTGTGATACTAGAGCTCTTTCCACTCAGACTGAATCTCTCGCTTGTTTCTTCCAGCCTGCTTCTCTCGTTGCTCATATTACCATGTCTACGCCTGATAATTTTGTGCTGAAAAAGCTCTTCGATCTCAATGGCCTGGTCGCACTAGTGACTGGTGGTGGCACAGGCATTGGCCTTAACATTGCACGTGGCCTCGCTGCTAACGGGGCCAAGGTTTACATCACCGGCCGACGAAAGGAGGTTCTTGATGCCGTTGTCGCGGAGTGGAATGCAACTAAGGGAGACGACATGGGGCCTATGATCTCGTAAGATTCATTGTTTCTACTCGTTTCGTGCGGACTGATCGGGCGCAATCCATAGGCATGAGATGGATGTAACTAAAAAGGACAGCATCAAAGCTGGTGTAACGAGAATATCCCAAGCAGAGGGAAAGCTACACATTCTCGTGAACAAGTATGACATCTACTCTCCCTATTGTTTTGTGACTCATCATGATCGAACAAAGTGCTGGCCAATGTGGTCCTGTCTCTGATGAATTTAATCAACCATCGCCGACTGCTCAGAAGGAGGCCGGACCAATAAGTGAATACCTCTTCAACAATGAATCGTTCGAAGAATGGAACTCCCTTTTCGCGATTAACACTTCTTCGATCTACTTTGTGACCATTGCGTTTTTGGATCTGCTCGACAAGGGCTCCAAGGATCACGATAAAGAGGGGTTCTCTTCAAGCGTCATCAACATCACAAGTATCAGCGGGCTCATAAAGGTTGCACAGAGACACGTGAGCAAAGTCACACCTGCGGTCGTTTACTATCACTGACTTTGGTGGACAAGTTCTGCTACAACAGCTCAAAAGCTGCTGGGTCTCACCTCACCAGGATGCTTTCGACGGAATTTGCTCTCAAAGGAATCAATGTCCGAGTAAATGCTATCGCGCCAGGCGTGTATGAAAGCGAGATGACACACGACGCGATCACCGGACGAGCAGCAACTGATTCGGTCGGTATGCCAGTGGTGTCTGTACCAGCGAAGAGGCCGGGGACGTGAGTGAAGCTTGATTCGTGGACCAGCGCATTCACTGACGGAGAATTGTAACAGCGCTGCTGAGATGGCAGGCACCGCCGTGTACCTTGCATCGCCTGCTGCGGGTTACATGAATGGGCAGGAATTGGTCATTGATGGTGGGTACTTGGCTGTGAATCCTTCCAGGGTGTAGAATGTTGTGGGTCGGGTTGCCTTATGGCCTTGCGGAGCTGATTTCTTTGGGTCATCGTGTATTATTGTTCCATCCGACATGTCGTGTACAATAAGTATAGTCCTGCAGCAGGCGAACAGGGTATAGATGTAATACTTATATTTGGCATTTGCAATCCGATGGGATCGCTCCATTCTCCGAAGCTTTTGTTCGTCTGTATTTTGAATACCTGCGCCGTGCTCCGTGGCCGGGTCCGCTGGCTGGCCGGACTGTGGTGCCATCATAGTCCAACTATCTGAAGAGCGCGACTGAAATGAAGCTCACGCTGGGCTAGGGCGCTCCTTATTGTCTGAACTGAAATCATCTAATGCCCACACAATACGATTGCATCGTGGTCGGGAGTGGTCATGCAGGCTGCTCTCCAGCCTCTGAGGATGTACATTCCAAGTGTGGGGTGCAGAAACGGTTCCATTTCTCCGGAAGGAGGAATCATGATGGGTTGTCGAGATGAGAACATGGAGGAACTTGCAGACACTGAGCTCCTTGAGAAAGGGCTCAAGGACAAAGAGGGCTTCTTCAAGACGGTGCGCAATTACAAAACGGCAATCCGAAATCATCGAGCTGAACACCAAACTCTTGGATGGGACCCTATGGTCTTTAAGATGAACTCTCGACTCAGTCTACCACGGTAGAAAGTCAAACAATTCCAGGGGGAGCTACCGTTGAACTTCATTGTAGTCAAGAAAGGCGGTCCTATCATGTGGCAATCATAGACTGAGTCCAATCGTCAACCGTGAACGTAGAAGCAGGAGTTGATAGTTAATTGAGCACCAGGAAGAACGATTGGTTTGCCAGATCTTGAAGATCAACATTGTTAATCAGTGCACCTGTCCCTCAGCCAAGCCCATCAACGAATCCACGAGTCTTTGACTGTCTTTCACCAGTTCACTGATGGATGTTCAGAGTTAACGTTCGCCAACTGCCTCCAGCTGCCAACACTCAGGCCTCAGGCCCCAGGCCCGGGTGTGCGCGGACTTCAAGTTGGAGATCCTATAAAGTAGTAGGTAAGTACTACGCATACGTACGCCGCGAGCAATGCTCCGTAGCTAATTATAGCTTGACAAGTGAACTATAAAAAGACACTAAATCGATCCATTACGTCAACAATTATGAGCGTCTGTTCGTGTCTTCCTCTTTCATTGACAAGCCACGAGGCAGTTGACCTAGTCACGGTGGATTGCTGAGAACCGTGACAGTAAGCGCTGCAATCCTACGGCTAGCAAAGTCTTGGACACTGGTCACGTCTCCGTCTAGTCGTATCGAATTTCTCGCTGTCTTCCTCGAGCTACTCGCGTCAACTCCGCAATTGCCAATCACATAATTATAGGCTATAAAATCGAGCAAGCGGTGGAGTCGCTGTTGCAGACTTAAAACTTCTCCATCTGCATATATTGCGACTTTGCAATGGGATTTGCAGACTTGGTCAACGCTGCAATCACCGCTAGCCATGAACAGGACGCAGAAGGGAACTCTGCCAATTCGTCGGGACATGGCAAACACGATGACACCGGTAACGTTGACTCACGGACTTCGATAGACCAGCACATGAGCCGCGTTGAATCACCAGCCCCAATTTCACCTCCCAGTTCTCCGCTCAGGACACCGAGGACTGCTCTCCCTGACACACCCTCAAACCGTACAGGACCACCGCGCTCCTTGTCTTTCAGCTTCTCCCACCCTAGTTCTTCATCCATCCCCCGTCAAATGTTTGTCAATGGCCAGCAGGAATACACCGACGCCTTTGAAAATGATTTGGGAGATCATGGAAGAACCTCGTTTCAACATAATTCAAGTTCATCAAGCTTCCGCGGTGCGTTCGAGCTTAGCCCTTCCCTGGGAAAAGCGACCGTAGATAAGAAGGGCAAAGCAAGAGAGAGCAAGCTGTTCGATCGGTCCCACGATTCCCCAATAGAGGAGAAGCCGAATTCAATATTTCCGGAACCTTCTAACACAATAATTGAAGAGGAAGAAGAGAAGGTAGAGCGGAAACCCATGTCTCGCCATCAAACAATAGGACCCACTCGCAAGCCCACTGATCCTCCTCCTCGGGACCTCCAGCGCTCTCAATCTCACCCTCCCCGAGTAGAGACCAAGAAGCCAGGAACATCCGCAAAATGGAGCAAATTACGTGGTCTCTTACCTTCTGTCATTCGCACAGGGCAATCTGTCGGTCCTGCACCACATTCTGTGGTTACCTCGCATGAGGTAAATATCACGGACGAGCTTATTACGGGCGGTTTGTCGACATTGATGCTGCATCTGTGGTTCGAACATGACGAGAAAGGACACCGGCGCATCCCTGTCCTCCTTCATCGTCTGCGCATACGGATTAGTGACAGTCTACATCCCATGCAAGCGCATAAAGCTGTGTTTCGTATCGAGTGTGAATATGCCAACGGCGCAGTGCGTTGGGTGGTCTACAGGCAGCTTCGTGATTTCATTTCCATGCATACGCATTACGCTGTGGCCAATGCATTCAGCAGTCAAAAGGATGCATTGCCGGAGTTTCCTCGAACTAGTAAGAGTTGCACACTTGTCGATATTTGCAAGTACTAAGCTGTTGTACAGGCCTTCCTTACTTTAAATTCTTGAAGAAGGAATCCGGCGGGCGTCATGTCAAGCAAACTGATTTCGCTCGTTTGCAACGAGAAGCGCTAGAGGACTACCTGATTAAGCTTATACGCGCTGTTGTTCGTCTGTCCTCATATGTCGCGATTACCCTTCACAAACAGCACTTTTAGATGTTTCACCCAACCTCAAACCGAATCGCAGGCTTCCTTGAGATAAGCGCGTTATTCATCACTCTTGCTCAGTCTGGCGGCGCACAATATAAAGCTGGATACCTGCGTATTTCTACAGAAGGAAATGGCCCTGAGTTTGGGCGAAAGTCAGCACGTTGGCGCGAGCGGAAGGAGGCTCGGTGGTGTGCCGTTCGCGAAAGTTATATTGTAGTCGTAGAGGACCCAGGAGAGGCAAGCCAAGCGTCAACTCACTGTCAATCTTTCTGCTACTAATATGCATGACTTAGATCGTAATTTGGGACGTCTTCCTTTTTGATACAGATTTCAAGATCATTCGGCCCACGCGGTACTATCGCAAGGGTTTGCACCTCTTGCGCCCAGAACCAGAGGACCGTGAATTCCTTATTGGCGTCAACGAGACACAGGCGCAGGCGCAGACGCAGTCACAGACTCAGACCCAGACTCAGACGCAGTACCCACAGGCCGAGGTTGACTGTCTCTCTGCAATAGATAGCATCAAAAGTCGCCTGTCGCGGGCCCTTCGATTTGCTAATAGGTCATCGCCAAATATTGCAGCCAATACGGGTAGTGAGGTACAGGGCAATGGCGATGTTGCCACTGGAGTGGGGCATACGAGCACAGATACAATCAGTTCTGGCAGCTCCGTATCATCTCGCCCTGCGACACCGATGTTGGATCCGTCTACGCACGTGAATCCTCTGAAGGGCAGCTCTGCCGTGGAGGGCAGAGAGACCCAAGCGGAGACAAACGAGCAGGAGAAGAGGAAGAGGAAGAAACGGTCGGATGATGTCTCAAAGCATACGTTCTATGTTGAGAATTCGCAAATGCGGTTGAAATTGTTTGCAAGAAATGAGGTCGGTTCCTCAAATCTAGTGACTATACATTACTGACGAGGTATGCTCGCGGGCTTAGCGTCAAATGTTGCAATGGATTACCGCCCTAGAAAAGGCTGCTGCTACGACCCCTTTCGTCGCAAAAAATCGCTTCGACAGTTTCGCCCCAGTGCGATTGAACGTCGCTGCTCAGTGGCTTGTCGATGGAGTTTGTGTCTCCCTTTCTCCATATCATCTGGCATTGACAACGAGGAACAGCGCGACTACATGTGGAATTTGTCCCGGGCTATACTTATGGCGCAAGAGACTATCTATATTCACGACTGGTGGCTGTCCCCCGGTACGTTCATAGCTCACCATGGCGGTCACCTTATTTATGCAGTGCAGAGCTGCAACTGAGGCGTCCTAATAAGCTCAAGTATCGCTTGGATCACCTCCTTGAAAGAAAGGCCAAGGAAGGCGTCAAAATCCACATAATTCTATAGTAAGAACTTTTCGAATGTCAGTACCTAGTGTTGCTGATCTACTTCTAGCCAGGAAGTATCGAACCGAACTACCCCCACAGATAGCAAGTAAGGACTAGCAAGCGTGTCGTAGATCTTGTGGACTTACCCTACTATAAAGCTACGCGAAGCAACGTCTCGTGTCACTACACCCGAACATCATGGTTCAACGTTCCCCTTCACACTTCCAAACTGGTACATTCTACTGGGCGCACGTAAGGGTTTCCTACCCAAGAACGCGGATACCACTGATATATCCATAACAGCATGAGAAGCTCTGCGTTATTGACGAAACTATCGCATTCATGGGAGGGATTGACCTATGTTTCGGAAGGTGCGAAGTCAATTCAGACGTCGACCAGCTTTCATATCACTCAACAATGGTCTAAAGATGGGATACGCCACAGCATGTCATCGTCGATGACCCGGAGTTGTCGGCAGAAAAGATTGAAATCTGGCCAGGTATGTTTTAACCATACGGTTAGAGAACTGGCTAACCATGCATCCCAGGCAAAGACTACAGTAACCCACGGGTCCTTGATTTTCATGCGCTAAATAAACCCTTGGAGGACATGTATGACAGGACGAAGGTGCCCCGGATGCCTTGGTACGATGTTTTTTGTTTGAGGGAAACATTAACATTCATAACTTGTCCTTTAAGGCATGACGTAGGCATGCAAGTCGTGGGCCAGCCTGCTCGCGATATGGCTCGACACTTTGTCGAAAGGTTTGTTCCCGCATTTATTCACGCAAAGGACATTGTTGACTTACCGAGCTACAGATGGAATTATTTACTCCGGTTGAAAGTGTGTTTGTCGCCTGATAGATCTCCTGCTATTGGCTAACTCATGTTAGAACCATTCTCGAAACATGCCTTTCCTGCTACCTCCGCCCGAGTACAAACCCGGAGAACTTGCCGCGATGGGTCTGACAGGCACATGTGAGATGCAAATTTGCAGATCAGCCGGTCCTTGGTCGCTCGGTACTCCCAATCGAACTGAACATTCGATTCAGAATGCATACTTGAAAGGTCAGGCACCATGGCTTGCACACGAGGGGTTGCTAACACAATCTTTAGCTATCGAGTTGTCAGAGCACTTTGTGTACATTGAGAATCAATTCTTCATAACTTCGTAAGCACTCTCTGCTCAGCCATCACTGCTTGCTGATTTGTCTCGTAGGACCGTCGTGAATGATGTCAAGATTGAGAATCGGATTGGCGATGCTTTGGTAGACCGGATCACCCGCGCACATCGCGAGCGCACTCCGTGGAAATGTTGCATCGTCATTCCCCTTCTCCCTGGCTTCCCCCTTCCCATTGATCACAGCGACGCCAGCGCAGTTAGTCGGGAAAGATCTTTTCTGAAATCTTGCACTGAATTGATGTGTCAGATTCGAATCATCGTCGAGTGTCAGAACCGCACTATCTGCCGTGGGCCCAACTCAATATTTGCTCGACTTCGTAAAGAGGGTATAGATGTGCGTGGATGAGTTTTACCAACGGGACCGCTGTGCTTATCGCTGGTTGATTAGCCCGATGACTATATCTCTGTGTTTTCGCTGAGAAACTGGGCCAAAATGCGGAACGGTGTATTGGCTACGGAGATAGTAAGTGTCTAGGCTTGTGCTTTCGAACCACCTAACCACGCTATAGGTATATATCCATGGCAAGGTATACATGCTGATTTAATATTTGAAGCTGAATGCTCAGATCCATCGATCTCATCAGGTTTGTATCGTGGATGACCGTCTGGCGATCATTGGCAGCGCAAACATCAATGAGCGTTCCCAACGTGGCGAACGAGACTCGGAAGTTGCTGCAGTCATTAGAGACACTGACCTGATTGATGGGTATGACTTTCTCAGTCATGCCTTACAGGTTTCTGATGGCGTTGATACACCAGGACGATGGCAGGAAACCCGTTCAAAGTCGGGCGATTTGCACACACTTTGCGAATGCGGCTGATGCGAGAGCATCTTGGCGTGGATGTCGACGCCATGACTGAACATGACCCTATGCCCCACGAAGATACGAAACCTGACCAGGAACAAGAGGTGTGGGACCCAGAATTGGAGCAAGAGCATGGTGATCGCGACGTTACTCAGGTCAAGCATGCTTCTATGCGGAATATGCTCCACACCGCAGGCGACGGTATCAAACACGGTTCGTGTTCATCGCAGTCTCGAAGACTTGACAGACTGACCTTCGATTAAGGTGGCGACGCAATTGCTTCGAGTACTTCCCGGCACCTCAAGAAACCTACTGGGAAGGCAGAACCCCACGAGCCAAGCAATCCGGAGCAAGATGGATCCCTGGAGGAGGAGCGATTGACACACAGCCGTGAAGGCACCAAGGCGCCAGGGTTCTCCAGCACGATGGTCCCTACTGTGGAAGAGACAGTTGTTCAAGAACGCCTGCCTCCGGCTTCGCAGGCTGAGAACCCTCCTTTGAAAGACAAGATAGAACATCGGCTGGGCGAAAACTCTGACCCCGTCGAGAAGCGCACAGCTGATGGAGAAGCAAACGGTGCTCCGGCGCTTGCGTCAAGGAACCCGCAGACCTATAACGAACCACTTCATGTGGAGTCGGGAGTCAATGACCCGGACGAGCTTGAGAAGACTGCTCCTGGAACAAGGGCCCTGCCCAGGAAGCATCTCGCTAGCAAGGCCAGCAATAAAACGTGGGTTGTGCCGACCCCCGCTCCCCATGTAGATCCAGAGGGTTTCGAGGACCCGATATCTGATGCATTTTGGAAGAACGTATGGAAGGCTTGCGCTGTGCATAATGTATGCTATCTTTGCTGTTTTTTTTGGTGAATGTTCTTATTCTTTTTCGCAGACTGAGATTTATCGCAAAGTTTTTCACGCTGTCCCTGACGACCTCATTACAACGTGGAAGCAATACAAAGAATTTGTCAGTCACCACGAACGCTATTCTAAGCCGGTTCGTACAATTGAATCTTCTCTCCGTTACGTGTCTTTAGAATACTCTTATACCATAGGCAACGGGTAGCCATTCGTGCGACCCAGCATCACGAGTACCCTCAGAGACGGCGCACGAGGATGGGCCATATCAAAAGGGAGGATTGGCGAATGCTGCTGAGGAGAGCCGCGAGACCTTTCATACCAACGACGGGAGCGACGGCGCCCCCAGAGGTTCTCACCCCCTAGACAAGGATATTCGTGGCCGAAAACCTGTGAATGGGGTAGAGCCTTTCACCAAGCAGGAGCGAGATGAAATGGAGGAGCTGTTGAAAGATGTCCGTGGGCACCTTGGTGAGTGCCATCCATTCCCTCCTTTATCATCGACTTCTTATATTCTCGAAGTTGTGTATCCCACGCGATTCTTGGAAGTAGAGGATAATGCAGGGAACTTCGTGTTCAACGCAGACAGGTATGTTGAATCAAATGTCGTATTTCTTGCTTGTTGTTCATAGTTGCCAGGATGCTGCCTCTCCAGATCTATGACTGAACTTTCTTCGCACCATCGCTTTCACGGACTCATTTCACATAAATAATCAACAATGTATATATATTACGCGCACTCCCAACATATGTTTTTAAGGTTCCATTGTTTTTCAAGCTGTCTCCATGTCGAAGACCATCTTGTCTGGGAGTTCTTCCACTATGTGATCTAGTTTGTTGACAATATTGATATACGCACCTTCAAGGTACGGAGCGGAGAGGGCCCGGTAATCAGTATGCGCCCTATGCGGGCGGAATTCATCCAGTTTCTCTTTACTGTCAAACAAAAAAATCGCCCCTAGAGTACGTCGGATAACAAGTCTTGAGCTTCTGTGAAACAACCCACCCATGTCATAGCCATGGTCGAGGGGGTTGAGGATCTTCTCTCCGGTGACAACGCTCTGAAGCGCGGATATCCTTGACGGAAGCTCCTTGATAAGTGCCTTCACATACTCTCTTTGCTCGGGGGTCGCCTCTGACTTGAACTTGTACAGGACTGCGCTGGCTGTGTCAATCCCGACTCGGAGTAAGGTGAGGGGGTTCCAATGGAAAGTCACCTATATTGTAGATGGCCATCATGGACTCAGATGGAACCGGGAAGTGAATGGTTGCTCAAAACCTCGGACGTATGATACGCCAATTTGGATTCGTGAGCATTCTCTATTTATGTGCGACACGGTGCACTGCATGTCAGTGCATGATAACGAATTGGATGGATGTGGCGAAATCTCACACACGTACTTCTCCACACAAGAAACACTCGCAACCCAAAGGACCAACCTAGGTCAATTTCCTAGTGTTCAGCTCTGAGCAGATGCGCATGATAATTGATATTTGCAGTGGATTTAACCATCTACATGTAAGTAGAACAGCTACGTAGTTTGCCCCTCTAAGCTGTCTCAATATCAAAAATGAGTTTGTCTGCTCTCTATTCAGTTCAAGCAATATTTGAACAGCAACATAACCTACCCTCAATATAAGGCGCCGTCAACGCCTGGTAATCGATATGTGCCTTGTGTGGTCGATACTCGTTCAACTTGGCTACGCTCTCAAATAGAAAAATAACCCCTAAAGGGCGCCTGTCAACCACTCGGTTTGCAGATGCTGACAAGAAATGACGTACCATCATCATAGCCATGTCCAAGAGGGTTGAAGACTGATTCGCCAGTGACGAGGCCCTGTATCGCGGGTATCTGGGACGGAAGGGTACTGACAGAATCCTTCACGCTCTGACGTTGTTCAGGGGTCGCTTCAGGCTTGAACTTGTATAAGACTGTGCTATTTGTTAGATCACTTGAAGTTGGCTTGAAGGACTCGGAGGGTCTACCTATATGGTGAATCGTCATGATGAACTGGAAGGAGGAACGAGAGGATGTCCGAGTCCAGTCACATGAATGTGTATTTAAGCAGAACGGTACGGTGCGGAATACTATTTATAGTATGATTCAGCGGCCAGAGACCGGGACGGGCGATGTATGGGAGGAACGACTCTTCTGTTAAATGGGTTGTCACCAGAAAAAAAAACTCGGCTCAGTGATTAGGGAGGTTGTGGAGATGACAACAGACTTTTAGCATTGCAATTGCCTTCCAGTCGACAGTGCCATCGTGGCTCCCAGCGCTCACTCCGACTCATGCATGAGCGCATTATGGCACTTTTATCATCTAAACAGCGAGTGCTATCTGCGATGGAAGCTTTTGGGATATATGATGGCCTGTTTCTGTTGAATTCTGGTGTCATCTCGGGCTTGAATTCGTAAAGAACTGTCCACTGGGCGTCAGGCTTCATTCAGCCTGACTCAAAGCCGTTCGTCACCGAGTGTACCTGTCTCACGGCTCACGGATGTGGTGAATGGTATGATGATGTTGCAGAAAAAAATCGTCACAACCCGAAGGTGATTCCGTATATTTAGCCAACAACCCTATAGTAGTAGAGCATCCGTGTCAAACACTATGTTTCCCCTCTAGGCTGTCTCGATATCAAAGATGAGTTTATCTGCACCTTGTTAAGTCAAAGCAATCTCAAAACAACAACAACACCTACCTTCGACATAAGGCCCCACGAACGCCTGAAAATCAAGATGCGCCTTGTGCGGACGATACTCGTTCAACTTGGCTACGCTCTCAAATAGGAAAATAACCCCTGAAGCACAGTCTTATCAGTCATCAGTCACCGGCTTGCAGACAAGAAACGTCGTGCCTCCGTCATAACCATGTCCAAGGGGGTTGAACACTGTTTCGCCAGTAATGATGCTCTGGATGGCGGGTATCTGCGATGGAAGGGTGTTGGCGGAGTCCCTCACACTCCGTCTTTGCTCTGGGGTTGCTTCAGGCTTGAACTTTAATAGGACTGCGGTGTGTGTTAGAATCTCGACTTGAAGCTGGTTGGGAGGAGGGTCTACCTATGTGATGAATCGTCATGATGGATCGGTCGAAGGGTCGAAGGAAGGGATATCCCAGTCCAGTCACATGGATGTGTATTTATGTTCGGTGCGAACTCTATTTATATGAAACGGACTGAACCAGCGGTGGGACTGAAATTGATTTATTGGAAAAATGTTGTATGCGAGAGGGATGCATGGGGCCCGGGGGCTAAATCTTTGGATAAATGGATTGATGATCAAACGAAGTCAAGGGCCTCTCGAGACGACAGCGGACTGCCACCATCATTGCATTATTAGAATGCCAATCCAATTCACACTGCCACTCACTTCGATTCGATATCGAATATGAGCTTATCTAGAGTTTCATGAGCCCCCCTCAAGCCATACAAGAGATCGCGCAACACGCACCTTCAGCAGCCTCCACATGAACCATATCCGCCGGACCACATAGAAGGAGGATAGCCGTTCTTCTATATCATGGAGGACAGTAAAACACGCGGGTGGTGCAAAAGCTCATACCCATATATGAACGCATTAGGCGCTGTTTGACCCCTTATAATGGCAAGTGTTTCTGAGGATGGAATCTCTGATGAACTTTCTGTGCGGAGACAAGTCATATATTTAGACTGAAACGATTTCGGGATCAATTCCATGACTTGCCGGGGTGCATGGACACGCCAGGGCCCAGGTGAGAATAACACTTGTCTACACAGAAAAAATGGTTACAATCGAAGGTGATTCATAACACAGTAGCCTCAGCCATCACCTGTATGAGCAGTACAACATATTATCAAACCAGTTTTCCCTTTATGCTGCCTCGATATCAAAAATGAGTAGACCTGCGCCCCATCATTCAATCAAAGCAATCTCCAGATAACAACAAAGCATACCTTCCATAAAAGGCCCTGCGAATGCCTGATAATCAAGATGCGCCTTGTGCGGGCGATATTCATCCAGCTTGGCTACGCTCTCAAATACAAAGATAACCCCTGAAGCGAAATCGTATCAACCACCTACAATTTGTTTACAAACCAAAATGCCGTACCTTCGTCATAGCCGTGTCCAAGGGGATTGAACACTGTTTCACCAGTGATGAGGCTCTGGATTGCGGGTATCTGTGATGGAAGGGCGCTAACAGAGTCCCTCACGCTCTGCTTTTGTTCTGGGGTTGTCTCAGGCTTGAACTTGTACAGGACTGTGCTGTGAGCTAGAATCGAGTTGGTTTGAATGTTTTGGAGGAGTATTTACCTATGTGGTGAATCGTCATGGTTGAATCAAAGGGATGAGAGAAAATGATATCCTAGTCCAGTTACTTCATGCGTTCGAACGGATTAAGGAGCTTCTTGAAACGACAATGAACTGCCACCACGTGCGTGAAGTTGCGATTTTATGCCAGCCAGCCATAATTGCAAGAAAGTTCAAATCGATATCAGTGCTGCTTATATACTACATGGAGCGGGGGTGCTGTACAAGCTCACCTCCATCATACCCATGCATGTGTAAAAGCATCAGGCACGGTCGTTCCTGTTATCACAGCTGGCGCTGAATGGCGGGTATCTGCGAGGGAAGGGCGTTGATGGAATCTCTGATTTGGCAACTGTTTTTGTTCTGGCGTCGTTTCGGACTTGACTTCGCAAAGAACTGCAGCCCTGCATGTGCTGCATACAGGTTAGCACTGATCCAAATAAGACTCACGTAAGTAGGTGGTAAATTTAAACTACGTAGCGCTCAGTTGGCAGTGACAAGTCGATGCTATGCTGGCAATATGATGAAATACCTCTCGAGGATGTGTCAGTCAATAACAAACAACCTCTTTACACACGTTGGCGGCAGCTCCAGTGTGAATGAGTCACTATAGTGAGTCGTGACCTCGATGGACTAATTCTCGCTACGGCAGCCTTAGCCCTTGACCATGGGTCTTGTTGTGCCATGGCCGTTTTGACCTCAACCGTGACCAACGGTTAATGGTTTTTAGTGGGCCTTAGGAAATTGCCGCATCTGTGCCGCAACCTGCTGATTCTGTAATCGGGTGCGCCTATAACATCATACTACTCCACCACTGCACCGACACCAAACCACCCTTCTTATCAAGTCCACTTGCAGCACCGTTATAAGCAGCTGCGCGAAACTTGGTGAGACCACTCAACGAGTTTCACACAGGCTCACGCTTGGCTGTTATCGTGGGAAAGTGCTTCAACTTCCTCCCAGATCAAACAAGTTCGCAGGCCTCAAGACTCTTATGTTATTCTCCCCCCGACCACGATCGCTTGCACGCCCAGGCCTGTGGAGCAGAGGTGAAGATACCATTGTGCTGAGCGCTTTTCCTATGTTGCGTTGGAGTGGATAAAGTGGGCCACCAAAATCGTCAATATGCCATCCAATGACTACGTTTGCGACCGAGGGCCGCAGGCCTGCGGGTGTCGAAGATCAACTGTATTATGAACGCTCCCTCAGCAGATTCGTGAGTCTCAGTCTGCGTCACTTGGTCTGGTATATATGCATATATTCACATTGTCACATTTATTACGAGTTGAATGCAGATTTATGGAACTCATTTGCAGTCCTTAGACCCTTCCTGTTACTATCGAGGTCTTTGTTTTTGGCGAGGACGCTCGTTATGACACCATGGTGCACCTGCATTCAATATCCCCCCTAAATCCAGCCTGCTGGAACCGCTCATGTTAGCTCCTTCTCTTCGCTTTGCCTCAATTTCGTCTCTCGTTCGCTTGCTCTTGCCCGGTGCTCTTTCGCTTTCCTTCAGCTGGTTCTTGTCTCGTATATTTTTTCACCCCTCACAGTTCACATGATTCTTGCACGTATCATCTTCATGGTGCTCTCGTTCTCACCGCCTTCGTTGTGGCTACCACGATCAACATTCATGTTGTACTGTACAATGTACACAATGAACCACATATTTGGTCGAACCCTGTTCTCATATTTCTGAACCCCTTAATTGCCAAGTGCGATGGGAACAAAAACGGCCACAGAATGACCGGAACGGCGATGTTCTTCTGTTCATTCAGCTTCTCAATTTGCTATGAGGAAGCACCAATGAATATACTTCAACAGAATCCACTCTACAAGACGCACGCGCATCTCTGATGGAAACGGTATACCTGGTACAAGATTACGTGCTCTCACAAACACACGATGAGCGTCACGCAATCAGCTCTCCAGCGAGCCTTTCGCTCAGATAACCCTGAACTTAGACTAGATGCAGTATAGAATAGAATACAGAGTATGATCTACTGTACATATGTTCGGTGTCACATTCAAGTTGTGACTGAAATATTCCATGACGGATCAATTGCTGGAATACGATCATCGCAGTGCTAAGGTCTGCAAGTGTCGATTTCAGTAAGTGCGAGGAACGGAAAGTACATTGAACAGACTCACTGCTCGGCACTTTTTCCAGTGTCGTCCATGTGCCATGTGACTCAAATCAAGCTCAGGACCTCTGGGTATCACTAATGCAGTCCCAGTACTATAAAATGAATGTCGAGAAGCAGGTGGTACCCAGAATAACAGCCTATGTTTGGGCCCTACCACCCATCCACTGTCATCATTCAGTGACCAACGGGTTGAACTGCGGTCGTCATGGGATTCTTCCTCCATTAACTCAGAAGTGTCGCACAGCGCATGGATGGAGTTGGGCGAGAAGCAAATGAAGTGATTATCTGAGAATGCAGAATGATCTGATTCGCCGGTGCACTGTTTCAATGGCTGCTTTGTCACTGCACGCCACAGCCGAACAGTCTTATCCCCCGAACCAGAGACGATGCGAGTTCCATCCGGCGAGAACGAGACTGATTGAACTGACACAGTGTGCCCCTGCAAGGGCTCGCCGACTGGCTGCCCCGTTGCTGCATCCCACAGCCGAACAGTCTTATCCGCTGAACCACTGACGATGCGAGTTCCATCCGGCGAGAACGAGACTGATAGAACTGAATCAGTGTGCCCCCGCAAGGGCTTGCCGACTGGCTGCCCCGTTGCTGCATCCCACAGCCGAACAGTCTCATCCCAAGAACCACTGACGATGCGAGTTCCATCCAGCGAGAACGAGACTGATTGAACTGAATGAGTGTGCCCTCGCAAGGGCTCGCCGACTGGCTGCCCCGTTGCTGCATCCCACAGCCGAACAGTCTCATCCCAAGAACCACTGACGATGCGAGTTCCATCCGGCGAGAACGAGACTGATTCAACCCAATGAGTGTGCTCCCGCAAGGGCTCGCCGACTGGCTGCCCCGTTGCTGCATCCCACAGCCGAACAATGTTATCCCTCGAACCACTGACGATGCGAGTTCCATCCGGCGAGAACGAGACTGATTTAACTGAATGAGTGTGCCCCCGCAAGGGCTCGCCGACTGGCTGCCCCGTTGTTGCATCCCACAGCCGAACAGTGTTATCCGCTGAACCACTGACGATGCGAGTTCCATCCGGCGAGAACGAGACTGATTGAACTGAATGAGTGTGCCCCCGCAAGGGCTCGCCGACTGGCTGCCCCGTCGCTACATCCCACAGCTGAACAGTGTTATCCGCTGAACCACTGACGATGCGAGTTCCATCCGGCGAGAACGAGACTGATTGAACTGAATGAGTGTGCCCCCGCAAGGGCTCGCCGACTGGCTGCCCCGTTGCTGCATCCCACAGCCGAACAGTGTTATCCGCTGAACCAGTGACGATGCGAGTTCCATCCGGCGAGAACGAGACTGATTCAACTGGATCAGTGTGCCCCCACAAGGGCTCGCCGACTGGCTGCCCCGTCGCTGCATCCCACAGCCGAACAGTGTTATCCCTCGAACCACTGACGATGCGAGTTCCATCCGGCGAGAACGAGACTGATTCAACCCAATGAGTGTGCCCCCGCAAGGGCTCGCCGACTGGCTGCCCCGTCGCTGCATCCCACAGCCGAACAGTGTTATCCCTCGAACCACTGACGATGCGAGTTCCATCCGGCGAGAACGAGACTGATTCAACCCAATGAGTGTGCCCCCGCAAGGGCTCGCCGACTGGCTGCCCCGTTGCTGCATCCCACAGCCGAACAGTCTTATCCCAAGAACCGCTGACGATGCGAGTTCCATCCAGCGAGAACGAGACTGATAGAACTGGATAAGTGTGCCCCCGCAAGGGCTCGCCGACTGGCTGCCCCGTCGCTGCATCCCACAGCCGAACAGTGTGATCCCTCGAACCACTGACGATGCGAGTTCCATCCGGCGAGAACGAGACTGATTGAACTGGATGAGTGTGCCCCCGCAAGAGCTTGCCGACTGGCTGCCCCGTCGCTGCATCCCACAGCCGAACAGTGTTATCCGCTGAACCAGTGACGATGCGAGTTCCATCCGGCGAGAACGAGACTGATTGAACTGAATAAATGTGCCCTCGCAAGGGCTCGCCGACTGGCTGCCCCGTTGCTGCATCCCACAGCCGAACAGTGCTATCCGCCGAACCAGTGACGATACGAGTTCCATCCGGCGAGAACGAGACTGATGTAACTGAATCAGCGTGCCCCCTGAGCACGGTCTGAACAGCCGGCCAGTTCATGTCACGTCCAGATACTACACGAAGAGTATTCGGAAACCGTGCAGAAAGCATTCTTGATAGCGGAGAGTTGACAGGTGAGAATGGGAGTGCTGATACATACAGATGTGGCGTGCTGTATAAAATCATGCCGCCGAAGACTTGAATAAACCTCTGTACGTCTATCGCAGTCGATGAGATGTCTTTGAATTCGGAATGGCCCTGTGGTTGCGCGTGAGCGCTGCAACTGGCACTCAGTGGCAATCTACTCACCTTCAGCCACTGGGGAATGAGTGAAAGGGCATAAAATGCACCGGTGAGCGCATTGACGAGGGCGAGTGACTCGAGCCAGAAAAATAACCGCTCGTGGTCGAAGAATGATTTTACTTCTTTCGCGAGGTCCTTATCGAAGACTGCGATTCGTACGTGTGAGGTCCAAAATCGAGATGAATAGGACAGATGTGGGGGAATACATGTTTCAATTCGGTCTTGCAGTCCGGGATCATCGCAATTAGGAAGATACGAAGACGTTAAATCACAGATATTGAAGCGAAGACCGTGTTTCATCACTTCAAGTGACGCGAATGCAAGGTCGTGCTGCGCCTTAGACATGTCGATGAAAAACTCTTTACTATGCTGTTGGTCCGTCAGGAAATCGCGGAAGGATGCGTGAAGGGGTCGGATTGGGGAATCTGGGTTTGTGGTGCCGCTGAGGAGGGAACCCATGGATTTTACCATGAGCCCCATGTCATAATGATCCTCTCTGGTTGGAAAATGAAGCCTCATGGCGTTCAGGGAAGCTAAAGGAAGGGGTTCAACTGTGCCTAGTATTTGTTCCATCACTGAGCGAAATCTCGCTAGCACCGTCGAATTCAGATTCTGCGAATGCTGGACATTGGTAGACGGATCCCTGTGCATGATGTTTGATAAAATGAGGCGATACATGTCATACAACAGTATGCTCCTCTCAGCAGGATTGCGTGACACCACAGCCTCGTAGCATTCCTTTGGAGATAGCCAAGCATGGGACTCTTTGATGTATCCGCAAGCGAGACGCGCCCACTCGAAAAGTCCATCAGCTTTCTCAGCGAGGACTGCAAACTCTCTGTCCTGAAAATCCAACCCTTCCAACTCCTCGGATATGTAAGCTTTGATGTCGCGCATTGCGACTGCTGCTGGAATATCATCCATTGACATTTGGCGAATATGTTGAACACCCTGAAACTGCTCATTGATGTCACTGAGCGGGCGAGAGGTAACGATGAAGCGGAAGTTGTTTGGGAGGTCTGTGATTTTGGGAACGGCAGTGTTGCGGTGTTTACCAGCTAGAATGTGGAGGAGCTCTTTCCGTGTCTCTACTCCACCGCTCTCGTCCAGTGCATCGATCATGATCACGATGGGTCCTATAGTTGATTTGGATGACTTCCCCAGTGGTTCGATAAGAAGCTTCTGCCATTGCTGGAGGATATCCGCTGTAGTCTTGAGGGAGGTCGAGTTCTGGACCGCATCTGCCAATGCTCGCTTCATTTCCGGGTCACGGTCAGCTAGGTCGCGCGCGATCGTGGAAAAGATCTTTTCATGGCGACGATCTGCTTCTCGCTGGCGGTCAAAAGAGAAACATGAACCAAGCCCTCCCATGTCGCTGAACGACTTAGCGATGGTGTGAGCGATGGCCGATTTTCCCTTGCCTGCAGGGCCAGATAACCACAGCACCCGTGGAACGTTGTCCCCGGTGCTGTTGACCCATTCGGTGATCTCGGAAAGGATTTCTGTGCGTGTCCCTTCAAGGCATTGTTTCCTGGTGTCTAGTCCTGCGGCCACTGCATAAGTTATACCGCTGAGGTCCAGTGTTTCTCCTGGAAAGATATGAATATATGTCAAGTCACAAGCACGTCTTAACCCTTACCCGCACGGTGGATGTGTATAGCTACGTCGTGAGCAACTTGGTCCCGGAAGTTTTGCATGAGCTTATCCAACACGTCGCTGTACTGTTGAATCGTATCATTCGTTTCGGAGATAACGTTCTTTCCGAGTCTCTTCCCTGTGATAATGGTAGAAGCTTGAGACGGTGCAAAGCGCAACAGCTCGTAAGACTCACAAAAGCTCTTGGTCTCCGCATAATTTTTGATAAAATGGGCGCATTCACGGATCTGCTGAGAGATCTGCCCAAGGATAATGCGCATTGACGAGATTCGGCCAAGCATGTCGCCTTGTGTCACGAAGCTGTAGACTTGACCCAACTTCTCAAGAAGTTTGAGTACCGCGCTGTCGCGATCCACTTGAGCTAGAATAATCTGCACAAATGGTTACTGAGTGGGAGTTAGGAAGAGGACAAGTAAACATACTTTGGATGCACAAGACAAGATGCCCAGTGCCATCTTTGCATATGGATGCACCTATGGAACGAGATTAGTTCAGTTCTGATCGAGAGGAGGGCCCATACATTCGCGATCTGCTCGATCACAGTGTCAAATATCCTGAGGGGTTGGAGATATGTGTCCTGGAACTTGTCCGCAGTGTCGAGATTCTGTTGTGCAGATTGGCCAGCAGATGCCACACTTATCACAGGTCCTGAAAGTGGATGCATGCGCTTTGCAGTCTCCTGTGCACCCTCAAGTGCTGATTGGGGATCAGCCTCCACTTCCAAATCAGACGGAACAGCCTGAACCTGCACGAAAATTTAGAGAGAACGCAGAGACTAAAGGGGAAGTTTGAGAACTTACCTCGATCTCTGGGGTCGATGAAGCAGGTTCATGATAGACGTCATTCGGGGGATTAGGACTGCGGCTGCCGGAATCCTTCGAGCGCTGTTGTGCAATATTAGCCGTATTCCAGGACATTCAGTATGCATTCACATGGACTCACAGAGGTTCCCAGGTTATTCACACCGTCCTTAACCTTCCCCAGAAATCGACGAACTTTGCTACGGGGTCGGTGCTAGACGAAGGATGCATCAATTGGGGTGAACCAAGTGATCCCGAAGAGTCACGTACGGAGCCTCCACTGGCTGTTGCTTCGTTAGATGTGTGGGTTTCTTGAGTCAATGATTTGCCTTTTTTCATTGTTGTGAATAGTAGTCGATGATTTGAATCAATCTGTAGCGAAGTAAGATAAGGAATGCATGTCCTACATTGTTTGCCTCGAGGCTTTATTTGCTGTAGTGTTGACTGCGAGCGCTATACGAACAAGTATAGGCATTCGGCCCTCAATATTCAACGTTCAACCGCGTCGAGTCTCTGCGCGTTGAATCGGATGCTGTCGCAGATCAACTTAGCTGTACATCGAGCCTGGACAATAGCCCTTGATTGAGCGTAGGCAAGTCATGGTGTATGTATCTCGAATATTGATAAAGTAGTCTCTGACCTTCAAGTCAAGTCAAGTTCATCCTCGGCGATGATCCTCGGGTATTCGCCGTTACCGAATTCCGATTGGAACTTTTCACTCCTTGTTCCAACCACAACAACAAGCACCTTCCTCAAAAATGCGAACGAACAGATCGATCTCCCCCGCGGCGAGGAACAACAACTCGAATGGGTATTAATATTTGGAAATGTCGCCATGCATCTAGCTACTTGCTGGGACTTTTTTTCTGACATTCCAGCTATTATTCGTGTCGACAAATCATGCTCTGATTCCTCAGTATTGTTGTCTTTTGCACAGGTCAATGTGCTGTGTTCTGTTGCCAAGCTGTGGAGTCCACTTCTGGTCCTGTGCGTGTGCCTACCGTTGAAGGTTGGTACAACTCTTGACAGACTTCTCATCCGCCCTATATCTGAGTGGGTGTGATGTCGAGCTTGGCCTTGATTGGCTCACATCTGTGTGTATACACTGGAGATGTGATATATTATGAGTTGAGCGTCCTTCCAATGGAGACGGATGCACGGGTGTCCAACGATTTCCCACTGGCCACTTTTGGATTCGCCTTGGAGGTACGTTCATTGACCACCTCCCACAAAAGAGATCTTTCAGCTACCCAAGCGAGTTGATCTGTAGCGACTCCACGTACTTGTACTGATCACTGTGATCTGCCTGTATCTATACATCCAATGACCTCAATGAGAATTCAACTGATTCAGAATTTCGCGAGTCCAGGACCACTGAGATAAACTGTAGCGGGCTTTGCTGCACGCAGCCCTTTTGCGTTACCAAGGTAAATGTCCAGATCATTTGGGGCGAAAATGCCAATCCTGAGACTCTAAATTTTATGGGCAAGGCTATAAGTATCATACAATACAAGTTATACAACGAACATCTAACTATAAAAAGGATTCCCCTTCACAATCATGACGAGTGCGGGACATCATGATATCACCAGAGGTATGGAATAACGCGCGCAGGCACTCTCTGCTTGTATGTGCGATATTCTTCGGCAACAGCAGAGTCCTTCATGATAAGATCCTCCTAAAAAGCAGTGAACCTCTGTGTGTATAGAAAAACGAGATCTTTACCTCGATAGGCATCTTGACAGCAAAAGCGCCAGCAATTATACCAAGTCCTACAAGCGGCGCATAAGACCAAAACATCACTGCAAAAAGCACGTTCTGGATGAGCACGCTCCTAAGGGGGATGTCAGAGTCCAATCTAATCAATGTACATAGTATGAGACTCACGTGTACGCAGGATGACGCACCACCGCGTATGGACCTGTCTGCACGACTTTGGGCTTCTCGCGTCTCTGGCGAGGGGGCATGAGCTTATGTGCGTCATCAACACGTAATAAAGAGAACGGTGCACACCCCGATCGCATGCCACTGATTCCCGAGGTGCGTGAATATGCGTCCCATGAACCTGAGGAGCATAAAAGTCGATGCGCACGCTGCAATTCTCAAAGCGATCTCTGTCTCTGGTTGGAAATAGTTAGTAGGAAGGTTCATGCGCTGCATCCATGCAGGCTGGACGAAGCGGTTGAAGGTGACGCATAGGATGTATGTCGCGGGTGGAATGAAGTACGAGAGGCCGTGTATTGGGCTTACGATCTTGCCGACGAAAGAGGTTGGGGTGGAGCGAATGTCACCTGCTTCGGCTTTAGCGACTGGGGCGATTGCAAGGGTGCTAGATAGGACATATTGTAAGGACCTGAAGGTGGTGAAAACGGCGAGTCCTTCTACGGTCTGGGCGAATGATGGAAGAGTGAGACCAGCGATGTAATACATGCTGAACTTGGATGAGTTAACGAGTTTGGGGTTTAGTATCCGTCATGATCATGTATTTATACTATGCTTTGGCGCCCAGTTTCTGTTGACTTGGAGCAGCTTAACCGTAAGACTCGCCTCCATCACTGGTGTGGTCCTCACGACAATGACAAACACGGTATCTGTGTGAATGACAAAAAGTCTGATGGGCTTGATGCATTTTTGGGTGACCTTGACAAGCTATGTTGAGGTTGTATTGGGCTTTGCTGCGCGCGGGGTTTTTCCGGGTTATTAAGTTCTAGTAAGGTAAACAACCAGCTGATCATTTGAGGCGAAAATGCCAACCCTGAGGCCTGAGGCTGTAAATTTTATAGGCAAAGTTATAAGTATCGTACATTACAACGGACATCTAAAAAGGATTCCCCTACACAATTTTGACGAGTATGCGACATCACGATATCACCAGAGGTATGGAATAACACGCGCAGGCACTCTCTGCATGTATGTACGATATTCCCCGGCAACAGCAGAGTCCTTCATGATAAGATCCTCCTAAAAAGCAGTCAACCTCTGTATACAGTGCATAATAAGAAAACGAGATCCTTACCTCGATAGGCATTTTGACAGCAAAAGCGCCAGCTGTGATACCAAGTCCCACAAGCGGCGCATAAGACCAGGACATCACAGCAAAAAGCATGCCCTGGATGAGCACGCTCCTAAGGGGAACGTCAGAGTCCTACGTATATAATGCAAAATATGAGACTCACGTGTACAGAGGATGACGCACCACCGCGTATGGACCTGTCTGCACGACTTTGGGCTTCTCGCGTCTCTGGCGAGGGGACATGAGCTTATGCGCGTCTTCAACACGTAATAAAGAGACAAACCCCGATCGCATGCCACTGATTCCCGAGGTGCGTGAATATGCGTCCGATGAACCTGAGGAGCACAAAGGTCGATGCGCACGCTGCAATTCTCAAAGCGATCTCTGTCTCTAGTTGGAAATAATTAGTAGGAAGGTTCATGCGCTGCATCCATGCAGGCTGCGCGAAGCGGTTGAAGGTGACGCATAGGATGTACGTCACGGGTGGGATGAAGAACGAGAGGCTGTGTATTGGGGTTACGACCTTGCCAATGAAGGATGTTGGGGTGGTGCGAATGACACCTGCTTCGGCTCTAGCGACTGGGGCGATTGCGAGGACGCGAGATAGGGCATATTGTATAGATCTGAAGGTGGTGAAAACAGCGAGTCCTTCTACGATTTGGGGGGGTGACGGAAGAGTGAGACCGGCGATATAATACATGCTGATCTTGGATATGAGTTAACGAGTTTGGGGTTGATTACAATTTCCGCCATGGTGATGTATTTATACTATGTTTTGGCGCACAGTTTCTCCTGACTTGGAGCTTGACCGTAAGACTCGCCTCTATCAAGTACTGATGTGGTCCTCACGACAACTGTATGATGTGAATGACAAAGAGTCTCATAGGCTTGATGCATATTTGGGTGACAAGCTGTGTTGAGGCTGTGCTACAATGAGCCGATGTTATAATAGAAGTGGAATGGAAGGCACTAGTGGGAGATGCGCACTTAGTCCTCGTGCCGGAAGATGATGATCATAAGGTGATATTTACCAGCTTTAACTGTGGACTATCCCAGGGATGTCAGTAATGATAAGAATTAACGTACGAATACACGTGTAGCTTCATGCAGTGTAAGAGCACTAGAGCAGACTAGAGCCTTGAAGCTTCCTGCGGCGAGGAATCGGCGGCTGCTGAGGAATTAGAAATTAGGAGCCCATCCGTGTACAACTGGTCTCATGACCTGGGGACTAGGCTGGATGTAGTTGAGTGATACTGATCGCAGTTACGCAGTAGGCATAAAATGAGACTAGAGCTGGTTCAACGGTTAATGCAGGGTTGTCACGGTGAAACATGACGTTGGTTCTTGCCCGAGCAAACGGCGGTGTCCAAGACGGGCGCTCCGCTCTTCACGGCACCGCCAAGTGATGATCAGAGAGTTCCGTTTTTTTCCGGAAGTCGACTGGTCAGTGTGCTGCTAGGTTCGAGCGGGCTACTAACAGAATGACCGAGGGGGGGACGGCGTATGGCACAGGTGGTTGATATGATGAACAGCCGTGATGATACATGCACGTGAAACATGGACCTTAGACTGACAGCTGGTATGTCATAAGTAAACTACAATTTTATTTGCCAAGTACAACTTGAATTAAACTTTGTCCATGAACGATGACCTCGCCGTCGTCGTTGTCGTTGTCGTCGTCGATGGAGTGGATGAATCCGTGGAGTAAGGTCTGTGTTGCTCAATTCTTGCATTGGAAGCGTGATCTCTGATGAGTTATCTATTCATGATCCTGTGTACCACTGCCCTGTATTTGACTGCCACGTTAAACTCGTCACAATTGCTCGTCATCGCTGCTCGTTTCTCCTGCTCGTCGTTGCTCTCCCTCGTTGTCCCTCGCAGTCGCTTTCCTCCCAGACGACTCTCGAATCACCCGCCACGATGCCAATTCATTTCTTCTCTGAATCACAACGCAGCCTCGGGGACTCATTCACCCGACGTGCGAGCATAACCCAGCAGCCTCGAGAACCAAAGGGAAAGGAGAAGGAGTACGTAGATCATGTCGAATTTCCTTATGGTGCGTCCTATTGCTCCTGACGCGCGATTCGAGCTCACTACGTTCTTTAGACGACTCATTGCTTCCCAATTTCACTGGGTCTACTAGCCTCTCATCTCATGATTCCTCTCTCAGATATCCCTACTTGTACCCTTCACAGCAGCAGCACTCTCAAACCAAATCCACTCCAAAGCCCACATCTCCAAGAAAGCCCCGTACCTCCCTCCTCTTCTCTCTCGTCCGCAAAAAGACTGGCTCTACTACTAGCCCTGTTTCCCAATATTCGCATCCGCTAGTCATGCCCGGGGTCATGGAGATCACTCGCCCATATTCATATGTCCAAGAAGAAGAGGAGCGAGAGAGACTTAGAGATGCTGCGGCTCAGAGTATCGGCCTTGTCGACTATGCTGCCAGCGAGCACCCAGAGGATACTCGGGAGGACCTAGTTGGCCCTGTGCCACCATCAGCGACCATTGATTCGCACATATCCTTACCTTTGCCTATACCTCCATCACCCATACCTTCACCAACTCCTACTCTCTTACCTCATCTCCCGCCTTTCCCCACAACCCTTGCCTCCCTTGGTTCACGAATCACACTCATGGGCACATTCCCCAAATTCTGTCCCTCATCCTCCCTCCTCGTATACGCCCTCGCAAAGCAATGGAAGACAAGATCCATCGTCCTCACAACTGCGACCTCGGCCGCCGCACAAACAGTCACACACCTGCATCTCTTCAAATCAAATCTTCCCTCATCCTCAGAGATTCATCGCTTACCTATCACCCAAGACACCGCGATATACGTAGCTGAGCACTCCGGACCCAGCATGAACACCACGCGGACCAGCACCCTCAGTAAACGCGACAGTAGGAGCGGGGCAAGAGGCAGTGGAGGCAAATCAAACGGCACCGTCGTTGCTATCGAGCAGGGTGAGATCATTTGGCATTTTGAGATGCAGGACCCGAACGAGAGACAAAATTGGATTGGTGCTATAAAAGCAGTTGTCCTGGGGCAAAGGTGGGTTGCGTTTCTGGGTCTCGTTGGATACTGGTTATAACACCCCTCTCCAGATCCATGCGTGCAGGTATCACCGCGTCACCACACCTCAGGGGGCACGAGCCTCGCGGGGACATGGATGTCATGCTCTCCATGCGACTCCAAGCGTCATTATCTTCCGCCGCATCCCCTGTACCACCCCCTGCTTCGTCACCCCGCACCTCGTCGTCTCCCCCACCCGTGTTGGCTGGTGGTGCGTCCCCACAGCCCGCGTCACCAATTCGCGCCTCTTTGTCGCTCGAGGGCATGCGTTCCCAACCGCACACAAGGTCGTCGACACCCAGCATACCTGCAAGCACCGAGCTCTTCACTCGCGCATCAAGTATCAAGTCAAATAAGAAATCCAGCGCACATAGATCCAGCTCAAGGTCCAGTCCAAGCTCTGGTTCGTCCTCCCCAACTCATTCTATCCGAGTCCAGTCCAAGCGCTCAGGCAACATCTCAGTTTCCATGCTCTCACCAACGCACTCTTCCAAATCGTCGACGTCTACTACCAAGACGATCAAGGGCATGTTTGCACCTCGGTCTCGTTCGCCGTCTTTGTCTCTCAACGGACACGAGCGGGAAAGTGAGTATGCAGAAGAGAGCTTTGGGACGGTGGGGAGCAGTTTAATGGGTATCGCCAGTGGCGTGGGCGTGAGCACCAAGAGGAGCAGCTCGCCAATGCGCCGCTCGGACTCACCCGTACCAAGCGTGGCATCGTCAGGGCGCGACGGGTCTAGCGTGCACCTACCAAATGAGAGCATACACAGTGGATGCGTGAGCTCGAGCATCTGCAGCGCCAGCATCAACGGAATCCCTGCTTGTGATCTCAAGATCGTCAAAGAGGACGAACGGTGGGCTCCTTCTCCATCCACTGATACACCCGAGAATTCGCAGTCACATACGGCTCTGCTTTCCCACTCGAATTCACATTCGCACTCTCTTCAACCACCCCCGAGGTGTAGGAAGCATACGTTTGTGCATCCACTTGCAGACGACATATGCCAAGAGATGGATACTGTGCCCAGTATCCATACTTTTACTGAGGACTCCTCAGGTACCACCGTCACCCCACGCTCCATCACCCCCATCCCCACGCCCAACCCAGCACGTCTATCAGTGCAAACCACATCTACCACGGCCTCCAGCTCTGTCGAAAGATCTGGTTCTTCATCCTCCACGCCCTCCCGCCGATGGTCTCGAACGCTTCCAAAGCGGTTAACACCTCCAAGTGGCCCCCTCCCCCTAACACCACCGTACGAATCTGAGCTGAGCATCAGCCCCAGCTCTGTGAGTTCTGATAGCCCAGGCGCAGCGTTTTGGAAACGTGCGAGCGGGTCGAGTAGTGTGAGTAGTGCGAGCGCGAGGTCGAGCTCGATACAACATTCTGCTCAGCGCACGAGCCCAATTGGTTCTTTCGGTGTTATTGGTATGGGTAATGGAAGTATAGGCGTGGGGGGTAAACGCCGCTCGATGCCCCCTCCGCGCCCTGCACCGAGCTTTGCGCCTCCACCTGCGCCTGAGCAACAACAGCCGCAGCCGCAGCCCCAACCCCAACCCCAACCCCAATCCCAGAAAACACTGTTCAGAACGTCTGTTGCTCAGCGCGCGTTGAGGCTTAGCTTGACTGCACCACGTCCACCACCGTCAGGGGTCCTACCGCCACGCCCAGACGAACCTGCATACGCACAAGTTCACCGCAATAGCGAAGAAATACCAATACGTCCTGATAGTGCTGCGTCCTCGCGGAGCATGTCTATCAAGCAGCGTCTGCGGATTCTTAGTGCTCCGTCACCTGTCGTCCCGTCGCATGATACCACACCCGACCAAATCGCGCCTCCCCTTACCAGTACTATTGCGCCCCACATCATTAGCAGGAGCACCAGCACCAGCAGCACCGGCAGCAGTACAGGTAGTAGTACCACCCATTCACGACCCCAAACGCCCCCCCTCCCAGGCACGCCCATAACAACGATGCAGAACCACCCAAGCTTTTTATCGCTGAATGCACCTCTTCCTACGATTCCACCACGTAATCCGCTCCGCCCAGCTCCGCCGCCGCGCCTCGCACCTGAGATTACGTCATTGTCGCCGCCTCCGAGACGGGGGAGTAAGCAGCTTATGGTTGCGCAGCATGTCCCTGATAGTGAGGATGAGAGGGAGAGGGAGGAGAAGGAGAGTGTAAATAGAGAGTCTGGCCTCCCTGATTTCTCGGATATTCGCGGGCATGGGGATTCGGTGGTGTCGCTTGGCTTCGTAGCCTTGGAGTGAGGGTGGAGTGATGTGTTTGTCTGTCACGAGCTTTGAACTTTGGGCGCTAAGCTTTTATCCCTTCTTGCAGTCGTCGGGTTCATATCTTTTTGCATTCATGTTGAACGTTGTGGTGCATATCATTAGCTTAGTCCACACACGCAATCTACAATGTACACATACATTACATATCCGCCAGCGGCTTCTCGCTGTGCTGTGCCGTTGGTATTTATCATTCATGATTGGGGCATCGGCAGCCCTGTGGAATCGGATGTCTGTGTCTGTCTCTTGTCGTGTACCTCGCGCGCAGTAATCAATAATGCGTATGAACCGATGCCCATCATCTTCGAAGGTCGGGTTCGAGCTCCAAGCACTGACACCAATGCGGGAGAGAAACTCAGTTGATAATCTTCTGACGGAGATGGGACGCAGATCTAGAGAAAACAACATAATATTGTGTGGATAAACTAATTCGTACAAGTGATATTTTCGAATGCGGCAACATGAAGACAGCAAGTTATAAGACGAAGAGCATTAATAAATCAAGCGAAGCTGTTTTCAACATCAGCACTATCATCGCCTTGCTCAAGGTTCGCAAAGGTCAAGAATGCCGCGGGGCGGTGATCCTCTGCCCAGAACAACAACGGCGTGTCCAGCGTGACAGCAAAGGACAAGTTGGCCGACCACAATTGGGTAAGACCAATACCGTAGTTCCAGACTTTGCCCTCTGGCACGAGCGTCATGCCGAGAATACGGTCAGACAACAGAAGCTGCACCCGCTCCGACATGTTGGGGTTGAAACCGGGTGGGTTGGAAGAATTATCCACGTTTTTGCGGCCCCACTCGAAGCCAGGCACCGTCAGCTGATGAGCAGACAGCGAGACTGAACCAGGAGTGAAGGAAGCGGCGATACAGATTGACGAAGAGCTCCACTCTGGGTGATCAGCCATCAATTTGGCTTGAGTGGTGACGTCTGTGGGAGAGAGGTGGCTGAGCTCAAGAGCTTGCGTCTTGACCCACCCAAGAGGCTCGAGATCCTTGAGAAGGAAGTCGTCCTTCGGCAACTGGTTAGGCAGCTCAACGCTATTGTTGCTTCCTCGTTGAGGCACCCATACAACTGCCTTGATCTCCTTGACCTGCTTGTTGTCTGGCGGCGATACACCGTACAAGAAAGCTGCAACCTGAGTGCGAAGATCTGCCGCAGTGATGAATGCCCGCAGGATGTTCTTCGGTAACACGTAGGTATATGAAGCAGCATCGTCCTTGACATCATCATTGGAAACATAGATGTGCTGGAGACGGAGGGGAAGATGCGTGGCAGAGATGGCACGGACACGCCAATCAGACTTGCTGCTAAACACCTGCTGTTCATAGTTGGTCGTAGTGACGGTCTGAATCGTATCACCGTGAACGTTAGTGGTCTGAGTTTGCACAGCGGTGACTTGACCCTGTGCCTCGGAACTCTTCTCAAGCTCAGCCATCTGCTGGCGCTGGACGGACGGAGCGGCAATCTCTTGACCCAGAATGATGTCACGGATTTCACTGGCAGTCAAGGACGCGATGTTGACGCTGTTCCGCTTGCCGAAGTCCTGGGTCTCGATGTGAGTTGAAGTTCAAGAGAGTGCGTTGTAATACTTACTGCCAAGATAAGATCCTTCATTGCGACCTCAACCTTGATCCACTCATCGTCTGTAAGAGTGGGCCAGACGAAGTGCGGCTCTGTGATGGTCGACTTGTCCGGGTGCAAGATAATCTTCGCCTTCTCGTTGTTGACGTGCAAGCCACGGAGGAGGAGGATAAGACGAGAGAAGGCGGTGTAGCTGGACACAGACTTGAGCCAGTCGTCGTACAAGCTGAACAGGACCATTTGAGGTTGCGTAGCACGCTGTGAGAAAAAATATCAGTAACGAAGAAGCAAATACGCATGGACCAACTTACCAGGATCAAGTCACCGAACTTCTCCATCTTCATGCAAGCCTGGAAGGGTAACTGCAACTCACTTCCCTTGATGACGATGTTCGGGAAATCAAGCAAGTGAACCTCGAGAGGGTCCAACATGCCCTTGCGAGTGACTATAACCTGCTTCGGCTGTTCTTCGACAGGCAGCGAACGGACCAAGGCAGCCACTTCTTCGGCAGTCTTCCACTTTGCGAGTTGACCGAGACGCTTTTGACCAGCCCAGACACTGGTGTGGATGATCTTCAGGAACAACTGTCCAGAACGTGGGTTGAAGATGAAGATAGCGCCGTTGATAGGTTTGGTAGTCAAGTTGCCCTCGAACGTCTTGTGGATAGTGACACGATACACATTGGTGTCGTCGACGAACCAGATGATCTGGTTTGAGAACAGTTCCGAGTAGTTCTGGCTGTTGAGGTAAGGCTCCGTAGGTTCAGAAGAGTACAACTGAAGACCCTTGCGGATACGCTCGCGCAAGACGTGACACGCCGGATTGGCCTTCATGATCTTGGCCATGGCCTGCTGGATCAGAGGCTTCATACCGGGGAACCAGTTGCCGTACGCAGACCATAAGTTATATGCTAGATCCATACCGATCATGACACCAGTTGGCGAGGGGTAGATACTCATGGAGTCGGACACGTAGTCCAGGAACTTGGCACGAGTGTATCGCTCGATATCATGAGTGTCGAAATCACCCCAACGAAGCTGAACGTCGATCCAGTACTTGTTGCTAGTCGTACCATCCAAAACGTCCTTGTTCTAAAAGAAACACACGCTCAGATCAAATTCCAAAAAGGTGTGAAAAGCGACCTACATCTGTAACCAGTGAAGGCCGAGAGATGTTCCACTTGTAGGCCGAGAATAGCAATATATCGGCGCAAGACGAGTTCATCTTGTAACTCTTACGTGGGTGAATAGTCTCCTTTTGCACCGTCTCGATCTGGAGAGGCTCTAGCTCCTGGTCAAAGACCTGACACAAGTCCATAACCACACTTTCGTGAATCTTCTGCCACAAATGCGCACGGAAGATTTGGATCAGCGAGATCTTAAGGGTAGGGATCTTGCCGTGCATGAAGATACCCGTCAGATCAAGCTGGACCTGGAAACCGACATACACATTGGCGCGGTTGATTGTCGGACTCCACCAAAGCGTGAACCGACGGTTAGGAATCTGGTTAAGACCTGACCTCTGTGCGTTGGTAAGTTTCTTGTATCGCATTGACTCCTCGAATCCAGAAGCCTTCTCCCAGAAAAGACCCTCCCAGGTGGGGAAGTAAGTTCCTTTGAAGAGCGTGTGCTCCAAGATACCCTCAACACCACCCAGTGCAGCGATGACATCGACACGGTAGTTGTTTAGTTGCCAGAGCTTTCCGTCATGGCGCTGAGATGTCCACCAGAAGGGGTTGCTAAAAGCAACATTCCATGAGCCAACAATGAACTAAGACAGCTGGAGAACGACTCACTGTTTCAGCAGCTGGTACTGCTTCCAGTCCGTACGCACACGCCAACCTCGGTCATATGCCAATGTGTGTCGATCCTTTTGGAAGAGGGTGTTGATACGGGGAATACCGCGGTCCCAGCTATCTTCAAGATCTTCGAGGGTGAGACGACGGTTCTGGGCATTGGCTTCCTTCCGCTTCATGGAGTATTCGGACCAGACGCGAGCTGAATCCAAGAACTCTGCCTCCCATGGCTGAAGATATCTGTACAAGTTCGGAATCAATTGGTCCTCCTCGTGGGTCATACCAGCGCGGAAATGAGTAACTGTTAGAATGAACTAATGTGAGCGAGAGAATGATCATCAAATGAGAGAATGGACAAACCTCCGACGTCAGTTTGCTTGGACCATCGCAAGTCACTTTGCGGGATGAGAACGTGACCCATCGAAAGCATTCCAAGGCCACCAAGCTCCTTCGGCGTGTAGAAGACGACAGGAGGGAAACGAGACGGCATCTTGCTGTTCAAGCCGATCTTGACACGAGTTTGAATCTTGTTCTCTGCCTTGACAAGAGAGTCCAAGAGTTCGTTTGTGTGGATGACAGCCTCGCGGTAGTAGGTCATCAAACCGATCAGCGCAGTGTTCCACTTGTTAACGATCTTCGAGAAAGTGGTGGAGCCAGAGCTCATGAGGACCTGACGGATACGGTTGTTGAATTGCTGGACACCGTCATCGGAGACACGGAGGAACGCCTGCGCAGTTCTCTCCTTCGTCTGCTCATTGGTGAGATTCCACACAGCATCCTTCAACGAGAACTGCTCGCCACCCATCGTCCTAATCTTGGGCAAGATGCGGACCTCAAAGCCGCACATCGAGAACAACAACTGTGGGTTGTCCTTCGAGTAGACGCTGACAAACGTGTCCTCCCACTCGATGGTCGTAAGTGAGCGCGGCAGGCTGTTCTTGACGTTCCAGAAGACCGCTCTTCCAAGATTGACATCATGCTTGATGAGACGCATACGACAATCTCGAGGCCAGCAGCGCTTGTTGTTGTACCCGATGACGTTGTTGTTGGTCGGGTCAGGGTTGGCACTCAGATAGCGTTGGATCAAGTCCCTTGCCTCATCAGCGCTGAAGCGGAAGAGTATGTGCAAGCGATCAACGTAACGGGAGTACAGGCGGATGGGGTGACGAGTTTCTGTCGCCGAGTCGCGGTACTGCAGGAAGTTATTAGGCATCTGTGGAGGACCCGCCATCTCGCTGGCACGCTGCAAGCCAAGAATAAGGAGATCAAGGACGAGACCGTAGTACTGGAAGACGAAGGCAGAGAACTGAAGACCGCGGATGAGACCGAATGCATTTGTGTGCGCCATGTCCTTGTAAGTCAGCACCGTGTTATTCTTCGCAGTGATGTAGTCTGCCAAGTTGTGATCAAGAATAAGACGGAGGAGACGGTTCAGCAGGGTCAAATCGATCTTCTCGTACACCTTGGAGAAGACAGTCTCCATCATCACGTTGCACTCGCCCTCGCTCGTCTCCCAAATGTCCGTCAGATTGTTGATGCCCTGGCACCACTTGTACACGAGCAACGGCGGTGGCTCCGTGTCGGCAGGTTTGATCCAGGCAGGGAACAACCCTCTCTTATCAGCCTCGAAGAAGAGGAATTGATCAAGATACTGTAGTAACAACGTCAGCAGGGCATAAAACGGAGTGAAATGCTGAAACTCACGGCGTCGGTGATTTTCTCAACGGGCTCGATGTCGTAGCACGGAATGAGTTTGTCGTATGTGTCAAAGAACTCGATACCAGCCTCCTTGAACGCACGCTGGGTGAGAAGCAGTCGCTTGATGCGCGACAGGCATTCGTGTGGATTGTCATACGCCTGCTCAATGAGGGCAAGCTCTTCACGCTGCGATTGGTTAAGGCGACCCTTGACTGAGTA